CCCCCCCCCGGCCGCGCCCCCCCCCCCCCCCCCCCCCCCCCCCACACCCCCCCCACCCCCCCCCCCCCCGGGGGGGGGGGGGGGGGGGGGGGGAGAAATTTGTGACGAACGAAGTTTTACCAAAGATGGAGCTTTAAACAAGTAGTAAAGATTCATTTCATTTGGTTTACATGGGAAGCTGTTATGCATTTTCCGTAAATCGCAACTTCTTAGCTCCCGATTTGATCCTTGGCTTTCCGACCAGGGCGTAGCACTTGAGGGAAAAGGAAGGGAGAACGGTGGGGGAACATATGAAAGCGAGGTACCAGGGACCTTCATGGTGTTCTAAAGAGCCGTCGACACCGTCTAGTTGCATAATATAAAGAAAAAGAAGGTAGTGAATAATCTGAGATGTTAGATTAAGAAGCTAAAGAAAACCGTTAGGTACTGACACGAACGTTGACGATAAACCCTATTGGTTGACACAAAACAGACCGAGACTTTCTGGGTATATGACGATTCCTTTATATATACCTACCTACCTCCTAAAGCTAAGGTACCTCCTAATATCCATGATATAGGCTTTTGCGATGTCGGTTGTTGTTGTTACCACGGGGTAATAGAGATTCCTGGTAGCCGTTCTAACCTTTTGGCACTTAATTAAATGAACCACGAGATCAATATGAAAAGTTATTCTCCATCTATGGCTACTAGAATTGTTGCGCTATTACATCTTTCTTCGCATACCTACCTCTTTCTTTGCCCTATCGGATAATCCTACCTATGCAAGTCGACGAAGAGAGTATCAAAGAAAAAGCAAAATTCACAGTCCGTATTTCGCTCATTTCGCTAATGCAAGATACTGGTAGCTTGGGGTCGAATGGATGCAGTACTACCTATGTAAGTATGTGCTGGCGAGACCCATCGATACAGAAATCCAGGGAACGAGATGCATATTTCCATTACCACCGGCTCCATTTCCTCCCCTATGTTACATGTTGCCCTACGTTGCATGTTGCTTTTGCATTGCGTGCGCAAAACAAAGAGGAGCTATATGCGATGCTGAAGAGTGGTCAGCAATAATGTCAAATGTAACCTGAGTTATGCAGTTAATAATAGCAGGGCTTTGAAATCAGGCTAGTCTGCGCCTCTCATTGTGCTAAGAACATACACTCCTGTTGAAGGCAGGCTGGGGATTTCAGCTGGCTGTATATTCCCTTGGACAAGGGTAGGTAAGCATTCACCTGAATAGCAGGTACCTAAGGTACCCAGTTACCTAACGTATATCATATTATGTATGTAAGCCCATTCGCCGACTCATACTCCGATACAACCTCCCGCACTTTCAGCCGCGTCAATAAACACAGCCCATTGCCATTATTGGTATATGCCCCCGCATATATGCGTCCCTCATCGCGTCGACATCTTATTGGATAACTGTGAAGGCCACTGGAGAGACTCCTATGCGTGTCAGTGTAATTCAGTAGTCAACCATAACTACCTGTACCTGATATACAGAAATCATATTTTACTTATTACCTGTGGTTCTTCCTTTCCTATGATCTAAACATCTACCTAGCAAATTCTCATAGCCCCTATTCAAATATCATGGCCGCCCAAGATTCCGATGATGGAGCTACTATCACGATTGCCTGCCTGAGCTCTGAGAGACATGACTGCGCAATCAGAGACCACTTGCTCCATTATCTAGGATGTTTAGAGTTTTGCGAACGAAAAGACTTCTTCAGCGAGAACTCTGATATTTGGAAAAGCGAGGTGGAACACCAAAAAGCCCTCGGCCACAGTCCTGACAAAGCACAAAAAATTACCGAACAAAAAAGAGAAACTTGGAAAGGTGACTGCATCAACGAGCTGAAGCGTATTAGCTTCCTTCGCTACCAGTTATATCGAGACGAAAAAGACAAGCACTTGGTGGAGAAACAGGAGGAAAGTCTGGAAACTTGGCGTAATTCTTCTGAATACATTGACAATATAAGAAAAGTGTCGAGGAAGCGCCGAGCCCAACAGAAAAAAGTTTCAACCACCACGCCGGATGTAGTTATCAAGGAAGAAAACTACGACTTGGAGAAGGATATCAGTATACCGATCATTCAACTTAAAGACGGTAAAGCTGACGATGTGCCTAGCAAGGATGTGTGGAACAAGTTTCCGGATCAGAAGACAACATTGAAAATGTTGCTGCATGGTGAGGATAACCTATTGCATGGCAGCAAATGTTCACCCGACAATATCGTCAGGTATTTCCACATTCCTTCCAACAACATGAAGGTAAGTTTCGAAATGGAGCCTATAGTCTATGGAGATCTCTGTTAACGTGTAATAGTGGGTCGAAGTAAGTATTTCGTCTATCAGACTATATTTTCAGGGACCAACAATCGTTAGGAAGCCATTGGCCGATACTTCGATGAAAAACCGCCAGACTATCACGGAATACATCTCGAGTTGGGACGAGAGAAGAAAACTAAAACTTACATGATCCTTCGGGACCAATTTTGGCGAGGGCAGCTACACGGCAGCCAACCTCATAGCCCGGCACACACAAGGCACATGACGCCTCTTTGCACAACGATATCATCTGGTAACTAGAATGGCCTGGCATATTCTGAACGATTGCCTGTTAACCGTGTTACAGATCCGGAGAATATCAGGCGTCTTGATCGGAACATGGTCCTTTTTGTGAGCCTTACCCCCTTTAATTAAGATTATACTTAGACTAACGCCAACCATAATGTGAGTAGATGCCATACCTTCACTGGGAGGCGTCAGCAAAGAGGGAAACATTTGCCATAGAAATTGATGAAATTATGGCAGAGGCTAGGGAAAAAGAGCTGAACCGTAAAGCAAAGGAAAAAGCTAACAGGGGGAGCGTCGAAGGAGAAATGTCGGCACGCCCTCCCCTTAGGCGTCCAAAGTCCAGAGCAGTAAAGGTGGCGACCATGGACAAGTTATTAGCCCTCATGAGAGATAATAAATTGCTTCGGAGTAAGGTTCAGGTAGACGATCAGGGCCGGATCAAGACCAATAACCCTCTTGGCCAGCTTCTCCTTGACGCCGCGAGGCTACACGAAGGGATGTCAAATTATCGGGATAAGAAGCTGCTCCGGACATATCTCTCAACCAATCCTCCACTGCATCCACGCCGCACCCTTGACCAAGCTTACCACTGGTCACTGAACTCAACATGGGAACGAGACCGAGATCAAGTCGTATACAGGCATACTACCGCAAAGCCCGAACAATTCCACGAATATGATCCATACACTAATAAATGGGAGGGAGACCGAGAGCCCAAACAGGAGATTGGCTGCGAAGAATGCAGAAGGAATATTCAGAAGCTATCCCGTGTTGTCATGGTGGATCAGTTATGGATGTGGATTCTGGACGCGAAGACAATTATTACCTGCTTCCCGAAACGATACGGTTCAAATAAGCACGACCTTTCGGCAGTTCATAAATCAATAAGGGTCCGCATCCAAGACCCCAGCGCCAATCGAGTCCGCACCGCCTTTGACCTAGGTTTAATCATCATCGACGAATGTGCCAATGCGCTATTCAACCAAGCTGGAGTAATGAGCAGCCAGCCACAAATAATTGACGCCTTTTCCAGGGCCATCGGGACTATTGTAAGTGTTATGGCCTAACACTAGGTCAAGACGATTCTAACGAACGTTGGCAGATGCATAGACAAACCATAGCTTTTGGAAGGCTATGGAGATGGGCAGATAACGCCAGAGAAGTCTACAGAACAAACGGTCATAGGAATAGTTCAGAACTCCACATGGCACTTCTTGATATCACCCCGGAGGGCAAACTTGAACGGGAGATTAAGGATGTAATGGAAGAGCTGGATATCATGATACACATCACGAATGTCCAGAAGAAGATGCTGACGCAGTTCATTTCTAATGCCGAAAGCTTATTAGATCCATTTGGCAAGTTCGGCGGCGGCAACAGCAAGAAACGAAAAATAATTGGCAATGCCTTGTGGGAGGAATCGGACACCTTATATGAAGATTTACTAAGCTATAGGAACCCGGCGAAGGAGAAGAAACGTTCAAATAGGAAGCGGGAGAAAGAAAATAAACCACCAGAGGGGAAGGCGGAGAAAGATAATAAAGGATCAGAGGAGGGAGATCCATCAGAAACTTTGAAACGGTTGTTCAAGGAACATCGGAATGACCATAATTGGTTCAAGCTCAATGCGGATGAGCTTCTCCAGACTGTCAATGGGCGGATTGACCAGCTTCAAGAGCTACGCAATATTGCCTATCATACCGCCGAAAGTGTGAGATTCAAGTTTTTGATTGTTTCCTTTTTCTTTCTATCAAGAGATTATGAGCTAATACACTTGAATATTAGATCAAAGATCTTTTGGGATTGAAACAGCAACAGGCTGGTGTTGTTCAGGCGTGGCAAGCCGTCAGACAATCAGACGAAACTAATAAGCAGGGCCAGTCTATTATGATGTTTACGCTTGTCACGATCATCTTCGTAAGTTTGACAAGCCGGTACTGTGAGTCTTCTATGCTAATACAGTCGAATCTTCAGCTACCCCTGTCATTCATGTCAAGCGTCTTCGGGATGAACAACATGGAAATCACCAGCGAAACTTGGTCTATACAGAGGGAACTCTTATACATGTGTAAGACACCATTCTCATCGCACTGCAAGTGTCTGAACTGACGTAAATTTATTATCACCAGTCACCATATCCGCTGGAGTCATCATCTTCAGCTTGCTCCTCGCATTCGGCAGTTGGATACGGGCTGGTCTCTACTATCTATGGAAGATCTGTATAGTCACACTTATAGTGTGCAGCGGCCTCTACAATATATGGCGCGACAGAAGTTGGTCAAGCAAACAGTTTCACCAAGAGGCAAACGCGGCCACTGCGCGGCTCAAAGTAGAGTCCAGGAAACTCCATCTCAAGCACAAGATCGAGAAGCGGAATAAAGAAGAGGAAGCGGAAAACCCCACTGGGATCCATCAGGAAAATACTGAGAACAGAAACGCCTTAGGCCGATTCGGTTTGCGAAGTGGACAGACAGACGGTCATACCAATGGTCATTCTTCAGAATCTCAGAATGGCCGGGGCTTGCAGTCATGGGTGCGACGGGTTCGAAACAGACCTCATAGGGGGGAACAGAGCCGTGTGTAATGGCTCATAAGATTACCTAAGGTAGCTACCAAAACAATACACCATAAAAAGGTAGAAAAAATGCCAACTTGAGTGGTTGAAGCTGCTATCTCCGCCTATGAGGACCACACGGAAGTACCGTGACGCGAAGAGGGTATTTGGACTTTGAGTGTGTAAAGGGATAATCAAGTGTGCAAAGGAATAAGCGAGCAGCAATGGAAATTTCATTATTCAATATGCATTAGGTAGAAAATACTCCAACTCGATAGTCGAAAGAGGCGTTCGCTAAAGCTCATTTATGCCTTCGAGGGGCAAGTCTTCGAGGACCAAGTCTTCCCCGTCAAAGTAATCTGGCCACCCATGTGAGAACCTCTTGCAATCATCTCCCTTATTATCACTACTAGCGCACCGGCTACATAAGTAATTGTCAGCGATTAGTCGCGCGACATTCATGCCCATAAGCGCGCTCGTCTCCATGGTCGAGATGAAACTCTCGATGCCCGACGTGTAGTACAGCCCGTCCCCTAGGACGGGGTCCTGGAACGTGACGCGCGGGTACTTCTGGGGATAGGGATGGAAAATCGTGGGATGGTACCACGATATGGGCTCAAGGACCATCGTCGCACCCTCCCCAGTGTCTTCCTCGGTATCAGCAGGTCGGGTGAAGGTGTCCGGCACCTGAACGCCAAGCAGCCGAGACAGGAACTCGGGCGTTACCTTGTGGGGCGAGAAGATCTTATACACGTACTCGGCGTTTTGCGTCTTCGGGTTGGTCACCACCTTGACTAGAGTTGCCGAGAAGAAACCTGCGCTTCCAGCTCCCTCCGGTCCAGGTTTCGCTTCATCATCTTCGCCCAGTGTCGTGAGCACGGAGATGGGTACTGTGGCAGCTGGCTCGAGGTTGAAGAACTCTGGACTGAACCTGTAGGGAGAGGCGAAGAGCGTCACATGCAGCTCTACGTACGGGATCGAGTCTACAGGGTGGGACATGACGTCCTCGTCATGGTTGATGCCGCTGAACTGGTACGGCGTTGCGATAACGACCTTATCGAAGGCAACTGGGTATGTTTCTGCCTCGTTGTTAGTAGCACCGGTTATTGTCGTCTGCAGTCTGTACTTAGTCGACTCCGAGCTAGAAGAATTGCCCTTTTCTTTGGTAATCGCAGCCACAGATGAGTTCAGAAAGACATGAGCTTCAGAGTCCGCGACCATACTAGAAAATATCTGCCAATTACCGCCGGCAACAGCTACTGCGCCTTCAGGGGCCATCGCAACCTAAAGTTGAACATTAGATCGGCGTAAACCGCTAAGTATAATGACAAGAACTAACCATGGTTCCCAGGCCGTGGATATACTCCAAGTTCGAAGCATAGTTCACACGGGTACTTGCTTGCACGATATCATGAGCAAACGCGCCGTAGAGCTTGTTTTCCTCTAGGAATTGTTTTCCGGTTGAGCCCGTTATCTTGGCAAGGCCGAGTTCATATACCCTGGCTGAGAGGGATCTGAAGGGGAAGTAAGGGTGTTTGTAAAGTTTCAAGAACTTTTGTACGGTCTCTTGGACGAGCCGATGGGTGTAGTACGGAGCGGTTCCGTACTTCCAGAAGAGTTTGGCGAGGTTCCACCAATTCCAAGATTCCGAGTCCTGGGTGTAGACGAAGCTCTTTCCATCCCAAATGCCAAGTAAGCCCTTCTCATCAGTTCCGGGGCTAGTGAGAGACAGGTTGAAGCTCCTGGCAGCGTCGTAGAGGATGCGGTTTACCTCGACAAATATGGAGGCACCCAACTCAACCGGACTAAGAGGGTCATCATAGACGTTTACTGTAAGAGTTCGACCACCAATGTGGTTAGTCTTCTCGAATATCGTGATGTTGACGTCGATGCCTTCTTCTTGAGCATATTTGTGTAAGTGATAAGCCGTGGAGGAACCGGCAGCACCAGCACCTAGTCAAGATGTTAGTTGAAGAGAATAATATGGGATTGATTAAGTTAGAGCTATATCTTCAGGACGGATTTGGGTAACCCTTTAAGTAATCCAGGTTGAGTTATATCAAACTGGATAGTTTGATTTTGGAGTTACTGATCATATCATATGCTAGGCTGGGAGATATCTAACTGCCTCTTCATTCCAACTTACCTATTATTGCGACTTGCTTCACATCTCGAGATTTGGTATCACCAGTACTCCCAGCTCCGACGAGGGGCAAAAGAAAACACAGAAAACAAGGCAAACTTGTGAAATACATGGTTAACTTCTTACAAAGTTGACATTTTTAAAGTGGTAAGAGGCATCGAATGATGGAGCCAACAAATGGAGACGGTGTGAACGCGTAGGCATCCAATGTCCAACGCACGAGCCATCTGAACGCAATCCTCCTGACTCCCTTAAGCCGATATCGCGATATACGGATTGCTCATAAACGGGGTAATGAGAACTAGAAGCTTTGTTACCCCTTTTCCAGGGTTACCTACCTCCTATAATCCAAGTGGCATCAAGATCTTACCTTATTTTCCTGTTATCATTCCATGGCTAGTTGCTTTGTCTACGTTCATAGATAACTATCAAGTATAAACGCCGATTAATAGGTACCTTAGGTACTTATTGCTATAAGTATGTCCTTGATGGGACGCTGCATTAAAGTTCAAACCTACCTGAAAGATTCAATTTATATCCCAAGCGTCCCTGTTTCAACAGCGTGGCATGGTTGGGAAGAATGTATGGGCCATATAGACGGACTGCTTCGAAAATGTTCGTATTTACTCAAACACTCCCATGAGCAATGGGACGGCGAGTTGAAGTTCTTCAGTTGATTGAGAAATACCTATGGATTGTCATTGAAAAGGAGCAGTAAGGGGGCCTTGTTAAGGGGGCAGTGTGTACAATAGTTTGTGCTATGTAAACCGTAATTGTGCTATGTAATTGCTGGAGTAGCGGGGTAAACAGGTAATAATATGGCTATCTAGCTCTTTATTGGCTAGCACTTGCAACCCACTAATACGTGGGGCAAGGCTGGCGGGGCTGTTACAAACGGATTATCTCATATGGGCTGGGGGAAAACGTACAGCATGTACCCTTGTATCAAGGAATAAGGCTAGCTGCTAAACCGTTCAGAAAAAAAAGTTGTCAGTGCTTCCTTGACCCGCTTCAAGCTCCCATCTCCCATCTCCCCCCAATAACGCTGCGTGCCCCTCGACGACGACAACCACAAATTTCTACCTCAACCCGGCACCATTTCCTATAGCAACTCTTATTTCGTCGGGTAAAAAAAGAGAATAAAAAAAATGTCTGCCGCTCAGTTACTTAATCCCAAGGCCGAATCTCGGGTACGTTTTATACCAAGCAATATTCCCAAATACGAAGCAGTGGTATTGACATTTAAACAAGCGGCGGGGTGAAGCTCTTCGAGTCAACATCAGCGCAGGTGAAGGTCTGCAAGAGGTTCTCAAGTCAAACTTGGGCCCTCTAGGAACTATTAAGATGTAAGAATCATTTTATAATCCACTTGGGGAGGTATTTGCTAACGTTCATGTTAGGCTTGTGGATGGTGCTGGACAGGTACGAGCTATCTCGAAAGACGAATGTGAAAGAAATATACGACTTAAAGCTAACCACTCCGACTAAATAGATCAAACTAACAAAGGATGGAAACGTCCTACTTAGAGAGATGCAAATACAGAACCCCACCGCAGTCATGATCGCCCGAGCCGCGACGGCGCAAGACGATATTTGCGGAGACGGAACGACATCAGTAGTGTTGCTAGTGGGTGAGCTTCTAAAGCAGGCAGACAGATATATCGCCGAAGGGTTACACCCCCGAATCATAACAGAAGGTTTCGAGATCGCAAAGAACGAATCCTTAAAGGTATACCACTTACCTACCTACCATTATACTCATATTTAACAAATCATATGCTTACCTATTTGCCATTACAGTTTCTGGATTCCTTTAAACTCCCTAAAGAAGTCGACAGGGAGCTTCTCCTTTCCGTCGCTCGGACATCGCTATCTACCAAACTCAATGCGAGCCTTGCCAAGAAGCTGACCCCAGATATCGTTGACGCCGTCCTTGCCATCTACCAACCTCCCGAGAAGCCTGATTTACATATGGTCGAAATCATGAAGATGCAACACCGCACCGCTTCAGACACCCAGCTCATCCGTGGGTTGGCCTTGGACCACGGGGCGAGGCATCCCGACATGCCTAAGAGGGTAGAAAACGCGTTCATCCTAACCATGAACGTCAGTTTGGAGTATGAAAAATCGGAAATCAACTCTAGCTTCTTCTACTCTAGCGCGGAGCAGCGTGAGAAGCTGGTTGAGAGTGAACGCCGCTTCGTCGACGCCAAATTGAAGAAGATTGTCGACTTAAAGAAGGAAGTCTGCGGGAACGACCCCAAGAAGGGCTTCGTCATCGTGAACCAGAAGGGTATCGACCCCCTTTCGCTAGACGTACTGGCCAAGAACGGAATCTTTGCTCTGCGAAGAGCTAAGAGGAGAAACATGGAGAGATTACAACTGATCTGCGGTGGTATTGCGCAGAACAGTGTTGAGGATCTATCCCCTGATATCCTCGGTTGGGCTGGTTTGGTATACGAGCAGCAGCTGGGCGAGGAGAAATACACGTTCATCGAGGAAGTGAAGGACCCGAAGTCTGTCACTTTGATGATCAAGGGTCCGAATGCCCACACCATCACACAAATCACAGACGCGGTTCGGGATGGCCTGCGAAGCGTGTACAATATGATTGTGGATAAGAGTGTCGTCCCCGGCGGCGGCGCTTTCCAGGTTGCCTGTGCTGCTCACCTGAAGAGCGATGCCTTCAAGAAGACGGTGAAGGGCAAGGCCAAGTGGGGTGTCGACGCGTTCGCAGATGCGCTCCTAATTATCCCCAAGACGCTTGCTGCGAATGCGGGCCACGATATCCAAGACGCACGTATGTGTTATACCTACTTCTCCACATTCTCATGTTGCTTATACTAACTTGTTGTAGTTGCCTCGCTCCAAGACGAGCACGCGGACGGTAACATCGTTGGATTGGATTTAGTCCTCGGTCAACCCATGGACCCTACGCTGGAGGGTGTCTACGACTCATTCAGAGTACTAAGAAACTGCGTCGCTTCCTCATCGAGTATCGCGTCCAATCTCCTACTTTGCGACGAGATGCTCAAGGCTCGCCAAATGGGCCGACAAGGTCCCGGCCCGGACGGTGCTGAGGAATAGGTGGAATAACAAGGGTGAGCCACGACTGACCGATACCACTGTACGTTAGACGCGAAAAAAAGAGTTGGCGTTGTTAATAAAAAGTGGACGAATGAACCCGTGTATCGAAAAGTTCAAATGCATTGCCTATCTAAAACTATTGGTTACATATCATATAATTACGTGCTAATTATAGGGTAATATTGGCATAGTATACACCTTGTGCAGGGAAAAGGGGACTTGTTGATACTAAACTGCCTGCACGACATTTAACACGGCTGGTTATTTACCATGCAATCTTACAATTCGTAGATGTGCCCGAACAGGATACTCAAGGAACTCAAGACGTTAGAGTTGAGCAAGTATACTATAGATACAAGGTACCTAACCTAGATGAATTTATGCCATACCCCAATGGGTATCCCTCCATTCAGCTCCTTACCAACTCAACAACCACATCACCACTATCTGCCAGCGAGATCCGCCAGCCCGCGCGCTCCTGCGTCGCCTCGGGACTCAACACACGGTAAGCGCTCGGGTCCCCACTCCGATCGACCCACAGGACCGCGGCGGCCGTCTTCGGCGCACCGGTACCGGTAAGTTGTGCGAGGGCGACGGAAATGCCACCGGAAGAAGCATCGTAGCTGAAACTACTTATGCTTCCCGCATCCGCGTTTATAGCCACGCCAAGCGGCCCAATGAAAATACGACGAGTCATGGGACCGTTAGGCTGCACGACGACTTTGCCGCTCTCGGCATGGGACAGGACGCCGCCGTACGCGAGAAGTCCGAAGGTAGCGTGCTGCGCGACGTACGTGCCGGAGCCCAGGACCAGTCCCAGAAACCCGGGGCCGTAGTCCCCGCTGTAACCGTCCCATTTCAGAGTGTCGGGCCACGAGTGGAAAGACGCGGACGCGAAGCCGGCTTCGTTGATGTTGGATAGGGGGCCGCTGGAGCCGCCGTAGCCGGCTTGCAGGAGGTACGTGTCCGAGGGGTCGCTGCGGAAGGCGGACAGGAGCACTAGGGAGTTGAGGCCGGAGCCGTAGTGGTGGATCTGCCGCTCGATGCGCTTGAGCTTGCCGCCGTAGATGTTGTCCCAGTACCTGCGGGCGTTCCCGTTCCAGCCCCAATGGGGGACCGTGGGCGTGTAGCCGAGGACGCTGTTTACTGTTTTGGTTGCTGTGTTTGAAAAGCCGAAGTATCTGGTGGTTATTTGATTAATGCTAAGTAATAGATATTGGGTTACTGGATAGGGGTAAACTAGGTATAGGTACTCACTTCGCCCAGTAGTAGACGCCTTCTTGGCCGGTGGAGTCCCAGGCCATCTCGCTCCCGTAGGGGACCTCCTCTGAGTCCCACTGCGCAGCCCTCGATCTCATAGATTTTGTTAGTGCATCGACTTGCGTTGCGAGTCCCTCTCGAGTAAGATCGGTAAGGATCTCTCCGAAGACCGTCTCGCCCATTAACCCGAGCCTGTTATATCCAACATCTGACTGCATTCCGCGCATAACGGTGCTGTAGGCCTGGTTGATATACCATTTCCAATCGTGACTCTTTGCTAACTCGGGATAGGCCCGTGACACTCTGTACAATGACCAGTAGGCTGCTGCAACATGAACGTAGTCGTAGGCTCGATCGATTGCGTACGCCGCCTCCTTGTTCCATGACGTCCAGCTGGACCAGTCGATAGCAGAGTTGTAAGCGTATTTCGGAACAGCTGATGGTTCGTAATAGAAGACACTCTTCCTAACACCAAAATCTTTTGTCTGGATAGTTCCCCACAGAACACTATTAATGAACATTTCTAGCTTCGAAACTTCTTCGGCGTCCGGTTGGATGACTTGCTTAATCATCGCAGCGAGATACGCACCCACGCCTCCTTCATCGCTAAGTCCGGCTATCCAAACCCGTGGGTCCTGCGTCACTAGAGAACGAGTCTCGTAGTCATAACTCATAACCGACGGAGCACGACCGAAAGGGTCAGCGGTGTCGTTGAACCACTGCTCCGTAGTAAGAAACCTCCCTAGGTCCCCAATAGCTTCCGCACTAGACTTGGTAACAAAGTAATGAATTGTTTGAGTCTTTCCATCTTCATAGTCAATGGTCAGCCTAGAGCGACCCCAAAAGGTTGGCGACGGCGCGATGCCGTACGAGTCCGCAGAAAGCTGGCTGAACGCCAAGGACTCTACAGGTTCGCTGGAGAAAGATATGGGATTTGAATCAGCCCTTAAGAAAAGTTGCGACATGGATCCCCTTGGGATGATATACCCGGGGACACCAAAAGCCACGGGGGTACCTGTTTTTCGGACAGTTTCATCAATGTCACGAACACCACCTTTAGCGACAGAAAAGCGAACTCCAAACTGTAGTTTTTCACCAGGCTGCAGGATCTTCGATGAAGGCACGTTCCACGGTTGCACACCCGCCCACTCCTTTTCGGCCCATGCCCGGCTCAGGACTTGCCACTCGTAAAAGCCCTCGAAAGTCTGACTGCCGTAGGCTGTAGCTTGATAAGACGGCTCAGCTAGATTACGGTAGGCTTCTAACGGAGTATCTCCCAGGGGCGTCACAACGAGCGCAGCTCCGGTTCCCCGTACGGGGTTGACGCGGATATATCCCGCATGCATGCCGACGTAGGGATCAGATAACGAACATAGACGCTGCGTATCGGCCGCGGCTCGGTTTGTAAAAATACTGTTGAACTCGGCCGGAAATCCCAAGCTGCCTAGTTCGACCGGAGAAGTTCCCGAGTTCTCGATCGTAAATCGTAAACCCAGGTCACCGGAGACATCGAGCCATTCGCGGGTCACATTTAAAGGACCCGCACTGGGAAGTGTCGGGGTCAAATTTGATGAAGCGAGAACTCCTGCTCCGACCTTGTAAGAGGTGACAACCTTACGGGAGGCCGCAGAGTCTCCGTTGATCCAGGGGCCCTCACCACCTTGGCGGTAGCGGAAGGTAATATCACCCCAATGATACTGGCCATTTCCAGCCCGAGCCGATATCAAATCGAACGGCAGGAAGTCGAATGAATCCCCCGCCGGGGTTAGCGACGCAAGCACCTGGGCATCGCGAACGATCTTGGCATTGAAATTCGGTGTCTTGACGGTGATGTACCCATTTCTGAGACCTAAGTTATCGCTTTGGCACGCGACACCGCGGAAAGGCCAGGCGAGGGCGACCAGGAGAAGCACTTGGCTGCAGCAAAACATGATGATGCATCGACGGATGATCCATCGTAGCTCAGCTCAAGCCAGCTCAAATCCGACGAGAGACAAAGGGGGTTTTTATGGGCGCAAATAATCGGATATTTGCAATATGCCATCTTGACTGGATCGCAAGAAGTCGGTGCTAGTTACTAGTTGCAGCAATTACAGTAGCATTAAGTCGTATCGTAGGCCGGATCCCCCTCCCGATCTGGTGTTGCGTGCCGCTCCCGGTGGACGGTGGATCAAAGATGATGCTGCGGGGTATAAGTCGCCGTTATAATTACGGATTAGTTAAATTCTCAATACAGGTATGTAAGTTGGAGGAGGGGTTTTGGTGTTTTTTTTTTTTGTATAAGATCCCGGTTTCGATTATAGATCTATATTATTATGCATGTACATAAATTACCTCAGATTGGTATGTTACCTACCTGTCAGAATGGCGTCAAAAAAAAGTGCCTATTCCACTATTAAGCAGGTCATTTTGCTATCCGCATAGCTTTACCGAATCGTCTCGTAGGCCATCAGAATGACTAATAGAATAATTATAAAATTTTGCTCTATATGAAAACGATTTTTTGAATTTAATTTATCTTTATATTCGCTGAAAAAGGTTGGTGGAAGGAATCATGGTGTTAGGCACTTATTTTGACGGCATTCTGCTAGTGTAAACGGGTACCTGGTAGCCTGGTAATTCCGAATCTGATATTCCGCACTGTACCTGCGTTATCTCTCGCCCATAGCTTATGTCTTATGTCCATTAAGGTAATAGAAGTCACATGAAGGCGGCTTCCTAATCAAAGTTTTACTTGATGCAAGAGGCGCGTAAGGTCATCTGTACCTACCTCCTACATGTAGACTATTCCTAAAATCCTACCTACCTAGGTATCTCCTACCTAATATAGGAGGTAGGTACCTAAGGTAACTAAGGTACAAGGTTATCTAGGCCAGGCACTGTACCTGGGCAATTCACTTCTTCCCGGGCCTCCCAGCTTTCCTTCTACTCATCATAAACAACTCACTTTCACCGGTAGCTAGCTGCAGAAACTATTTCATAAGTCATAATTTTAGAACAACTCTTCTCAAACTACTTATAGATTTCCCTACAATATAGAAAAAATGGCTTCATCTTCAGTAGACCCCAACCAACTCTTCGATGTTAAAGGACTAGTCGTCGTTGTATCGGGCGGGGGAAGTGGTGCGTTGATTCATACCGGCAACCTACCTCCTATCAATGAGATATGACCAATGAGACCAAAGGGTGAACTGACCGAGAATAAAATATAGGCATTGGCACCATGATGGTTAATGCTCTGGAGAGCAACGGTGCAATCGTTTATGTCATCGGCCGCCGCAGGGAAAATTTAGATAATCTTGCTGCTACTGCTGCAAGTCGCCTCGCCACCCTATCACCCTATCACTATATTAACACCCATATAGAAGCACGGAAACATTCGTACAATTCAAGGCGATATCACAAAGAAGGCCGACCTTGAACGGGCCGTCACGGAGATCAGGTCCGCAGTAGGATACGTCAATGTTGTGATAGCAAATGCTGGCGTGCCGGGCCCTACTATGGATGGATTGCCCCAAAACGCCAGCCTCTCGGAATTCCGGAATCACGTCTTTGGCTGGGATACAGATTCCTTCAACAACACATACGCCACAAATACCACAGGCGTGTTTTTCACTATCGCTGCATTCTTGGAGCTCCTCGATGAGGGCAACAAGCGTGGCAATTGGAAGCAGAGGAGCCAGGTTATCGCCATATCCAGCATTGGCGCGTATAACAGAGTCCCCGCTGCCGGATTTGCATACGGGAGCTCCAAGGCCGGCGTCGTGCACATGATGAAGCAGCTATCGACCGCTCTTGTGCCGTACAGTATTAGATCCAACGTCATCGCTCCGGGATGTAAGATATATTTTTACTATACCGCTCATGGGCGCTTAGATTGCTAACGGAAATAATAATATCATAGTCTACCCAAGTGAAATGACTGAGCCACTCATTAACACCAAGAAGACTACCGGGTGGCCTAAGAACGTTGTTCCCGAGGAAAGGCTTGGCGATCCAGAAGATATCGCTGGTACGATTTTGTTCTTGGTTAGCAAGGCTGGCGCTTACATCAATGGAAACGTTCTTGTAACCGATGGAGGGCGACTGGGTGTCATGCCCTCTGCGTATTAGTATGCTTCACCCCGATATTGGGATACGGCGATTTCTGGAATCTAAAAAGTATAGATTAGATTTATCCACTTGCGACATCAATGCCCTGGCACACTGAATTATATAGTATTTCCGAGCCTTCATCCAATATTAATCTTGCTTTCCAGTTATTTACCTAGGTAGGTAACTACAATCTTCCATCTTCAGCCATCTGGGCTCTCTAGCCAAGTCGCAAGTTTTTCACCCTCCCTTGGCACGAATCTAGCGCGCCATCCGCGTGGCGTGCCGACGAAAGCCATCCCCTTCAGTCCCTTGATGGGATCGATTGCCTCCATAGTTTCTCCCTCGGCAGGAAGGATATGGAAATGCGCAATCAGATGCAAGAACACCGTATATAGAGCATTGTGAGCCAGATGCGACGCTACGCACATCCGCCCACCGATACCGAACGCGAATTGGTGAGCATGTATATTGAAAGCATCTTTGAGCCAACGTTCGGGGATGAAGGCATCTGGTTCGGTGAATAGTTTTGGATCTAGAGTGGGAAAAGCCTGGTCTTAAGCCGACAGTCACATCTGTAGGTACTTTGAGCGGTAGACTTAGGACATACCTCGATTACAGGCCCAGGAATTCAGAAACACCAGCGTGTTTGCGGGGATCGTAGCGCTCTCCCAAATCACATCGGTATAAGTGGCCTTGGGGAGAGCTAACTTCAGCACCACGAAATATCTGGAGATCTCCTTCGTTAGGGCATCGATGTACTCGACTTTCGTCGAACCATATGCGGTTGAGGGTAAGCCGAGAACACCCGCATCTCTAATTGCCAAGTAAGCCTTCTCTTGTATGTCCGGCCTGTGGGCGAGAAGCAAACAGGCCCAAGAAAGCGTAGGTTGGTTCGAATCGGCCCCCTTATCGGAACCATCGTGTTAGTTTCAGCTTACGGCAACTTAAAAGGGGGATTGTAGAGGACATACCGCCATCATGCTCAAGCTGACGCTGATAAGCTCCTCTCTTGTTAAAGTCGCAGATTCCGGATCCCGGAGTACCGCCCCCTGAATGCACGGTTTATCCTCACCCTTCTGCACCTCATCCTTCAGCTTCTCCAGGAGGATATTGTTATACTCTAATCGGCGACGCCCAATATCCGCAGCGTGGTTCTTCGGCTGCGCACCGAGTCCCAAGAATTGCGCCAGGGGCTCCCAATACCGCAGCAAAGGGATGTAGTTCGCATAATTCTTCCCAGTGTCGCGAAACTTGGAGATTTCGCTCTCGACGTAGATAATCTCCGAGAGTAAGGGGTCGTCGGTCAGGGACTTGACACTCGACACGCGCGTCCCGTAGTTCAGCGTCAGGCTGAGGTTCAATGAGAACCGCTTCACAGCGGGCCGGAAGTCGATCTCGACGGTCCCGTCGCGGCACGCCGAATACAGGTCCTTCAGGAACTCGCGCGCCTCGAGGTTCAGGATGGGCCCGTACGTGTCCACGCGCGTCCTGTTCAGCGCGCCCGCGGCCAGCTTGCGCCTGCGCTTGCAGCTCTCGTCCCAGGGGCTGGTCCCGATGCTCGTCACGGCCTTGCTGACCTTCTTGTGGAACACGTAGAACATCGGCCGCGAGTTCATCGCGTGGCTTTGCCCTAGGAACAGCTGCTTGGCTGCTCGCGCCGAGTTGATGACCACCGCGGTCGTGTTGCCGAGCTGGATCTGGAAGACTGGGCCGTATTTGAGAGACCATCTCCTGTAAGTTTCGGCGGGTATCACGTCGCGGTGCTGTTATGTCGTTAGTGTGAGCGCATAAATACTAGTCAAGGCTAAGTAGGGAAGCGTATGGAGTGTCATTACCTGGAAGAGGTTCCCAACCACGGGCCATCCGCGAGGACCATTGAGGTTTTTTATTCTGCTACGATATCGAGCAATTTCATTCTGAACCAAGTATATGACCAAGCCTGCAATCGCTAAAAAGATGATGTATTGGAGAGATTGGAACGCATTAATAGGAGGCAGTGTTTCTAGAAACCCCATCTTGACGAATGGCCAAAATTAATGGAGTTGTCAACCTAGCGTTGTGAATAGAGTGGATGGAATATCATCTCAAGTCTGTATAGCCAAGGTGAACAAGGTGGGCGTAACAGCTTGCGGATGTACCCCTCCAAAGCGTAGTATCTTGACAGCACTTAGGTACCCTAGGTAGGTAGGTATAGGAATCATACACGTTACCTCGTCACAACTTTCGTTCATATCTTAGAGAGGACTTGCGTAGTAAAACTCCACAATCACGACATCTCCAGTATCTTTCCATCATACCATTACTTCTCTAATACTAACTCCTTCGAACCAGGCTATGTTAGACCTCACATCTCGCTTCATTCCTACGTTGACTAGTTCCTCAAGTTCACAACGGACATGAAAGCTTACATCTGGTACATGCGAATGTAACAGGTAGTAGTAGAGTGCCGTTTTCGGCTCACGAGTTCCGAGCAGAATATCAACGTCGGTTAGTATCAAATGGGGGTATCCAGGCAGACGGGTCTGGTGCACCTGATATAGCATGCTGGGAGTCAACTCTATAACCCCAGCTTGCTACATAACGCCATCGCCCCCCACAATGGCGATTTTGAAATCGTTAACCGATTTAGGGGAAAGAAGTGACGCTTTCTACCTCGTATGCTGCGTACCTAATGTACATAGTATGCGAAATGTGATTGGAGTTTATGTATCTGCTTAATACTTAAGTAGTTCTAATGGTACTTTACACTCCTTTAACTGCTGGATTATGTCTCCCCTCCTTATCTACATTAAACATGTATGGCTCATCCGCAGCGCCGGCCTCAATGGCCTTTTGCCTACTACCCCTCAGCATCCAGGGGGAGTCCTTCATCCCCTTGTGCCATTGCCTTCCTTCGTATTCTTCTACAGGCTTCTCCCCTGTAGCTTGTATCTCGCGCGCTCTCTGCTCGATCCTCGACCAGACGCGCAGGATGTTTTCTCCCGCAAATAAGCGGACCTGCTCGTCGGTCGCACCGCGCTCCATCAGGAGCTGCACCAGGTCGGGGAACTTGGATACATCTTCCAGGCCAATAGGCACGTAGGGAGTTCCAGAAAAGTCGCTGCCCACGCCGACGCAGTCCCATCCACACACCTCCGCGATGTGGAATATGTGGTCGACGACATCGTGGATCGTCGCCTCGTCTGGGTCTTTCATCTTGAGGAAGCGGTTGACGAACACGGCCATGACGATGCCTCCGTTGCGCTTCACCGTCCGGAGAACGTCGTCGGGTACGTTCCGAAGATGCGGCGTTACGCTGTAAGCCCCTGAATGCGAAAAGATGACCGGAGCGCGGGCTATGCTTGGCACGTCTCTCATCGTCTGGTGTGAGATGTGCGAGAGGTCCACCATCATGCCCAATCGATTCATCTCCTTAATAGCCTCGTATCCCAATTTAGATAGTCCCTCATCACGCCCCCCGGCAGCAACGGTAGAAGCAGAAGTCGCGAATGAGTTATCGCAATTGTGAGTAAGGGTGATGTACCGCGCTCCAAGATTGTACATCTGTCGTATACTGGCAATACTACCTCCAACCTGGTGGCCGCCTTCGATGCCAATCATGCTCGAGATGCGGCCTGATTTGAAAGCCTTCCGAGCGCAAGCGGCAGTGTCACAGTACTGGAGGCTCTGGTGGTGCTCGTTGATAAACCTTCTGGTGACATCAATTTGCTCCAGAGTATCTCTTACAATCCACTATCAGCTTGTCTCAGTGTTTAGCTCTTCCAGGTGGTCGGCGGCAGCATGTCAAATGTCACTCACAGATGGATCTTCGAAGTGTTGCTGATTAACATCGCAATGCACATATACACTCCAGAACTGTCCCCCTACCATCCCCGTTCGCATCCTCTGAAGGTCCGTATGACCCAGGAGTCTTTTATTCAAGTCTCAACCATCATATATGCGATTGTGCAGTTCTATGCGCAATTGCCATGGTAAGTCATTATGCCCATCAATCAAGCTAGGATAGCAATCAGCGATAAGTCCCGGTAGAGCTTCGACGGTAGGTTCCTACGGTGTTGTCTTTAAAACTCGCCTCGTGCGTTCAGCGTTGTTTGTCGGATCGATGGACGATTGGCCGGGCCATATGAACGCGAAGGGACTAAGCAGGAATGCCAATCCGGCTGCGAATAAATGATATCTGAATCTAGAGAAGAATCCTGAGTTTTGTGTCTGGGAATGGACAACGAGCGACTGTACGGGAGTACTGGAATTTTATTCCTGTGAAAATGCCGGCTGTCTGTTGCTGGACAATAGCGATATGTTTTCTCTGTCAGTTTGCTGTTCCTCCATAATGATTTAGCCTTAGCTTTTCAACTTGAAGGTAAAGTTTCCCATGAAGAATATATGAGTGAAGTATGTAATATGATATTGCCTTGCGATATTGAAGTCATCCCTCCTCCCTGTAGAGGTGGAGCACGATCCATGGAGCTCGGCAAGATAGGGGTTAGTTCTGAGTCTTCCCCCACAGTCGCATCCAAAACGCCTCTCCCGTCTTTAAGTCTCCATCCCTGGATTATAGTGCGATTGCGTGCTGCTATACTCCGATGCCGTATGATAAGAACTATGCCTACTAGTGGTGCCAAGCGACCCGAGTAGTTCACGTGGAGAAATATTGGCGCAGGTAATGAGGACGTCGGTCTATAGTTACCTCTTCTGGTCAGAAGGGACCGAACCCTATAGTAAGTTTCTTAACATGATAAACTACTTCCAGCGAAATCGGCATGGAGCATATTTTTTTTAAGCGAAAGGTCTAAATGATGAACTAGAATAATTCATCATTGATTTTCCTCTATAGGATTTTTGCGTGATGCCTAATTCTTCCTGTCCGCATCAACCCATAAGCTCTTATAAAGCCATATTCAGCCACGCCGTATTCTCAACCCCTTAACCCCGCCTACAACGTGTTCAAAATAGTTAAGATTTAGGTAAGGTAGGTCGAGCGATCAACTGGTCTATCGAACTTGCTGGCGAAAACTACCTACACAGTCCTAACTAGCCCCAAAAGCCTGTGCTGTGTTGATTATATGAGATTTTCCTAGATTACATAGGTAGGTACCTAGTACTTTGCCTAGGTACAGACCGAAACCCCTGAAGCCGGGTGATTCTGTCTTCGTTCAGAATATAGGCTGGTTTAGTATCTTGGCGCTTCAAGCAAGCAAGTATCCGACGGCAATATAAAGCATGATACCTCTTACAAATATTCACCGTTTGCCAAGGCTATGAGAGCTATTGTCATTGCTATCACATCCAGCAAGGGAAAAGAGGAATGAGAAAGCTAGCTGCTGGTCACACAATACACTTTCAAGGAGACCCCCAATCGAGGTAATACTGACAAGGGCCTTACGACAAACGGAACCGGTTTCGACTACGCTATCAACATCGCGGGCAGTACCTCCTCTAACTCCTTCGATCACAATATTAACACTGTTAGGTAAACGCTAGCAAACACAAATCAGATGCCTTACCAACCTGATTGGCCATCGCAGCGGCAAGAGGTGTTAACCATCGATGGAGTTCCTGTTCAACTGTCACGTCGCAGAGCATGCAGTAGGTAAACAACTTTGTTGTTCCGCAAGGAACTCTAACTACAAGTGCTTTGAAGCCAAAGCTATATACAGAATGACTCCTTTGTTCCAAGGAGTCTCAAGTGAGACTCCTGACATCAACAGTTATGCAGCACATGGAGTCTATCCAGCTCGAGACAGAAAGTGGAGGAATATATTGTCAAGTCTATCGAGACAGCTAATATTCACTGTGGTAATGATTGCAAAGTCTTCAGACTTGAAAATATTAGAAACTCATATGATTGCGCGGTGCGGAAATACCTCTCGAATACAAACCGCTGAGCCAAAAGTAGATTGCTTAATAGCACTAGAATTGCTATTACAGTCTACCTGGTATCTAACCCATGAGTGGTACCATTCACAATACCTGGAGCCTGTAGTTCCATTGTTGAGTTAACTGATTTACTCTAGTTATTAATAGTAGAATCACATATGAAAGGTAAGTTTTGTATCGGGTAGGTAATATGAGACATGAGTGTCTGTTGGGAGGCAAATATTGTTGTTTTCTGCCTAGAACAACGAGGGCAGCGTTTGTAAATACGGTTTACTGCATCTCGCTCAGCGTGTACCATATTAACCTGGTGATGAAAACAAAATTTTATATTTGCACAGTATATTCTAATCTAGTGGACGACCAAGGCATATCAATAGCCTCCTCAATAAGCTCACATCAAAAAAACAGTTAAGTTCATTAGGGGAAAAGCACATTCTAGATAACAGCCATAGTTGAGTTGCGTTTTCTATTTGGCTGATGTCGTGTCAATTTTGGTGGCACCAAATTATTGCCCCTTTACCATTAGACTGTGCCATCTACGGCATGTGGCCATCAAGATCTATAACCACACAGCTCGTACATACGACTTTCACACTTGATGAAAATATGACCAGTCGAAAAGAGATCTACCACATAGTGTATAATTATTCTAAGATAGGTACATATGAGCCCTTGCACATATGCACCCGTGTCAAGGAGAAGTCTACCTATCGTTTATGTATCACAAGACGCGAGAACCCTATCCCAATAATATCATACATCTGAATGATGTGTCGTCAAACGCTCCATATACCTTAATAGCACACCACTAGATTTTGTAGGTACTTCTAAAATGGAAAAACATAAATATGAAAGAGTCCCAACGAACGGTAATATTGGTACAAAGCTACTTGCAAGAATTTCTGGACATAGATAATACTCGAAACATAGTGAGAATGGCCAGCTCACTGGAGAATGTTGATGCCACAGTGCAGCGTATGACGCTGGATACAAGTCTAACATGCTCACACAACCCCAATGCTCCCACACCATGCAAGAATGTTGGCTCACTAGCATGCAAAGATTGTCTCTTGGTTTCCGTAAGTCATCATCAAAAATTCAGCCATGCCTCTTACTCAGTGCAGTCAAATATAGCAGCAGTGCTGACATTCTTGTACGCGTATAGTATTGCAGCAAGAGTTGCCAGAAGGCCCACTGGCCTATTCACCGTAAGGATTGCAAATCTATGAATAACTGGGAACCCTCATGGATCAAAGAACACCGAATGCCATCCTTCCTCAGTTATAACTTCGCCAATCAGTTCCATAAAGTGCAAGAAGTTCTATGGGGGAGAGTTCCAGCGATTGACGTGGTTCAGCTGGAACAAAACGAAGGTAGAGATTATCAGAAGCCATTGGATCTACTTTTTGCGGGTATAAAGCTCCCCTTACTTTCATACAAAGTAGCACTGCTAATATTTTTACTTACCAGCCTCTGGAGATATGCGAAATGCGATACTGTCAGTTGCCAATCTTCCAGAACACTACAAAGGGCCACTCCGTATAGTGTTGGAAGACAAACAAATGCCCATAGTAGCGCGGAATCTCATATTTCTTATGACCTTTCTGGTGGAAGATAACCCAAGCCTTGCTGCTGAACATGTCCTTCACATTTGGTATTCAGCTTTGATCACGGAATCCTGTCGAAGCCTCCTGCAAGATAAACTCCGACCAATGATTCAAGATGTGTGCAACCAGATCATGCATAAGTCTAGCTCGTCTCTTCTATCGAAGACATGGTTATTCGGGAATGTTTCGGTACGATTGATACTATGTCGGGACAATTGGTTTTCTTTGCTATCATACTTGGATGTTCCAAAAGGACTCACGATAGAAGCCGCTCAATGTATCCGACGGGGAACCATGCTAGCCCCTCAGAGTGTCGATGATCGCGACAGAGCCCTAAGTCTCAAGGTCCCATGCGTAAGAATTGGCACGTTGAGATTTCGCGCCGACGGAATTCTGCTACCATTCAGCAGTAGCCGCGAAGAATTTACGATCCCAAACCCGTGAGCGCCCTATCCCAAGTAACCATTCCTGTTTATATCTAACTCCAATTCCCAGAACTTTATTCGCTTCGACGGGCCAATGGCCAATTATGGATACCTGCGATCCTACATTAGGCTGGTTGCCAAACTCATTCCTTGAACTCGACATTGGACCGACTACAAACGACATATATGGTAAACTCCACTATTACCTGAGACAGCTGTTCATGGATTTTCATCGCCGGCTGCGAGTTTTGCCGGTAAAGTTTGATCTTCTGCAAGTTGATGTCGAGTCACTACGCTTCCGTTTAGATGAGGAAAGATTCGATCGCATAGATGTAAGTGGACTCCTGGTTGATAAATATCCAGCGCTAACATTTGAATAGGCGAGCAATCTCGCGGACGTATGCTATCTCGGAATTGATGAAACCCTAAAAGCATTCAGTCCATTGATTGAGCGGAAGACTGTCAATCCGCATGCAACTCTTATTACACTGTTCTCCGAGGCCATTTTCGATATACAGGTCTTGAAACAAGTAGGCATTCTACCACTAGACAACCCTGAAGAGCAACTGGTAAAAGTCCTACGATTCAAATCCGAATTTAGACCGCCTAATGCCCTCAACGTGATCAATGTTGTTATGGCGGCGCCCCTAGTTCAGGACATGAACAAAGATTTCCAGACGTATGTATCTACCTAGCAAATCCTTTCCTAGCCACATATTTTCTGGTCGCTCACTTTGAAATGACAGATATATGGCGATAAACAAGTTTGAGCTTGTCGCTCTTCAGTATGGACTGCAGATGAAGGATACGCACACTATCATAAATCCATGGCCGATGAAGATCGATGATGAGGATGAGCCTACCGAGAAAGCTAAAGAATACTTTTCCCAGTTGCTCTCTTCAGGTCATACGGGACAGGAACGTTACGTGGAGTGGAAACGAGATTAACGTGGAGACATGGCCCTGCCCTAGGAAGATGAGTTGGATGGTAGCAGGATCGATTCGCATGTCATGATAGTTCGTCATAATCTAATATTACGCTGCAGTAGTATATGTGCTGTCACGCACCTATCTCTTTAATGTCATGCTATGTGTAAGGCTTGATAACTTTCGTTTCATTAGAGCAGGTAGATAAAGGTACCTCTTTTTTTCGTGCAAGGTAAAGGGGTAGGGACGTACTAGGTACCTGGTACTTACCTTAGGTACCTAGGGACCAGATATGTTATGCTGCATGTGGTGTCTCCTCCGGGAGATCCGGACCGGAACCGCAATGCATTAGTGGGTCCTTAAACCTCGACCGGAGCCGTAGGTGCAGCCCGGTACTTATCCCCTTTGAGCAAGCGGCGATACCTACAAGAGCATGTATAGGATATCACCGTTAGTTTCGAGATGATTATATACACATTCAAATAGGCTAGGTACCTCCTATAGATACATAATTGACAGTATGATCAAGCGTAACAATCCAGATCAAAGCTCCATCATCTAAGTTAAAATATATCATCAAAATTATAATCACCCCAAGTTCTTAATTGTTAGAATATTACTTCCCATTGTTGATGATAGCTCCGACCCTTGAGCATATATTCACCATGCGAGAATACATGCATCTTGGCATTGCAGATGTAGGCCCAAAGTCATCCGGGGCTACTCGGCTCGTCGCAAGCGTCACCGACGCCTTTATGAAATTTCACAATTCCAGGCATCCAGCGTGCCTCAAACCAATGGTAGCATACATATTGTCATAACAAGGATGAAGACTTGGGAATTCCGGATCAAATGGTTCCGTAGACCTCACTACGTCCAGTAACCCTAATTATACAGCCCAATACGTATGTCGGTGGCTGAACTAATGTAGAAAGGTGGGTAGCGCTGTGTCTTTAGGACTTTTGGGCTGTGTGATTAGGCATACTACATCACGTCTCATTTTGAGGCTTGGTTAATGCTAATAGGGCTATGTGGAGAAATGCAGATTCGTATAAACCTCTTACTTCGCACCTTTCTCGTAAATCGTCGTAAATTATCGTAAATCGTAACGCATTACAATATCTACTCTTCTATTGGCTCTCTCCTGCTGATCCTCGTAAAATGAAGAGTAGAGATAACATGTAGCTCCGGAAAGTACGGTGATAATCACCTAGATGATTGGTTTTCACACAGCTGTGGATAATGCTTCCTCTAAATTAAGGTGGATTATGTTAAGTTTTACGCTCATCTCTCTACAGATTTAGACTTAAAGGGGGGACATACCTATCAGGCGGTATATAAAGATATTTCGATGCTTCACATTTTCTTGCGTAAACTCACACCATCATCGTTCTCAGCACGTTGAAAACTCACCGCAATTATGGGACTGCTCTCACTTCCGATTATCCTTAGTGCTGTATTAGCAGCTGCTGTTGAACCTCCAAAGGGTCATCCCTGGCTTGCTCCTGGGCCAAATGACTGTATGATAAGTGATATCAACTCGAGATCGCCAATCGCTAACGTTACCGGTAGACCGTGGGCCGTGTCCGATGCTCAATACGCTAAGCAACCATAACTTCTTGCCTCACGATGGCAGGAATATCACGAAGAACAAGGTCGTTAGCGCCATGTCCTCAGCTCTCAACTTCAACGAATCCCTTGCTGCGCTGATGTTCGAAATGGCGATTGTGGCTAATCCAGAGCCCAATGCCACATTTTTCACTTTGTAAGACAGCTAAGGCTACCTCTTCACTGAAGCATTTCTGAATTTGACGCATGTTTAAACATACTCAGGTTTGCTAATACCCGCCTGTTTCTAGGGACCAACTGAACGTACACAATGTCTTGGAACATGATGGAAGTCTAAGGTAAAGCCCTTGTCCAAAATACCATACGATTGGAAAATGTTATATTGATTTATACCTACCTATCTAATAGCCGCACGGATGCTTTCTTTGGCAGCAACCACATCTTTAACGAGACGATCTTCAACGAGACGAAGGTTTACTGGACCGGCGAGATCCTCGACGCGAACATGTTAGCCAACAGCAAAATTGCTCGCCAGCTGAACTCCAAGGCCTTCAACCCCACCTATCGATTCACGTCCTCTGTCGAAAGCTTCAGCCTCGGCGAGGTTTCTGCTCCCATCGTCGCTTTTGGTGACTTGCAAGCCGTAACCGTCAACCGAACTCTTGTGGAATATTTCTTCGGTAAGTTCACCCCGCCAGGACAAGAAACTCGGGTTAGGTTAGGTTAGGTTAGGTAGACTTGAGCTAACATTATAATATCCATAGAGAACGAGCGCTTCCCTACCGAATTAGGATGGAGTACGCGTAAAGAAGTCGTTAACATAGAGGATATTCTCAGATTATCACAAGCCATCAGCGATGCTTCCAATCTTATTACGACCGACAAGGAGGTTGTTTCAACCCAGCGACGGGATCTACATGGCGGGTTGTACTAGTAATATTTACTCTGACTGAAATTTGCCCACCTAGGGTGATATCGTTGAGATATATTGGAGGGGCGATCGTGCTATAGACCAATACTATCGCGTGGAAATTGATCTTGTATACAATCAATGCTCGAAGGAGTGCCTGTCGATTTAATTCGCCTACTTTTTTACATGCTCTATTATCAATATCTCCAGCTTGAATATGACGAAATGATCAACATTTGATGTACACTTGGCGAATATTGGCTGTTTTAAGTACTTGATCTGTTCCGCGGGGAAGATAATGTAACATAATAATGCCCAACTATTATTGCCTCCAGTATGCGAAGACAGCACTGCCTAATATAAGATGACTCCCCGAGACTGGTGGGGTGTTCGGTTTATTCACTGCTTCCTTAGCACAATTTACACACAAGTCGAACCACCAGCGCTAGCAGCATGGCCATTAGAAAGCAAGAAAGTGAAATTTATAGTCGAACTTATCCTGAGATACGTTGGCAGCGTAGTCATGGTTCACGGTGGCATCTCCTTATAGGCCTGACTTTGTTCTTGGTAATCGTGTTATTATCGCTACATCTCCATGGATCCACCCCTTCAAGTCAGCTCCTGGGAGTGATATTGCCCGTATCTCGTCACCAAGATAATAGTTTCGAGACGTTTAAGCACCTGGGGCATTTATCCCCTTTCTTCGTTCCTCCTAACACACCCGCATCACTGCGTTCTGGAACGCCGCCGGGCTGCACAGTCGAAAGGGCCTTTCTAATACGTAGGCACGGTAGCCGACGTCCCCACGAGGACGAGTTTGCTATTATACAGAACCTCTCTCATTATATACACGACAACCGTGATCTATTCTCAAATCCCCTGGTCAAACTACCGGATGCTTATTCTTTTCTATCCGAAGGTTGGAATAGCACCTTCGGAACGGACAGCCTTACCGCGCCGGGTCGACAGCAGCTATTTGACCACGGCGTAGCACTAAAGCTGCAGTATCTAGATTTTGATAATGTAACCGAGGTCCTGGCGAGCGATTCGGATCGCGTCGTGGAATCGGCAAGATGGTTCATGGACGGGTACTACGGTCGCATCTCCAATTACACAGCTACGGTGAACGTGGTGCCGGAAAACGAGACGACAGTTAGTTGGATAACGCCTTATCTGGCGTGTCCGAAGTGGGATTCTAGCTACGGTGAAGCCTCACTAGCAAAGTGGCGACAAGTCTACATTCCGCCTATCACGAAAAGAATCAATAAGTTGCTCGCCGAGGCATATCCCGGAATCAATTTTACAGACACTCACACCAGCGCCATGTTGTATTCGTGTGCATACGAAACAGCAATTCGGGGTATCGGCTCGTCCCCATGGTGCGACGTATTTCTACCAAGTGAGATATCAGACAACGAGTATGAGTACGATCTGAGGATGCGGGGGTTCGCCGGGTACGGGCTTCCGGGCGACATGGCACCCGTACTTGGGAGTTTACTAGTCAGCAACGTGACGAGCTTCTTGCAGCGGGACGAAGGGCCCAAGCTCTCGCTAAGCTTCGGTCACGACAAAACCATTGCGCTAGGTCTGACGGCGCTGGGACTCGCGTCGGATGAGCTACCGCCCACTGGGCCGGTGGACCCTGATCGGGCTTGGAGAGCGGCGAAACTCATGCCGTTCGCTGCTAATATGATTTGGCAGCGGCTAGATTGTGACGGGCACGGGAGGATCCAGCTAATTCTCAACGGCGCCAATTACGGCCTGGGCCCAGTCGGCTGTGAGATTGACAACTATGGATCCTGCGCTCTCGGGGACTTCTTAAACACTACCAAGGTGCAAGCGGCACTTAACTGCACCCATGGTGACGAGAGATGGAAGGAAGCTTGCCATTGAGTAGCCTGGTAACGCGCTTAGATCGCAAAGAACAAATTGAGTTCAGGGGATCCAGGAACGGGCACACTACCACTCATCCGCAAATTGCGTATCTTGGCAAATATGCTAGTTGGATCTTCATGAAGTGAGATCTCGGCCTAAGACTTCCCTGTTTTAATGTGTTAGTCATATCCTCTTCCCAGACGAAAGCCATTAGATACGATGACTGGAATATTTTTTGGTTAATATCTCTTTCGTTTCTCTTTACTCAAAGCGAAGTTGACAGGTGTGTGTGATCCTTGATAGCGTAAATTTGTGTAGTAATATAATAGTTCAACTGTAGATCCTCGCCCATAAAACTTTTCATTAGTTGGCCTATCTTCTCCTATTTGCATGCGCATACGAAGGAATCTTAACATCGGCCATATCATGGCGCATCAGTCTTTTTTTTTTTTTTTTTTTTTTTTGTGTTCTTTTGTTTCGTACAGCGTCACTCGTGCGCATCCCTTTCAGTGGTATACTCCCGCGGTAGTTGTCGGGTTCGCCATAACGATGGCGCTCGTCTCATTCCTCAACGTGGCTTTCGCAATCATCGCAAGATCGGAATGCAACGGATGTAAGTACCTTTGCCAAATTCCCCAGCTCAAATCCGCCGGAAATCTCATAATCTCTGTGCTAGTGGGAGGTTTGATTTTGTTGTAGGCCATTTGCAAGATATTTAGGACTTCTTGTTAATAGTTTCTGCATCAAAAGGACGGAAGAAGCACGACACTGTGCAAATTGCGCGCCTCTTGTAGCGGCAACGGAAGCCCCAAGCGACTACAAGTCTATCGCCGGATAAGAACAGGAAATAATACCTCTCGATCACAAGAGGCCTTTCCAAAGTTGAATAGAGCACTTGTAAAAATGAGAATGCAATAGCGGACCAAAGCAATAGATGTCTCGGTGAGAGTGTCTTCTGATGTCCGCCCACATCGACACTCCCGATATCGTACTGAGGGCAGGGCGTTTACATGATTTTTAGAGGTACATAAGTTAAGTTAGTACCTTTAGCGACGTCGTGGTATTAGAATTGAGAAAAAAAAAAAGTCCATGAGAGGTAGAGTACCGCAGTCTACCTCTATTGTCCCAGCAGCAAGACAAAATCTAATCCGGGATTACAACACCCTGGTATGAATTGATGAATCCTATGAAGACGCTGTTGAAGAAGGTTGACAGGTGTTCGATTCATAGAAAATAAGAGACGAAGACGAGGAGAGTTCAATGATCGTCGAAGATGATGACCTTGATTAGCTCAGTTCAAGAATGATACTCCTAATAAAAATCATGTGAAAGGTATATTCGACGAAAACTGACGAATTGACCTCGTATTCAGGGCATTGTAGAGGTCGGAGAGACTGCTGCATGAATCACAATGACGACCTGTCATCCGAAAGTGACAGCGGGGAAACAAGCTTAACCTCATATCCAGACGGGGCTGTCAAACGCTATCATGGATAAAGTTAGGGTTGGCAGCGTAACGGGTCGGCAACTCAAGCGTTTACAAACTCTAAACGTGACAGGGCGCTTGAAGATAAAGCAGTGAGATATCTGCTACCTTCGAAGTGGAAGACAGCACACATTTTCCCCCCAATATTTTCAAATACTTTTGTCGTTACTAACAGGTAGAGAACGAATCCGAAATGGCGGGCAAAGTGAGTATGGCAAACACGGACGACATTCCCGATCTCATAGAGATATTTTGGGAAGCCTTTAGCGGACCAGGAGAAATCATGTTTCCTCATACGGACGGAGGACGGAAGTGGCTCCAGCGCAGTTTTAATAACTTTTTGGGCCAAAAGTCTTACTACAGGCCTGAGTCGAAGGTCGCGGTTGTCAGAAACTTGAATAGTCTGAATACCATCCCAGATCACTCTCAACGGATTAGTTACTAAGGAAAACATAGGCCGGCCAGTTGCGCTTGCAATCGCCCACATCGTCCGTCCAGGGCAGAAAATAGCTGGCAACTCGTGGAAGACGAGATGGTCGCGATGCGAGGATATACCAGGTATCACCGAAGAGAAGCTCGTAGAATTCTTCGAACCTTTGGGGAGAGCCCATTACATCGTAGTAGGAAAGGAAGGCCATGTTTGTAAGTCGCTACCGGGTTAAAAAGAAGGTCCGCATGCAGCAAAGCTGATCATTACCAGTCATTGAGCTTGTCATAACGAAGTCAACTAATCGAGGAAGAGGTTACGCATCAGCTCTTATGGGATGGGCCACAAAGCTAGCGGACGACCTCGACATTTCTTGTTATCTTGATGCAGGTATGCGAGGCATGGGCATCTGCGACCGATGCGGCTTCAAGGCGCAAGATATCGAGATGCGATACGGCGGACCGCCGCCTTGCACGCCTATGCTACGGTCTAAAAAACAGTAATGTGTTTATTGCAGGGGAGACCTAATAGGCGAATAGGCAAATAGACGTCGCGATGGTGAGATGCGAACCGAGGCAGGATATTATTCGGAACTCGTAACCGAGCATATCGCTTCTGGTGATTTGGCCTTGGGGGGAGCTGCCACCATTGACCAAGGGTTCGATGCACCCCACAAAGATCGTCAATAGGGTGGTGGCAATTTGCGAGTACGATTCTCAGCTCTGGAAATGGAAACCGAGGAATCCAAAAATCGAAGAGTTGAGGAAGAACATTTCCCATGTACCTTAGGTACTGCTTGCGATTTTATGCGACTGATTTTAAATGTGGTACGGTTCGTAGAAATCTATGTTTTTATGAAAAATGTGTTCCGAATTACCAACAGGAAAGAAAAGAACCTAGGAGGTACTTAACCTAAGGTTAAGAAACTTTGGTTCAGGGTCTATATAGTAGGCTACTTCTGTGTCACTCGGCCACAGCGGAGAATACGACCTGGGTTTATTTAAAGCGGAGCTGCGGGAGGAGACGTGCCGCTGAACCACCTAACTACCTACCTGATGTACCTACCTAGCTCCTACCTCCTATTACATTATACATTACATGATAGGTACACAGGAGGTAGGTACCTACCTTATACGAACGTGGTTCAAATAAGGTACTATGAGGTATCTTTTCAGCAGCCTTACTGCCCTATACCTAATGCTTACAAAGTGTATGTGTGGTAAGGAAGTGCTACCTTCTCCTTCTTACCAATCTCGCTGCCTAAGGGCCTCCTCCCTTGCCTGCCAGCCTGCTTACTCCCCACGTCCCGAGGTCGTTTCAATATTCTTTTTTTTCAATGTCTCATAACCTTCAAGTGTATACTTCTTACTAAACATTTACAGACTCAACCACAATCAATTTTTATTACTTCCCCATTACGAACCCAAAGTTGTTCTTGTTTCTTTCTCATTTCTTGTTATTGAGCACCTTCTTTCCCATGTCCCAAGCGTCATCGTACCTGTTGGTTTCTTTTGGTCGGTGCGAACGCCGAGCACAAGCCTCAGACAGCATGATGTCTTTCTTGGCTTGTCCAAGAGATCCAATGAAGAAAGATGCCAAGGATTTCTGAGGCCTTATCCACTCAGCTGTACATTTAGACCCCTAGCACTTCCATTTTTGCAGCACTTCATCCGCCCTGCGGCACGGCAATTACTCGTTGCGGTTATTCTCTATTCTTCTCTATTCTTGCTGACCACCTGTCCTTCTATTTTGTTTTGTACATCCATTCTACTATATCCTTCTGTCGTTCTTATTAGCGAGCTTCTTAACAAGTTCTTCCTTTCCTCCTCGCTTTTCAGTTTCGACCGATTGGAGCTCGTATTCCACATAGCTCACCTACTTAGGATTGCGCCGTATCCGTATTAGCCCTGGATCTACCTGGTCTCTAGCAAATTTTGTGTAAATTCTCGGATGAAGATGGTAGAATTGACTCTTGGTTGATGCTCGTTTTTGCTTTTCCCCTCGTCCTTCGCTTTTGTGCGAAGGAGACGTTGGCTTGAAGGCCTCAGGGCCCTCCGTTCATTCTTGCCCCTCCTGTCCGCCTCTGTATGTCGATTGAGCTTGCGAAGATGTTGCGCCTACGAAGGTATCGGTATTACGTCTTCTTCGCTGCCGTCGTCGTACTCCTGCTTTACCGTGTCTCCCGGAATAGCGAACAATGGGAGTCCGCCACCGCGTCGATTCCCTATAAACCTCTACGCAAGTCTCCGGGGCGAGACTTCGGCGCAACTAACAAGCAGTCGCAGCAACCCCTCCCTGGGAAGAGCAGTACTGGATGGGCTGATAGGGAGAGTGATATATCGCGCCACGAGCAAGAGAAGGCGAATAAGGACACCAGTGAGGTCAAGATCCCCAGCCTAAAGCCCACTGCCAGCGAAGATGTCCCCAGCAGATTCGATTCTTCCACAGACACCTCGACGACAGATGCCAGAAAAACCAGAGTAACCGTATATGACAAAGAGGGTGCAGCGAAAACCACTACCGTCCCGTTGATTGATATACCAGATAAGAACGTTGGTCAAGGCGCTAAGGGCAAAGGCGTTCACGGGAAACCGGGCGTACATAAGTCTAAGCCGGAGGCTGAACCAACTAAGCACTGGAAGAAGTTCCCCGAGCATTTCCCCGTTCCCGCAAATGAAATAATTCCCTTGCCGACCGGGAAGCCTAAACCTATACCTGCGATCCAATACGATTTCGATAAGGAGTCACCCGATGTGCGGGAGAAGCGTCTGGAACGCCTTGCCAAAGTAAAAGCTGAAATGGTTCGAGGCTGGAATGGTTACATGACCTATGCCAGAGGACATGATGAGTTGAGCCCAGTATCCAAAAAGTTTCGAGATCCTTTCTGTGGCTGGGCCGCGACTTTGGTCGACGCCTTGGACACGTTGTGGATTATGGGCATGAAGGAAGAATTTGAAGAGGCTCTTCTGGAGGTAGAAAAGATCGATTTTACCACTTCCGCATATCGCTCCGAAATTCCTGTTTTTGAAACCACTATTCGATACCTCGGCGGGTTAATTGCAGCGTACGATGTCAGCGGCGGTAAAGCTGGTGGGCATGATATTCTCCTCGAGAAGGCGCTCGAGCTCGCGGAGATCCTCATGGGCGCCTTCGACACGCCGAATCGCATGCCTATTTTATATTACAACTGGAAACCAGCTGTCGTGTCGCTTCCCAAAAGAGCCCAAGGAGCAAGTGTTGCTGAGTTGGGCTCCCTCGCCATGGAATTCACCCGTCTCGCTCAAATAACCAAGGAGAATAAGTATTATGATGCCGTAGCACGCATCACGGATGCGTTCTACGAATGGCAAGAGCGAGGGACTGCGATCCCAGGTATTTTCCCAGAACATATAGATGCTAGCGGATGTAATAGGACGGCAGAGGCTATGGTCGCTGCTCTAGAGGCCGAGCAGGAAGAGCAGCGGCAAATTGAGCTGAAGAAGTCTAACTCTGATACTTCCAATGGTAAGTCCGTTGAGACAGGCGATAGTCGAAACAAATCAAGCAAAGACGAGTTCCATACCTTAGAAAGACGCTCTCAAGTGGGAACACCCAACGATGATGGCACCAAATCAGTCAAAATCGTAACAAATGGTGAGGAAATATACGCTCCGTCGGAGAAGACGGGTGCTCCCAAAAGCAATAAGAACGACAGGAGCGAAAGTAGTCCTGTATCTCGGACCCCTAGTAACAAGTCGGAAGAGTCCAAACCGAAGGATAAGTGTATTCCACAAGGGCTGACACCCGGGTCGTTCTATTCCAACCAACAATACGGCATGGGTGGAAGCCAAGACAGCACATATGAATACTTCCCCAAACAATGGCTGCTCCTTGGTGGTCTCGAGCCCAAATATAAAACCCTGCATACCAAGGCTGTCGCGGCTGTCAAGAAGTGGCTATTATACCGGCCCATGGTTCCTGATGACCGTGACATACTCTTCTCTGCTAAGATCAACACCCAAGGGAATCCGGAGACCGATGCCTCAACCCAGTGGGAAGTCACTCATCTCACTTGCTTTCTCGGAGGAATGTTCGGGATGGGCGGAAAGGTCTTTGAGGTACCAGAAGATGTAGAGATCGGGAAAAGGCTCACCGACGGCTGCGTATGGGCTTACGAAAGCACTCCGAGCGGTATCATGCCAGAGGGCGCCACTGTTGTCCCTTGTGCTGAGGCAAATAACTGCCATTGGAATGAGACTCTGTATTGGCAATGGTTGGATCCTCTCCATGATACACACGATGAAGAGGTTAGAAAATTCGATGCTGAACAGAAGGAGCGAAAAGCCAAGAAGCTGCAGACGACGGATAAGCCGACGATGAAAGGACACCCGAATCTGGGTACGGGGACTGAAGAGACGGCGTCAAGCAAGGGCGAATCGGCGGATACTAGAATTCATAGGAGAGTGCCTCCACCAATACACAGTTATCCGGATCGGGCAGAAGGGGCGCGAGACCTTACAAGCAGCGATAGAAGTCAGGTTCCCCTTCAATCAGAAGAAGATGATAGCGAAGTCCCGGAACCGGTCCGCCCATTGTCATCTAAAGAATACGCAGAGAATCGTATTCAGTCGGATAATCTACCACCCGGCTTTGTCAGTGCCAATTACCACTCATATATCCTCCGGTAAGTACCTATCCCAGATAATAATAATTAAAGTATAGTTACAACATACCACGAGCTAAAAAGTCCAACTAACACTCTCCATAGGCCGGAGGCCATTGAGTCCGTATGGTACATGTACCGCATCACGGGCGATAGCATCTGGCAAGAGAAGGGGTGGAAAATGTTCAATGCCATTGTTAGGCAGACTCGGACGGAGGTTGGTAACAGCGCCATCGATAACGTATTATTAGAGAATCCGGTCAAAACAGACCAGATGGAGAGTTTCTGGTTAGCTGAGACGCTGAAATATTTTTACCTGCTGTAAGTGACCTCGTGCTAACTTGAAGTTGAACTCGAGGTTTTTGCAAAACTGATTCCTGACGAGCTTTACAGATACTCAGATCCTGACCTCATTAGCTTGGATGAGTGGGTGCTGAACACAGAGGCGCATCCTTTTAAGAGGCCTGTTTGAACGAGCGCCTAGGCAAAGGCCCAAATAGATCATTCTTTTTTTGCATAGAATACCAAACCACAACCAAGTCCGCAATGAGAACTCAAGCATAAGGTACCTGCTAATATATTTAGAAGTTTCCTACCTAACCCATGGCAGGCATTCATTTGCTGGATAAATCTACTCTACAAAAGCTGAAGAATTCGTGAGCTAGTTATAGGAGTTTGTTCCACGTAAGTGCAGGGATAATAACGCGTCATCATCATCTACCACGAGCACGTAGAGCACATAGAGCACCTATCCGTATTTATTATTATTATTATTATTATTTACGTCCCTTTCACCCGACGGGCTAAGCAAGACAGTCTATCGCATAGCCAAGACGAGAAGAGGATTATTTTCTACGTATAGAAAATATGTTGATAGAAATACAGCCTCACCGACTCGGGGATTATTGACGTTTTCGGAGGTGTGGGTAAAGGTAAGTTTGGATAGAAAGTAAGTTCGGATAGACGCGGTTTTATTAAAGATATGATTGATATCTTAGGATGTATCTACATTGGAAGTATATCATCAGCCTAAGCAGCTAAAGTACCTAACCTAAGACCAATTCGAGTCACCGAACCAACTATATTCATGCATAGTCATAAATTTCTTTTACATAACCTGGCTCCGAGCGCGGCATTGACAGGGGCGACACCTATGTGGGTAGGAAGAGGCTTTCGTCCATAGACGCTTTTATTAGTCCCAAGTAGATCCAAAAAGGCCTAATAAGTACTATTAAAGTCCAAGGCACCAAGAGCCGGCACAAGACGCCATAATACGAATTACTGGGCCTAAAGATGGCCTTAGGACAAGAGGACCCAACCCCCGCCTATTGGTTCGGGCCTATCTTTTGTTATATCTCTCATACGGGTTGACGGGGTAGGGGTCATATCTCTAAGGATTATCTTTCTGATAACAAATAATAACCTGAACCACGCTTGGCATTGTTTGGCGACGCTTGAACCATCTTCTCCGCAACAGACTAGCCTTCAAGTGGCAAAGCTCAGCCCCAGGCCAACCCAGACCATTTCCTTTAGGAAGTCCGCCCGGGTGCAAGATCCACTAAACCCCATGGAAGACGTAGGTACCTAACATAGTACTACTATGATAGTACTCCTATGGAAGAGGAACCGAATCGCTGTATCTCTTATATGTACGTAATAACGCGTTTTAATGAGATCCGGCCTCATGATATTAAAATCTATACCTTGGGGTTACGTCTTATTACTCTTGCATTCTGCATCTCACCTGAACCTCACATTCCAGCCGTCCGGATCAAGTCTAATCGTTGAACGTCCTCCCACTCACGCAACGACCTATGAAATCGCTACCCTGGTTTATTTAAAAACTTTCGTTTCGCAAATTCGAACATGGGCCGCAAAAGCGATGATGATGTGGCGTATGCTACGGACGGCATCGGCCGGATCGAGTCTGAGCCGAAAGGTGCAGTACTCGACCGCACCGCTTCGAATCAGATGGGAGAGATGAACCTCGAAAGTGGCCATCAACTGGAAAGAGGACTCAAGAGTCGACACATCCAATTCCTTGCTCTCGGCGGAGCGTGAGTCGCCCCTTATATTTCTCTACGCCTGCATACGCCATACCATGCGGCCAATGAAATTGATAGACTTGCTAACTCCGCTTCTAGGATCGGAACTGGTCTATTCGTCGGCTCCGGCCAGATCTTAGCCACCACGGGCCCGGCACCGCTGCTCATGGCGTACTTGTCTATGATGCTTGTAGTCTGGGTCATCATGAACAACCTTGCGGAAATGGTAACATATCTTCCCATGAAGGGTATCTCAATTCCGTATTTCGTCGGCCGCTTCGTCGAACCTAGTCTCGCCTTCGCTGCCGGCTGGAATTACTGGTACGCTTACGCCATGCTGCTCGCCGCCGAGTGCACAGCCGGCGCTATCATCCTGCAGTACTGGACTACCGCCGTCCCGGTCGCCGTCTGGATTGCTATCCAGCTCATCGTTATCCTGCTGCTGAACATTATCGCGGTTTCATTTTTCGGCGAGGCGGAATTCTGGTTTGCGAGTATAAAGCTTCTTACTATCACCGGCTTGATTATCCTAGGTATCGTCCTGTTTTTCGGCGGTGGCCCTGACCACGATCATCTGTATTTCAGATACTGGCAGGATCCGGGTGCTTTCAAGCCGTACTTGGTGGAAGGAAACACTGGCCGTTTCTTGGCTTATTGGACGGCCTTTGCGCGTGCCGGTTTTTCGTTCGTCACGTCCCCCGAGCTTATCGCGCTTTCGGCCGGCGAGACCGTGGCACCCCGACGCAATATCCCCAAGGCGGCGCGCCGTTTCGTGTGGCGACTGGCCATCTTCTACGGCCTGGGTTCTCTTGTCATCGGTGTCATCGTCCCCAGCAACGAGAAGATGTTAATGGCGGGTGACTCGAACGCGTCGGCCAGCCCCTTTGTCCTCGGTATCGCGCGTGCTGGAATCAAGGGTCTTAACCACGTCATCAACGCCGCCGTGCTAACCTCCGCGTGGTCCGCAGGCAACGCTTTCTGCTACTCGGGCTCGCGTGTGCTTTACTCCATGGCGCTTAACGGCCAGGCCCCACGATGGTTCGGACTCACTACGCGCCGAGGCGTGCCGTATGTTGCGGTACTGTTCACTCTAGTAGTCGCTTGCCTGGGCTTCCTCAACGTGTCCAACTCTGGCGCACAAGTGTTCCAGTGGTTCACCAACATCTCGACTATCTCCGGCTTCATCGCGTGGATCGTAGTTATGATCACGTACATCCGATTCCGAAAGGCGATGGAGCACCACGGGTTGCTCAACGTGCTCCCCTACCGAACACCGCTGCAGCCGTACGCGACGTACGCCGCGCTGTTCATCATCATAATCCTGACCCTGACCAACGGGTTCCAAGTCTTCTTCCCGTCGCAGTGGAGCGTGTCCAACTTCCTCGCCGCGTACATCACCATCCCGATCTTCCTGGTCCTGTACCTCGGACACAAGCTCGTCTATCGCACGCCCGTCGCGACCAAGACCGAGGACGTGGACGTCTGGACGGGGAAGAAGGAGATGGACGATCTTAGCGCCGCGGACGAGGAGCGGATTCCGCGCAACTGGTACGAAAAGGTTTGGTACTGGCTTGCTTAATTTTGGTATGATTATACTTGTTTGAGATACGCAAGGGTTCGGGCGAGGTATATGTGTTATGAGGTAGTGTGATTCCATTGTATTTATGCATTGCTTGTACAAAATGAGAATTTTAAAATAGATAGGTGTCTAACCTAACCTGTGCAAATATATTTGAATTTATTTAGATCTGGATCTTGAATTACGCAATATTAATTGGGAATTTCCTTTCTAATGCTAAGATTTTAAGATCCGTATTTTAACAACCTATCGCAGCACACATCAATGAGATGGTAATAATTAAAGCTTTGCATTATATGCTAAGATGCTAAGATACTGTATATATAGGTACCTAATATCAATTCATATCCGTCATCAGCTTAAATCCGCTATTGTTTATACCAGTATCATTACCCGTGATATCACCCTCCTCACATTCAACCCATCCAATCAATCATGTCATATAATAATCATAAATCGCCCAAACCTAGGTAGGTATGCTTCACATAAGAAGCAACCCTAATACCATAAGCCCGAGGGTAACGCATAAGCTAGTCTTGGGCCGGAACTGCACACCCCAAGACCCAGGTCCCGAAGACCCCGTGGACCCCTCAGCCGACTCCGAGCCGTCTGCCGAAATTGTAGGAGTAGTACTAGTGCTAGTTGGAGCCACGTACGTCGCCGCGACCGTAACCTCGACCACGCCAGCGCCCCCTTCCTTCTTCGTATTAGCCAGGAAACACACCGGCGTCCCGGACGCGCCATACCGCGGGCTTCCCCAGCCCCAGAGGTCGTTCGTCACGGTCGCCGACGGGTCCCCCGCGCCGCCGCTGCTGCTCGACGGGGACGTGCTGTCGGCATACGTGACGAGGTACGGCGTCGCGCGGCCCACGTTCGTCGCGGCCAGGCTCGCGAGCGGGGTGCCCGCGGTTCCCGGGGCGCAAGCGGTCCTCGGATCGGTACTAGCAGGCGCGAAGGCCAGCGCGGCGGTCTGGGTTCCGGCGACGCCGCAGCAGATGAGGTCGGCTAGGTAGACGGGATGGTGGGGGAGGCCGGCGTTAGGGTCTGAGTAGGGGATGATAGGCGACGAGGTGCTGCTGTTGTTGTAGATGTCGAAGGAGGTGTCGACGATCACGCCGTCGCAGCATATCCCCTGGTAGTCGTCGGGGGAGCTGGAGGGGGAGCCGCTTGCGAGGGGCTCCGGACATTGGGCGCCGAATAAGTTCGCGCGCGGGGAGTGCGGGAGGAGACACCATTGAGAGATGGCGCCGGTGGGGATGGATGTTGTGATGGAGGATGGGGATGACATTGTATTGTATTGCAGAAGCGGGTGGTGTTAGTCACTGTTAGTTACTAGGCACCTGGATAGTTACATATATATGTCTTATACCAGGTGACTACATCGTATTTATACGTCTGTCTGCTGTGAGGAGAAGTTATTCATCATTCATCATTCATAGCCTCTGTCATATAAGGTCTCTATGCCGTCACACTTTATACAAATACATAGACGATGCCAAACTTGAAGTAAACACGATTGGCGCTGTAACTCGGCTCGAACGATCAAGTTGTATTAGGCAGCCAATACATAACCCTTGCTATTCACGCCCAGCTTCTTGCTTGTTCGCTGTAGTAAGTTGTAACGTAACTAATGCGGGTTACATGAAGACATATATGTACCTAGGTACATAAGAGGTACCTAATCTACAAGGAATCCAAAGTTAGCCTATTTGATTACTTGAGATAGAAGTGAAGCATCATGAGTTTGTAATTATATGAAAATAGTGCCTAGGTTAGGTACTGTAGAAGATCAAAATCTCCTTGTAAAGATGGTTGTATTTTCTAAAACTGAACTGAACTTAAAAAATGCCCAAATTGAGGTGGGTTAACCCCACAGTACCTGCTAGTGGTCCTGACTCGTAGTTGCACAGTGCAGACAAGTACGATTAACAAACACATATCCCCTCCCCCAAACCACAGCAGCAGCAGCCAAACTTTCGCCAACTCCACTGTATCTCAATAGCGAACAGGAAGGAACTAACCCTCAAGACCCACACCCTAGCCTCCCCACTAACAGGTATAAATACCTGGCCTCCCTCCCATCCATCTTAAAATTTTTCTTCTTCTTTTCTTCTTCATACTTACCTTGGGAGAAAAGCCCTCGCTCAAGAATGAGGGCTTTTAAGGGGGGAGACCTGCATTGCACAGCGCGGAGTCGACCCTCTTCTATTATCCTTCGTGGATCGTAGTTCCCGTAATTTTTGATGTCATTCCAAACTCGGTTTTGATTTTCATTGTGCTCGATGCCTAGTTGCATCGTCATGAAGAAGATTCTGCGATGCGATGCCAACTTGTCCATTTTGATTCGCCGTGATGAAATGCTAAATATTAAGCTCCTGATTATTGATGCTTTGTTATCGTGGTGAATTGAAAACAAAAATGAGGCAAAAGGCATCGACTTCTCCGATTTTGCCCATGGATTTTCCCATACCATCATCGTGCCCCCCCCCCCCCCCCTACTTTCGGCCTCATCGTCAACAAGGTCCTATATCATAACCAACGTCTACTATGACCCTCTACAAAACACAACTTCAAACCATGTAAAACAATTAAAGCCATGAATCGCAAATGCCTACTTAGTACTCTCTCTTAGCAATAAACATGTCACAACCAAAATAATCATCACACTTCACAATAACCAAGAGAGAAATTGTGAGCAATCGAGTTGAATTAATCAATCACATCCAACGGCATCAACACCAAATAATAGACCGGGAGTCCCAAGCGTGCAAAGATGCCATTCTTCTTATAGATAATACAAAAAATCCTATGCGCCAGCTAGGACTTCCTAACTCTTCTTTGCCTTGCCACTTCACCCAACAAACAGGCACGCCGCTTCACCAGATCAACGGCAGCGTGCCCGCTCGCTCGATCCCGCATAAACAAACATGTCCAGGTCTTCTTCGTCTGTCAAATCGTCGTCCCTTCATTACCGACCCTCTCATATATGTGTGTTTATCATGTGTGTAACTCGTCCGTATTCTTTTCTTTCCCCTTCTCCTTCCAACCTTTTCGTGTCTGCGTCCGAATAATTGTTTCGTAAAAAACACGCCATTCGACATTAACATCGACCGCGATCGTCCCTTCGTTCGTAGGTGAAAAGACAATGACAATAAATGGAGTCGGCAAAATGCTGCAACTCAAGGTGACAAAAAAGGACAAAAATCATTATTGCACCGAGGAAGAAACCCCCTCCCCCTTTCTTTGCCAACTCCGTTCCCAGATGCTGACCGATCAACAACAAGAAATATCGTCGTCTTCTATGTCGGACGAGTTCCCCTGCCTCTCTCTCTCCCATATACACATATATGACACGTCGCCGTGACGTGCCACTCCGAGAGAAAAAAAAACAATATACTTCCGTTGCCGTTGCCGTTTTTTAAAAGTTTCCTTCCTCATTTCCCTTATTTATTTATTTATTATTGTTTTGTTTTCTTCTCCATTATTTAGTCCGCTAGTGCCGACAGCACCCTGATACTTAAAATCATGACCAGCAGGCCGATGGTGACGATGATGAGCAGCGTGAAGCTGAACCAGCCCATGACCATGGCGCTGGAGCCGATCCCCGACAGGACGCTGCCGTTGCCGAAGTCCTGGGCGATGATGGAGGCGGCGACGGAGGCCGTGTGCTGCCACAGGACGGACACGAGGACGAAGATGGAGGCGATGAAGATGATGGCGAGGGCGACCTGGGAGACAGGACGGCTGGGGAACGGCTTGATCTCGCGGTCGGAGCCGTCCTCGTCCTCTTCCTCGTGCCAGCCGGGGAAAGTGGCCAGGAGCAGGAAGCAGACGAAGGCGAAGATGATGGCGATGATGATGAGGTAGGGGAACACGATCATGTCCTTGAACTGGCTGGCCAGCCAGATGAGGTTCAGCGGGTCCTGGTCGACCGATACCTCATTGGCCAGCGCCGTCGCATTGTTGCTGCATAGCCAGGAGCCGCCGTCCGGGTTGATGCAGATCCCGAAGTAACCCACGCGGGCCTGCAGGTGCGCGGACCCGACGATGTTGCTGATGGCCTGGTTGACGTTGTAGTCGACTTGCGATGTGTCCGGCACGGCCGTGTACTTCTCGTAGTAGAGGGAGAGTAGGAAGATGTCGGGTATGAGCGGTGAGGATGACGAACAACCTGCCAGTAGCAGAGCTATTGATCAAAGAATGCTGTTAGTACGACAATCTAATCCAAGAGACAATGCAAAAAAAGCTGGAATGTAGCCCAACGTACATAATAATATTATTGAGACTGCGATTAGTATCATCAAAACATGGTGGTATCCGAGGAACGGTATAAACCCTATAATGATCCCATTGTTAGTACTCGCCGACTAGAGACAGTGGGGGTTTTCTGTTGGGATTTGCACTTACGATACCAACCGATCCGAAAATTAGGCATCGTTTCTCTTTATTCCCAAAGAATCCCGAGGTGTATTACCCTCTTTCCACTCCCGTCCTCCCGGGGAGCGACGGTGTGGCCTAACGAACTCGAGCGGCGCCAACGCTGGAATGCGACGACGTTCGGGCGGCGAGAAGGGGATGCTCGAGACGGAATGCGAACAGGCACTGCTAATCTCGAAAATCCCACGGCCGTCGTGTGGAATGTGGTCACCGTGCTCGGACTCTAACCGTAGGCACGGATATATAAAAAGAGCGGACCGTCGTCGTCGACACAATTTGTTTTTTCTAATATCGTCGATACCTAAATATCGGTATTAAACCTTTTCTGTGCTTGTCAGATTCACACTTCGAACAACGCAAGGCACGGAAGGGTATTGTGCAGTTGCTGGGTGGACGAGGTAGGGCGGGTTCAGGTGAGGAACCAAATGATAAGGTAAAAGGTGAAAAAGGTATGGGGTTGGTAATTGATAGGGACGATTAGGTATTGTAACTTAGAAGTTCAATCGGTTTTCTTCCGGACAACAGCCCTTTGCCCTTCGGAAAATCCTAGATGGGGAAGAAGAGTTAGAATTGTCTATGGAGACTTGGTACGGTTAGCAGGTTCTAATTCTTCTTTCCCTCCTTTTTTTCCCTTCGATACTACAATTGTGGGTAGAAGAGAGGAGGTTGGTAGTAAAAAAAAAGATGGAGTGTGTACGAAAGTATGATCTAAAAGATGTAGATGCATGAGTTGCAGTAGAGAATCTGCAATTGGCCCTGCCACCTGGATTTGCGGTGATGATATCGGGGCCCAAGACCAGGGCCGAGTAAATAAAAGATGTGGCTGGGGGTTGCTAGAGCGATGCCCACCCAGTAAAAAGCCCAGGAAAGCCTCAAATGTTATGTGGAGCCAAGCCAACCGCCAAGCCCCGCCTACGACCTAAATAGGTACTTTGTTTTTTGCGGGTGGTTGGCCAGTCCGCGGAGGTACCCTGATAGCCAATTGTTCCTGCGTTAGCAAGACAGAGCTGGCCAATCGAGGACGAGATCATGCAGCTAGAAATGACGTGGTCTTTTGTCCACCTCACCGTACCAACGTACACAACAAAAGGGTTTTGCCGATATTCCGCAGGTAACAATTGGTGCCCTATTTCAGCCTGTACAACTGCCATGGGTAATACGATCTCCCCCATCCCGCTGTTGCACTACTTTTTACTCGATCTATTCCACCATGAACTAGGGAATCGGCATTGGCTGTATCTCGTGCATTAGATCTTTTTATTTTTTTTTACGAACGTTAATTAATCATAGGTACGTTTCAAGTTTTTCTATAAAACATTTTAATTCGTAAATTCCTTGTATATCAAAATTCAGATATAAACGATCGTATCGATAATGTTAAAAAAGTCAAGATCTGTTGTTCCCCCCCGATAATTCCCGGTTTTGATTCCTATTAAACACGGATGATGTACTATGTATTAGGTAACTTCAGGGATCTTCGCCATTAAATCTTCCGAAGCGTTGGAAGAGCACGACATAGCAGATCAGGGCAGATATTATATTTGCTCGCTCTCAATCTATTAATTATTCTTCTTGGTGCATAATGGGCCAAGTATAGGTTTTCATTAATCCCCTTTTAGATCCTCACATTGACGAAGTATCTGCCTTGAGAACTTCAAATAGGAATTCTGAAAAATCATAAGAGGTGGTTCATTTCGGCCAATTATTCAAAATACCTATCCATTCCGGAGACTTATAACAGAGGCACCCAATAGTTTAAGCCCTAAGCCCACGCATTAAACCACCTGATGGCCTGGAAGAATGCCTCTTCTTTCCCAAATTTCTGCTTTGGATCCGAAATGTTCGCTCTAACACCGAAGCCGTGCTGAGTCCCCCCGTACAACGCAAGGGAGTAAGGGAACCCCGTTTCGAGAAGCAGCGCCTCGATTTGCGATCGCCTCGCGGCCGGCGTCAACTCATCAGCATCTACGGATTAAAAAGGTGAAGTTAGCTTGTAAAGATAATCCACGTTGAAAGTCTGCGGGAGTCACCAACCTGCCGCCGCAATACTAGCAGGCCCCTTCAAAGCCGAGATCTCGGCATCCTCCAGCAAACTCGGATGAGCAGCGAAACCCACATCCACGCCCTTCCCCTCCGCCAAGAACCGGAACGTGTACCGGCCGCCAAAACAGTACCCAGTAGCCACTACCTTCTTTACACCTAGCGTGGTGCGCATGAAGTCGATGGCAGTCTCGATGATAGGGTCGCTGACTTCGGGCCGATGGTCATCGAGAAATTTGGTCGTGTTAAAACCCGGCTGCCCGTTGATATCCCCTGGAGCCGGCGTGCCGTTGAATAGGTCCGGCGCGACCGTGAGATAACCCGCTCGTCCGAAGCTATCCGCCAGTCTTGAACGATGTCAATTTGAATCAAATGCACTGTAGTATTGTTGTAGCGACATACAGTTTGTTTTCCAGCAACTGGATACCGAACACGTCCGTCAAATATAATACGCCTACATCCGATGTATTGCCCGTGACATACATATTGACTATTCTAAAGTAAGCTCCTTGTCATCGATATTTGCTTGGACGGAGGAACATACTCCCTTCGTAAAGTTGCTCCTTTCCAACTGGATCGCCGCTATGGGCAATGATAGAGGTGCCCGTAGGGGGACAGTCTTCGGACACCGACGTCGCGCCGGCTAAAGCGCCAATACTCAACAGCGCAACTAAAGAGGTAAATCTCGGCATCTTTAACGATATGTGTATACTGGTAATTAGTTGAGGTGGAAGAGATTCTCGAACGACTACGAACGCTCTCTCCTTATATATCCGGAAATCGGTTTTAAGAGAGTATAAAGCCGTCTGCCAAGTGATAAAGCCCACCGACTTCCTCTTCAAGCAAAGCAAGCGTGTGGAGAGCGCTCTCGGATACTCTTTTGGGCATTGCGTTGTGACGGTAGACCTCAAGTCGACTATCGGCTAATCATCATCAATACCTAGACGTCCGTTACGCGCGGTCGTCTCTTTGGCTATGATGGCTTAACATTGCTATGCTACGTCAATTTATGCTTTGACAGACATAACTGCCCAGGTGAATATATGTATTTTAATGATCGGCTGCACCTAATTAAGGTAACCTAATGGAGTCTAACAGTCCATTTTGATAGCGCCAGCATCGGCGGCTAACTATTGTGAAGACGAACATGACTCGATCAAGCCTGCGCAGGTATAATTTTGAAAATCAAATACTGTGCCCCATTTGGACCACGCATAATAACAATTGACATGTGACTCAAATCAACGGTTCTGTGTTATCAGAATGATCACATCAAGTCGCATGGTTCATATTAACATTGTAGGGTACTTGTCAACATACCTCATGTGTACAGAGAGTGGAGGGACATACTGTACATATACATAATCATAACGGTAGAATGAGCATTTCCTCTCCCTCTCTACTTGAAGTAGATATATAATGCTATTATATATGTCTATAAGATATAGTATCTTTCTAACCAGTTCAATTAGGAAGTGATTTTTGATTTCGTTGCTATTACCGTTGCGATTTCCGGAATGAACAGTGTTTACTCTCTATAGACTTGGTAGCTACAATTGAAGGATGGTTTTCGGGGGGTTTCTTGATATTGGTCCAACTTGAAATATCTTCTAGTTTCCTCAAGTCTATGCGAATGAGGATTCTTACACGAACTTTCACCTGTCCCATTGCTGAAAGTATGTGTACCCCCTACCTGTCATGGGGACCTTGGAGGTCAGTATGTTCTAGCCTCAGAAATGTGCATTGCAACCCTTCAAGGATGCGAGGGCAGATATCCTATCTACGTTGTCTGGAGCCTCGAGCAACACTAGGTTCTCATTATAGTGCTTAGAACGTTTCTATCTTAATATATAATATATGTCTGATAACTATAGCGGATACAAGCTGTTACGGAGTTATCCTGGTTCATTCAGATGTCCTGTATAGGGCTTCGTCTTTAGCGAAATTGTAATGTTATTAATCCATTATCTTTAAATCCGTCGACGGACTGAGCGGATTGAGCTTCTACGATGAGAGAAACACGTGCGGAAGCTTCGGATGGAGATAAAGTATGTTTGTCGGAGATAAACATCGTGCGCTCTGATCCTGCGAATAAATGAAAATCGCGACATGCTCCCTAGGTAATTAATCAACATCAGTGGAGCTTAGTAAGACAATTCTTTCAACTTTATGTCTTCAACTTGTCTTAGCTTATAGAAATATTGAAATATGTAATACATTATGATACCTAGGTAGGTAGCTAACAAAATATTGTTAGTGATGATAACTAAGGCTTATAGAATTACCTGTTAAACTATAGCCTTATGAAATCATGCTAGACTATTAAGTGAATGGTATTATCGTGACCACACGTGGAGTAAAGTTGTGTTAGCCCTTACGTGTATCCCCCTATTCAAGCCATCGTTCTAGACCGCCTTATAGAAAAACTAAGAGCGGTTATTTTTAGGTGTGGCTGAACCAAGTTTTGACAAGTTAGGATTCGTTATTTTTGGAGTGGACGAAAATACGCTGTCCCAGTTTTGCGCGTGTGCTGAATTCGGAAGTTCGTTTCCTCTTGAATCCTCCCTCAACCCTGATAATTTACAACTGTATAACATCACCAACAGGCATGATATTTTCTGTTACCGATAGAGACAAGGCGATAAGCGGAGTTTCAACTTGTAAGTATCTACCTATTTTGGCCTACATAGAGAATTCAGCTACTATTTACGACTCTCAAACTCAACCAGAAGAAGTGATAATATGTTAAAGGATTAGTGTTTCAGTATTTGTACCCCAGAGTGTTATATTCGAAAGAGGCAATGGAGAAGACTTGGAGGATATATATCTGATCGTCCTACACGATGGGCTAAGGAAGGTATGTGATCTGCAGCGGTCATCTCACATCTCTCACTCACCATGAAAGCTTCCACTTCATACCTCCTCACTGCGCTGGTCGCAGGCGCCTACGCAAAGGACCAAGGGACGTACGCCGTGTTGCGGTTCAACAATGCCGGTGGTCAATTCTCTACCGAGGGCCGAATGGACCCCATCGCCAGCCCCGGCTCAGACAAGACGCACTCTCACGGAATAATGGGTGGAAGCAACTTCGATGTTGTTGTGGAGGGTGACCAGCTCCTAGATGCCAATTGCACCAACGCTAAGATCCTTAACGACAAGTCGAACTACTGGGTGCCTAACTTGTGGTTCCAATCCGTACGTATTCGGAACAATCGCATTTTATGAACGCTAAGTATCGCTAACTTACCCGAAGCCAGTCAACGGCACTTTCAAGAAGGTACCCTTGTTCTACATGAACGTCTACTACTTGTAAGCTACAGCCCATCTCCAAGTCGCCGTTGCCTGAGGCAGTTTCTAATCGCTTGTCAGCTTCGATGCCACAAATGATGAGATCAAAGCTTTCCCACCGGGAATCAAGATCATGAGTGGCGATACCGACAGGAGGACACCGCCCGCAACCGGGGGTCTCCAGCTCGACCCCACCAAAGGCGAGATTCAAGCAGTTCAGTGGACCTGCCCCACGCAAGATGCCAACATTCCACGATACCCGGCCAGTTCGGACGGCACCAAAGCCGGACTTCAGGACCCGTCGAATGCCGGTGCCGGAGCTGGTTTCCCCGTGGTAAACTGCGATGGATATGCCTCCCCTCTCCGACAGGATATCCACATGCCGTCTTGCTACAACCCGGAAGCCGGCTTGAACGACTACAAGAACAACACGGCGTTCCCGACGCCCACCTCCGGCGGAAAGGTGGACTGTCCCCCGGGTTGGGTGCACGTCCCTCACCTATTCTTCGAGGTCTATTACGACACCCCGCAGTTCCAGAACGAGTGGACTCCGGACGGCCAGAATCAGCCGTTCGTGCTGTCGAACGGCGACCGCACCGGATACAGCTCCCACGCGGATTTCATCTCCGGATGGGATCAGAACACTCTTCAGCGGATCATCGACACGTGCAATGCTGGTTTCGTCGGCATGGATACGTGCCCCGACATCCCCGGTGGCTTGAACACCGAGATATGCCAGATTCCGAGCAAGAACCCCGATCCAACTGAGCCGTGGATCTCGCAGCTTCCGGGAGACAACACAGTCTCTGGATGGGGAGTATAAGCCGTACTACTAGGCACTCTTCCTTTTATTCGATTCATTATTGTATATATTACCCGCGGCGGGCCGTCTGTATGAGTACCGCTCTGTTCATGTGTATATATCTTGCTGGCGCAGAGGGAAGAGCATTGGGTTGTTTGACGTTATATTGTCATAAGTATGGCTATCATTTTCTAACTTGGAGTACAAGAACAAATGTATAAAATTACATAGGGATCGAATATGGGAAATTATAGACTTAGGTGCCAATCGAACAGAGTTGGATAAGCAATCGCTCGTTTGCGAACCTTCCTACTTCATAGCTAAACTTCCCTTATAATATTAAGAATTCTCATGCTATTCCCTCTTTGGAAAACGATGAGATGCTAGCGTTAACCCGGAGAGAACGACACAGCGCTAATGAAAGACTTCGAGAGAGTTAATAGTTAAATAAAAGCGATATAATCCATATTATATATTGTATAGTAATCCCCGAAGTGTAGGGGTTCAGATCACAACTTTCCTATAAGCAATTTAAATAAAATGTATACTCTTTATCTCTGCATCCAAGCTACGCCTTCTGTATAAAACTACCTTTGCTGTAGTTTAGTAGATAAACATAATATAGTTAGCTATGTAGGTACCTAGAGCTATCTTAGTTTGTGCGCCGTATCGTTCAAACAACTTAATTTTTTTTTATACCGCCCAAGATGGGAAATTATCTGAGTCATCCTGCCTCTTCTAAGAGGAAGGCTGACGGAATTTCCACGGATGAGAATGAGAAATAGTTCAGCATCCCCATTAGCACAGCGCCTAAGAAGGCCAAGACAGACAATAATGATCCGAAGTCCAGGCGCAAAGGCATGGATATTCCGGTAGGTAAACCGAGACCAAGGTACAGTCCATATTTTAAATGTGCTTGCATATCTTAACATCAAAGAACTAAATACCACCTGGGTAGTAGTCGTGCTCACCCAACATAGTCGGGGAGTCGTGTAGAACCGAAAGTTTGTAAACTAGGTGCCGATGACATTCTATGCCTTGAGTTCATATGAAGGTAATTCATCATAGAGGCGTATATTTTCGAGTTAACCTCCCCAGTTATTACGGTATGTGGAAGCACTATGGTATTACTTTGATCTTTGTATTAATTCTATATCTCAGCTGTCGTCTTCACTACCTGTCTCTCGATTCCCAACGGACCACACTTGTTTTACTATGATGCCGTCAGGTGCCATGGGTAACGACTGGGAATGTACGCTATCGCGATTCCCCGTAGTTATAATCGTTCTTATCCCCGTTTGGAGGTTAAGTTTGAGGTTGGGCATCGATTCCGAGGACTTGGTACTTCGGATCGACCTTCCGTCGTCTTGCGCATCTTGTTTGCGTGATCGTTCCAGGTCCATGCGGTTAAGCTCCGTTTCGCTGCCGTCGAAAGGCCTCCTAGCACCGTTCGTTCTCAACAAGCTCTTGTCCCGATTCACCGTGTGCCGTGAAAAGGGGTTCGTGGTATTGAAATATTTCTGCGAATGCTTTTTCGAATACTGCTGTGGGGTGTCCGTGCCCTTCTTCATGGGCCAGAAGCGACGGGAAAATCGGCGTAACAGCGGTCCGAAGGCGATGAGCGCTGAACATATGAGTCCGGAGGCAGATTCTGCCTCTCCCCACGCTGCAACTGGTACAAGATCGTATGAGATATCCACGGCCACCTTGGCGAAGAATACCATACGGCATATCGATACGATACATGTGCTTTTTTTGGTGCTAGTTAGAAGAGCTGACGGCAATACGACTTTGGACGAATCTGAGACAGGTACTCACAAGAAGCCCAAGGCAAATATGCCGAGAACCGCCCACATCTTCTCCCTTTTCAAGTTAAGACGAACAACCACGGGCACAGGCAGCGCAAGGATGATTACATCGGTTAAAATATTGCCTATGGAATTCATCCATCCGATGAGGCTGCTATCCAAGCACTTGCGATCGGGCGAAAAACTCCAATAGTCACGGATGGGCGTGCAGGGGAAAATAAAGGTGAACTGTTGCGCGACGACCCAACATCCAACTACAGCCATAGTAGAAATATAGTATATACGGTAACGGGGTACCTCCTGAATTAGCCGGTAATACTGGAGGAACAAACTGAATTTTATTACCATCAAGGTCGCATTGTAAGTGATCGTCGTGACGTAAAAGAACTGTAAGCGGATAAATTAGAACTTGAGGACTTCACCAGTCGAACTCTTTCGGGGACATCGGTGTTCATACTTTAAAAAATTGAATGAGTTTTTCTTCGCTATCGATGTCGTATATATGAGAACCTAATCCGTATCTCGTATGTATGCATTGGAGTATGCCGTTGGAAATCATCCCGATCTAATAGGGGAAAGTCAGATGCTATTCATTCCTTATACCGCGGATTGATACCATTAATTCGCAGGTGTAACAGACGGCTTACCATTCCAGCCAGGGCCATGTAATCATCGAGCCAGATTCTCCTTAGAATGAAATGTCTTGTGTATAATCGTAAACACACGGCTATTGTAGCGGAGAGCATACATAATACTACAGCTGTTATCGTATGGCCGGCTCGGTTGTCGTGCGGAAGACGGCTGATGGCCTCCGCGTCCATGCCATAGTAGTCCATCTTGTCGCCGAGTCCTCCCCGGATTCACTCGGAGTGCTACCAGATCGTTCGGTAGATTCAGTTGAATACGATTTCCACAAGGTACCAATCTTTAAGACATCTTGTCCTAAGTCAAATGACGCGACCCTGGAGAAAGGTAGGTACGAAGAAAGAGAAAAAGAAAAGATCGAAGTCGTTCATCTCGGATCCAGGTATGTAATGCAAGGCACCTATCAGCCACTCACGTTTTCATTTGCTGTGGAGTCGTTACCATCTAGTGTAAATTCGCCTTGACGCATTTTGCTGCTGCTATCTCCCTACGGGTTAGCCTTAAGATGATCCCCGAAACTAGTCTTTGCAGTGACCTGCTTCGCTAGGCTACGATTGGGTGATTGGATGGGAAACTTAACAAATGGAATTTATCCTTTACTGGACTATGCCGGTCCACGATTATTGAAGCTATCCGCATCGTAGTTTAGCCGCATTGATAGTAGGTTTGAGCATTGAGCCTAGAGCCTGTTCCTAGATCACCTAACTTGGCGGTCTAAGTAGTGTAGTTATGCTTTCTAGGGCCAAGCTACATTTCTAAAAGGCCTAGGTATCAGCAATTTTGGAATAGTCTACCCCTGATTCTACTTTTCGATGGATACGTTTGATGGCGAAATCGAAACTACCGTGATCGTAGGGGCTAAAATGTCATTGAAGGAAGGGATCCAATAGCAAGCCTCTGGCCCCATTCAGATTGATCCCCAATGTGACAGGAAATCTCATGCATACCTAACCTTACCTAACGTATCTCGATGATGGAACCACGCAAGGAGAATGTGTGGTTGAGAATGTGTGGTTCCTGGGGCAGACAGCTCACGCTTTGATCTCCTCAGAATAGACCGGGGGTTTCATCAGTTCGTCTTGGCCGGAACCCATTCAATCGGTTTCCGCACGAATAGCTGGCGATTGTTATAAACTAACGACAAGATAAACAAGCTCATTTTAAACCCAACCCTACAGCAGTGAGAATTAAATGCAGTATTATGCATTCCGGTCACACGATTAGCTACCTAATTAACTTTGACAGAAGTTGGGGTACATCAACATCAACATCAACAAGACTATGGAGAACTGATAATCAAGTAACTTACATAGCCTAACCTAACCTAACCTACCTAAGGTTAGGTACCTAACCCAAGTATTTAGCTCTATCCAAGTAACTATCTCCAATGCCGTCAACGAGAGTAGCATACAATTACCAGCGCAAATGCCACATTTGTTACAGATTATACTTATTTACCAACACCGATATCAGATCCGAAATGGGTCAGCCATTACAGGAGTATACTATGTATAGGATAATTGCCTACCTAACCTAACCAAGATGTGATCTGCCCGTACGGTTTATGCGGTCTATGCAATCGTTTCATGACTCAAGAGCATTACATAGTAGACGGGCTCTGTCTGGGTAACTGAGACGCACCGGAAATAGTATGTAAGGTCCAGGGATATTCCCTCGGCTATTTTATCTCCTTAAGATAACGTTTTCAACTAACAAGTACATTAGAGGTAGTATCTAGCTCAGACAAGTTAGGTCTAAATATGGGAACTCATCCAGGCAGCTAGTTCCCCACAAAGAGATGTGGTTCGCTTAAAGTAAAGAAAGAAAAAGTCGGCTAACTCCGAGTGTTTACTACTTATACCAATTGCTCTTAGCCAAGCATCGTGCTATGAGCCACTCGACGTTCTCGAAATGAGGTGGATTCAACTGTTATGATTTCGCGAGTGGTGATTCTAACGTGTCAGCACTAAAAAAAAATCCCATGTATCCGGCTATACATTGCCCAGGTCTACCTTGCATCCGTCAGCTGGCTTCAGCGACACCGCCGCCATCTGTCTCTCCTTGCCCGACACCTGGATCCGTTCGCCGACTGGGAGTTTTATGAACGGGAAGCGCTGTAGGATGCGCACGATCGTATACGCGCCCCCGGTTAAGGAGAAATCCACTAGTTATTAGGTAGATCATGTCAGCGAGAATAAAAAAAAAAGATACAAATTTCTATCATGCTGACGCGTATTTGGGTTGACATACTCCCCAGACATGTTCGAGGACCACCACCAAAAGGTAGGTACGTCCACTCGCGGTGTGTCATATCGCGAGAACGGAGGGGTTCCTCATCCCATCTTTCGGGGCGGAACACTTCTGCATCCATTCCGTAGATATCCGGTCGTCTATGGATGCAGTAGGAACTATATAGTACGCTCATCCCTTTCGGTATAAGGATAGGTGACTTCCCGCCAGGCCCCCATACCGGCAGTATCGTATCCCTAACTGCGGTACGAGATATGAGAGGTAGCGGCGGGTGTAATCTCAATACTTGAAACATCGCGTTAGTAGATTCAAGCACAGAGCCCCTATTATTATTACCCTGACCTACCTTCTTTTATGACGTTTTGAAGGTAGCTTAGTCGAAGCAGATCTGCTCGTGTCATGGGAGTCGCAGTCTCGTCCACTTGAGAAATTTCCGACTGTAGTTTCTTCAAGACTGATGGATGCCTCAGGAGATGAAAACTAGATCAATGTGAGAATTCGACACCTTGAAGTCTACTGTCGAGATGGACGCGACTTACAAAGTCCATGATAGAAAACTAGCCGTAGTGTCCCTTCCTGCTGTAAGAATACTTATCGTATGGCCCCTAAGAGTATCCCGCTCAGGATAGTATTGTGCGATACTCCTTAGGAAAGGGGGTCTTCCTGAATACCCCTCGTCAACGCTAGTCGTTAGAGCGTTGTGTATCACGCGGTCCACGAAGCGATGGATGATGTTACACGCCTTTCGGAATTTCTTGCTGCCAACCAGCCAATAAAGCTTTTGAAGTCGAAGTCTCCTAGCCGAGATGATCTGGGCTTGGTTGAATGCCTCTTCAAATTCTCGACTCGCCGCGCTGGAGTCTAGGCACTGGCTCCCTACAGACTCTCCAAAGAGGAATTCGGTAGTCAGATCGAGCGTGAGATGAAAAAATAGGGGCTCTAAGTCGATGACATCTGTCGCTGCGCCAGTGATTACCTGCAGTAGATTATCCACGTGTGGCCTTAAAATATCTAGGCTCTCGTAGTTTCGATGATAAAAATGCGGGCGTAAAATATCCCGCGAATGTTTCCATGCACTCCCTTCCTGGATGAAGATGCTATCACCAAACAACGGAGAGAAGATGGTGCGCCGAAAGCCCAGACCCCAGTCTATGACCACTTGTTAGTATCATAGTCCCTCATCAAGGATTTCGTATTTTCTTTTGTGCACCTTTTGAATTTGTCGAAAGTATGGCCTCGATAGCCGCCGAGTCGATGGTCATCAGGGACTCGTTCCACCCGATAACCTGTCGGTAAGTATTCCCAAATTTACGAAAGTTGTCCAAGAAAAACTCCATGACACGGGATTCGTCGGATGCAACCAGTGTCCTTGTTAGCAAGTCGATGCCGAGGGGCCATCTATTTGCTAGCGGGATAGAGTCGCAAGTGAGTGCTTGTTCTTTTTCTACCGACAGCTTCTCCCATACGCTATTAGATTCAATTTTTAATGGATTATGAGGAAACTATCTCACCTCTTTACTGGAGGATATATTGAGAGCCCGGTATGCAAAGAAAACCACGGCTGCTAGAATTGGATAAATCCAAGCAAATGCCATGGGGAAAGTCCCGGCGCCTGAGATAGTGGGAACGAACATATTCAAAGAAACGACCGTAGTCTGTACGCTAATTCGTAATGCCTCGTTGATAATTGAGTATAAACAAGCTTGGAGGCCCCGGCATTATATGTGTTGGAAAAGGAAGATGTGTCTAGAAAAGCCCTGTCGCCCTTGCGTATATCATGCATAACCATGATACTCTGTTAACCTAGCCCATTGGAAGATTGGAAGGGACCCCAACTTATAATACATGCCGTGTAACACTGACAAAAACACTTTGAGGATAGATACCAATGGATAGATTTTTATTTTGGATACTATCGCTTCTTTTGTAATCTTTGGTGGAAAGATTGTCAGACTTAGAATTTTAACATTATAGACATGCAGCCGGTTGTTCCGAGCTGTCGGAATTGATGGTTCGATTTATCGGACCTATCTAACTGGTTATGACTTCTTTTACTCATGGTATATCGACAAATGTGAGCCAACGATAGTTCAATTAGAAACTCTGATTTTATAATGAGGTTAGACCAGCTTGCTTCGCCCAGTGTAGTCCGCACCTATGGCAATGATGCAACGCCATCACCCTGAGAATTCTCACCACTGGCTTTCGTCATCTCCCACCCTCGGTTCCTATACTTCTTCGGCCAGATACCGCATCGTCCGGGAGCCATGATACCGTTGGGATCCAGTGCATCTTTCAACTTCTCGTGGAACTTCATCAGCGCACCGTCATTCCAGTTATATGTTCCAGCGACCTGGTCCATTAGGACTAAGTGCGTTCGGTATTCCCCATACCCGCAAGCCGCCGCGTCGTCTACCATATATCGTAGGCAGTCCAGCACGTCCTTGCGACGCTTTGGATCCGCGCGATCGTATACAAGCTCGACGATTAGATGCATTTCGCGCAGACCGACACAGAACGCCGGAAACAAGTCTACCCCGAACTCTTTATGCCTACACTTAGCAAGTTCGAACAACTTCGTCGCATCGGTGCCTCGGATCGGGCTAACAGGCGAAAACGCGATGTGCGCGCCGTTGGGCATCCAGTTAACCCAACGCAACTCTTCGAGTTCGGGAGTGCCTGAGGCAATGCGATCTCTGGCCCAAAAATACTCATCTTGTGGCAGCGTCGATGGATTAATCCGACGAGCACCCGGGACTTTCTTGAATTCCGTGTCGATAATAGAGAGCTTGTACTGGCGGATATGCGGGGGACCGTATGACATGCCATAGTACACCCATGTATGATCGCCAATAGGTAGGGTGGCCGCGACTTCGTGCACTATGTTGTCTGGGATCGTGCCCTCGCCCTTATAAAAGTCAGTCCGCGGCCGACCGCGGACTGCGATTGTTTGCGTGACATGCCGTAGCTGTGCAACATTCTCCAGGATGTTGCTGATGCGGAGCGGACGAATGATTTCGATCTAAATACGACCCCTCTTTGAGTATTCTGCATAATACTCTCCAGGCCAAGATACTTACTAGCTGATCAAGGTCTTCTTCCTTTTGGAAGGTGTATATCTGTCAGACGCAATATTAGCGCTTCGAATTTCAGATTATTTGCCATAGCTGGAATCTTACAAAGCCTTCATGTCCGCCCGGATTAGGCATCAAAGTCATTCCCATCTTGGTCACAATTCCAAAGTTAGACTGCGAGAATATTCCACTGGATACCATGTTGTTAGCCAACGAATGCTGCCTCTAGTGTCGACGGAAATGACGAACTCGGAATAAGGACCGAATCCGTAAGGAAACGTCTGCCAAGTATTATTTCCCGGAAGAGCTCCCATACCCGTTCGTATAACCTCTCCAGTTGGAAGCACAACTTCTAAGCCCGAATGACATGCCCAATGATCACCGTAGGGAGTATATCCAACCCCGCGATCTACGGTGTTCCCTATAACGGAACCACCTCCCACGTCCGGGACGTCTATCCAAAGGTGATCGTATCCCTTGGCCTTGATCGCCTCATAAAGGGCGAAGAACGAGACCCCCGGCTCAAGAAGGCAGGTATAATCCTCTGGACTAATGTCAAGTATCTTATTCATGCGCCTGCCGAGATCAACAAGTACGGACCCACGTACTCGGGGCGCTGCGCCGCCATATCCCACTAGTACCGTTAGTCGCGAGTTTCCACGATCCCATTGCTTGAGAGTTCACTCACGATTTCGACCCATGGAGATGGGGAAAATGGGGATGTGATATTTATTCGCCCACAGTACAACTTGCTGAACCTCCTCAGTACTTCCGGGATAAACCATAGCGGACGGTACCAGTTCCTCCTCATCGAGTATTGTCATTAAATCATGGGTATTTGGATCTAAATGCCTTGTTATCAACTGTAGGTAGTTTCTGGTTGCTACTTACGTTTCACTTACGTTCCATGTACCTATTTCATCAAGATTAGAATACAGGTATTTTTGCAGTAGATTAAGTTGTACGAATATATCAACTGGGTGATACTCACCAGCCATCCTTCAACTCTTTGTCGTTCCGTTCGACGTTGCCTTGGCCCAACTGCTTGCTAAGCTCATCGAGGGCAGTAGCAAACACCTGCTCTTCAACACCAGGCGGGATAACAGGTCGCCTTTCCTTCGTGGCCTTGGGTTTCGTTCTCGTTTCGAAGATACCGACTTTGGCCTTCCAGGCTTTCTCTAGGAGAAATTCCGGGATACCGGAGTGGTTCTCCGAGAGAAGGGGCACTTCCGACTGAGCTTCATCCAAGAAAGACATCGTGTTAGGTAAAGATATGATAGGTAGGTACCTAAGGTTGACGAAGCATCAGAAGACCGAGTATGGTACTCCATTCTGAGATCACCTTATATCTTCTACGCATATATCGTGCAGCTAGGGGTTATCGTCTACCCCGCAGGTAGCTAACCTCGTCAACTCATCTGCCGAATGTCGACCCTGCATTGTGCCGATCACCGGTATTAAAGAGAGATACCTAGCATTTCCATGAGGTTTACATGTTTCAGGAATTGCGGAGGGTATATCCTAATTTGACCAGGCAATGATGTGTCTTTGGGGCATACTTCTTCAAATGGTACCCTAGGTGTGCGTGCAAGTCGTGCAGCTCAGGAACTATAAGATGGAAGTAACCTGAGCCGCTTGTGCAGCATTTTAATTTGTGGCTGGCCTGAGCATCAATGGTGTTTTTCAAGACGATTAATGTAAAATGTAGGGTAATACAAGTTCTGTTAGCACTGTTGATATAATATGCCCGGGTCTCATGTTCGATATCTGAACGCTTCTGCAAATCTTACATCGACTTTACGATATATGCTTGATTGATTGATGGACTATTACCTATTGGAAGAAAGACTTGAAATGTGATACTGTATACCTTAGGCAATGTTTGGTATTGTTGGCAATGACATAGAGGTACATAATAGACCTTCTATGTCACAAACTACGCCAGATTTCTATAGCTTTGGCCCCGCTTCTTCCCCTCAGATACTACGTACAGATTTACCCCACATCTTCTAGACTTTCACAAGCAAATCAAAACGAGCCTTAAAGCAGCCGGGCAGCTAAGAATCTGACCTAGGTACTACATAGTAGGTATGGTATGTAGCTCTGCCCTGGACCTAAAATAGGCACAGCTTCCTCTTTCTGTCCAATCCTTTTCCCCAATTCCAAACTATCAAGAGTTCTTTCCCCATCTTACACACGAAAACATGCCCTCAGATAGGATCAAGCACCCAACCCCAGCTGAAGCTTTCGAGCTTGCCGCTAACCACGCCGCTCTACTACGGGGTCTCTTCCTCGACCCTCGGTACAAGTACGCCCAGGACCCCACGCCAACTTTCATAAAACCAAATCTCGACGAGACCCCTTCCGGGCTCTACTTCGTCGCCGACTTCGTCCAGCAGACCTACATCGAATACGTCGTCCCCTTCCTGCCGGCCGGCGCCACGCGGAAGTGCAAGGCCATCGCGAACCCGTGGGCGTGGAACGACCCCAACTACGAGTGGGAATGGGAGTGGGACGATCAGACCTCCACGCTGAAGGACAAGGACGGCAACGCGATCGAGTTCCCCAAGCTATCCGAGAGAGACGCCGTAAAAAAGATCGGCGACGTCGTGACCAGAGGCTTCCTGGCTCGAAAGATCATCCTCGAGAACAGCACCGATATCAAGGCTCGGCTGATGGTCGGCGGCCAGCCCTTTGATTTCGGAAAAGAGGCCGAAGAGGCTGTGAAGAAAACGTATGCTTAAACCCGTAAAATGCTACTTTCTTTGGTGGCCAGTTGTTCGGGATAGCTGCCGGTAGGATTTATCCCACCGTCTCTATCGGGACTGGAGGTTAACGCGTCTCTGCATGAGCTACGTGCACGGGAGAAACTTGTATAGCCTATTCACTTTGACATGTAGGCAACATGTATCGACTTGGATTTACCAATATTTACTTTAAGTACCTCTTAACCGCAGGTAGGCACGCACCTCTCAAAACAGGTATTCGTGAGTTCAAATAAGACGACAAGAATAGGAAGGTTACCATGCACAAAGTTGCCATCAGCCGAGCTATGAGATTGTAAAACATTCACAAGTGTGCGAGTTGAAAACACTTCATTGCACTGGAACTGCCTGTGTATATTGGGTTAGAGGTACCTATAAGGTATCTAACACTCCGTGCTCTGCTCCATCATATCCAAGCGTATACGATTCCAATTTCCTAGCTTATAGATAAATCTCATAGATAAATCTGATAACAGATCCTATTTAGATCCCTTACTACCGCCAGTGTTGCTTCCAGAACCGCCGTAGCCAGCGGTCTGCTGACCACCAGATGCCGCAGACCCCTGACCGCCAGATGCCGCGGACTGGTGGCGATCTCCCGCCGCCTGAGCCCGAGATGCGAAGCCCTTTGAGGACATATCACCACCACCTCTGGCCTAAATGAATGCATGCGTCAGATTATCAGTGGGCTATGTTAGGGTAGGTGAGGCATGTCGCCGTAGAGTGCGAACCTGCGAAGCTTGGATTCTGGAAGAATCCGATTTGGACATCTCGGTTTTACCCATGTTTAAATTGGAAGGCTGGGTGATGGATTTTCTTGAGAGTAATATAGATGGAAGGGTTATGTTGGTGTCTTTGGTGTCTTTGGTGTCTCTGCTGTCTCTGTTAAATTCGGTAGTTTGATGTTGGTTGTTGGCTGGGTATTTATATACTTTTCATCCTATGGTGTTATATGTACGCGTCGTACCTTAGGTACCTAAGGTACCTAGGTAGGTAATCTCGCAAAAATCAATTTGTAATCAGAGGCTCGATCTCTCCGATGCGTTGCATGTTACGACGGAGAATGACCTGCGTGGTAGGTAGTGGACGGGAACGGGCACTTTTTGGACGCCATTGTGACACGGTTGTAAACTTTGAAATTCATATCTAGGATATTCCAAATAGGTGGTTCTCTATGTCTATAACATAGATTAACCCAAGGACGTCAAGACGTATTATTACTATTCAAAGAGTAGTATTTGACAAGACGATAATGATAACATGTCCGTTGGAGTTGCGACGGACTTGTTTTGTTGCTTTCCGACAAGCAAGATGATAGAGGAGTTGTCTAGTGTGTTTCTAGCCCTAGATGATAAACCTTGACGCTGTGATGTTGCTACATAGTACCTAGGTAGGTAGCCGATGCTGTATCACAGTCACAAAATGATACATCTCCCCTAGTAGCTCTAGCTACGTGACCACACGTCCTTTAGTAATTCGATATTGTATTGAGAACATTTTCTAATGAATGGGCTGGTAACTTTCTGAATGTGGGACATCATCGTCATCATCATTAGATTCACAATTGCCAGCATTGGAATCTTCGTGACTTCGAGAATCCTCGTATTCTCTATCAACGCTTGAATTCGGTCCAAAGAGGACGCTGAGATGGGTTGGGCTTGTGACACTTGTTGTTGATTTTGTTGTGCACTCAACGAGTTTCCATTCAAGTCATAGATGGGTGTTCGAACAATCTTCTGCCAAAACAAGGGGATTTCCAAGCCAACATACATAAGGCAGTCACCCAATATTACCTAATCTATCAAATGGGCCGTTTACATTATCCAATCAGAGGTCCGTTTGCAAAAGAGATCACTCTATACTTGCCTATTAGTTACATGTTTTATAGCTCGAACTGACAAATTTCATAAGCCCAATATTACACACCGAGTTCCTTGGTGTTTACCGCAAGTAGTCTATCTGATATCCTGTGTGAAGTTGACATGAGACATGGATCATTTACCTATGCCCAGGACAACCTGCTGGAAATACCTACCTACCGACAGTACAACTAGGTAGCATTATTTTTTGGCTTAAGTCTATTGCCATCTGTTTTATTTCGCATTACTATACGGCCTTCGAAATGATACAAGGGATAAGTTGATGGGTGTTTAATGTGTGAATATAACTCCTATGAAAGTCTCGAGGTTGCTTACTGGTAGCTTCGTGATTATACGCCGACGATAGCCGGTAGACAGCTGTCTCATTCGGCAATTTCGGTGCGTATATAGCTTCACGATACCTCTGACTTGAGTTAGTAGTATATAGAGATAAGAAGCCTTACATCGAATACCTATCCGGCCAACTAGGCACTTAAACTAAGGTCGGTCCCTACCTATGATGGTATGTTACTGCTCACCTACATAATCAGTGCTTTCGAGATGATTCCATCTCCGCGGTATATACCACAGCTCAGACCAGAAATATATATCTTAAATGTACGCGCATAATGATGCAGAATCAACAAACGGGATGGGCGGCTCTCTGCAGCTTGCTTCTGAAAGTTAGGACGTCCTTAGTTACTAGAATGGATCTGATCTATCCTATTAAGATAGCAACGGATGCTACCGTACGATTGCCACATTGGTAGATTACAAGTCTGCAAAATTGCTAGCTGCATTGCGGTCCCAAACACTCGAAAATCGTGGTCCATGTTATTAATCTTCGGCAACAGATTCGTTGTCGGAGAGTTGTCGTCCGTACTTCCATGGTACTACGTATTTTGATTGATAATGGGCCTGAGCACTTGAAAGTAGATAGGTAGCGTTGAAGAAAAGTGTACTCCTAATAAGTGGCTAGGTAGATTACTCTCTTAAGTAACATTCGTCAATTCAGAATGGGTGACACAACACAAGCGGAGGAATACTTCGATGTAACGTAAAGCAAGATGCCGGAAGCATGACGTATATACACGAAACAATGTTTGGGCCTTTTCGTTTGATCATTGTGACGGGCCAAGATACTGTAGGCGGTTTTGATAGGTGGAATGTCTGGATTGACGAGTGTAAGAGGTCGTGGGTAATATGTTATGCTACTTGATATTGAGCCTAGAGCAACTGTTGGACTTGATATTATGAGAGAGTGCAGAGACCTAGTCAATTCTCGTACTAGCGACCCCTCATGGTTTGTCGTCAATTTCTCCTAATACACCATCTGGCTTTATGGTTGGACAAATATACGCCCACGAGAAAAGTGCTATACCTGCTATGTAAGCTGCCGTGTCCCTCGGGTTTGGACTACAACCTACCTCTTTTTTCTTGTTTGTTTTCGGAAAGGGTCCTAGGGTCTAGCAACAGAGGCCCACTGATACCCTGATCAACATGGCCCAGACACGCGTCGTCGGTATAGAGCGGCGTGGGTAATGCGGCTTGATCGACAGGTACAACACTGCAAGCTTGGTGGTTAGATATTGCTTTTAACTTCTGGAAAGGCTAGAGGTTTATCGCCACCTTAGAATATAGAAATACCTGTATTCAACAATCTGGAGTTGTGCATGCCATCTTGTCTTGACCTAAGTGCTCGGCCTTCTTTTCGAGATAGTTTGAACCCGAAATGAGAGTGCATCTTTCAAGGCTCTGATCGGATGCCGGTGAACTATTTCCGGTCTGCCATGGGCGAGAGCGAATAAATCCCGGAACTTGATTTAAACTTGGTAGACGCCGTATCCCAGGCTACCTGTGAGCTATCACCTGAAAATGTGAGGCATCACAAGAGATGACGATCTCGTCAAACGTTATGCGGGTCCTCCCGTCGACTACACTAGCTACCTAATCACCACGTTGGGAGTGGATCTCTTGATCTTTGCAGGTTGGGAAAGCCGAGGATGGCGGGGGGGGAGTACTGCGTAGTGAGGGGGAAGCTAACACAAGGGAGCCTGATCGTCGGAAAGACTCTTTGGGAAATTATTCTCGTACACATTTCAGACAGGGCCTTGGTAGAGTACACATTTCGCAATGTCGAAGGATAAAAAAAAGGTTCGTATGTCTCCATTCGCGCGTTCGTGGTAGACCGGCGGATCGAGTGATTGTTCAACTCGGTCGCTCCATCAATAATATCGCAGACCGAACTTCGGCACTACAGCGTTACATGAATACTAGGTGATCGCAGTAGTGAGTGGTAACAATAAGGGAACCAGAGAGTTGGCCAAGAGAATCGCACGTACATACCTACTCTTCATATAATAGCTTTCAACCGGAGACTGGCGCTTCGTTTTCACAACCATATACTTTGTGAGACCTGAGAGGGTGAAGGTCTTAAAAACCGGATCTGTTCGCATGCAATACTACCCTCATAGCTATAGGTTGAAGTGTTATAGGAATATACATAGTAGGAGCCATGCAATGCTACCATGGTGGTATTCTTGTCGCTTTCCCCGTGCCAAAGAGAGCACAGAACGTCGCTGTTAGGACAAACCTGATGGTTGGAATATGCGGGTCCATGGGGAAGGGTGAATCGCACAGGACTTGTAGGTCCTCTTGAGATCGTTTCTGGGTAGTGTTCTGGGTGGTCTGGACTGTCTCCGCATACCGACAGATTATGAACTAGGGCAGAGGATGGATTGGCAAACTTCCAATGGGATCAATTTCCCCACATTGCCTTCTGTCACGCTTACGCTGGTGGCAGGTCTTGGGTATGCTCGTGGACGATGTCGCCGCCGGAAGTCCCAATTGGGCTAACCGGCCCTCATTGATCAAAGGGACCACTGGGAAGTAAGGACTGCGGTAACTACGGAATTTTATAAAATGAAACTTGGTTCTCCGAGTCGAAAGGGCCTTGTAGTGCTATACTCTAATTGAAGACTCCGAAATCCATTAACTATACCAGGTACCTAAATTATAAACTCATAGTTCAATTTGGGCTGAGTCGTGGAACGGAGTATAACATCGAAGCGCTCAATTCATCCAACATGCCAGGAATAGATATAGACAGCAACCACTTAAATGGCCATACGAATGGGCATACCAACGGAATTGCAAAGGGTTTCAAGAACCCGTCACTGCAAGTTACCGAGGATCATCAGTTGAAATTGGTGGATGCTCCTATTGAGGAACCTGGCTATGGAGAAGTGACCTTGCAGATCAAATGCTCAGGTATATGCGGGTAAGTTCCACTTAGGCGCCTTGCCCATAGGTATTATACGATGAAGTACTAACTTACAGTTATATATAGATCAGATATGCACCTTTGGAAATCGGGCCGCATTGGGTCTCTCGAGGTTAAGGGTGATTGCATCCTAGGACATGAAGCTGCTGGTGTTGTGCTTAAGTGCGGCGAGGGAGTGACCAACCTCAAGCCAGGTAAGTTTACTTTCGACGACTGCTTGGTGACAAGTGGAGATGTGTACTTGGCAATATCTTCGCGGGTTGTACTGATTCACAATCTTTTTCACGTGCTCAGGAGATAGAGTTGGTATCGAACCCCAGGAGCCGTGCGAAAAATGTTTCCTCTGCATGGAAGGTCGGTACAACCTTTGTGAACAGGTTAAATTTTCTGGGATATGGCCCTATCATGGAACAATTCAGAGATTCAAGGTTCACCCGGCCAAGTGGCTATATAAGTAAGTGACATCAAGATCATCAATCTAGATGCCTACCCTCGGCTAAGACAGAGCTAATACTTCCTAAGGATCCCAGACAATCTCAGCTATTCCGAGGGCGCACTACTCGAACCATTAAGTGTGATATTACACGGTATTAACGGAGCCAATGTAAAACTTGGTCGCCCGGCGTTGGTTTGCGGCGCAGGCCCAATTGGACTCGTTGCTTTGGCTGCTGCCAGGGCTTCCGGTGCTCACCCGCTCGTCATTACAGACATTGATCCAAAGCGTCTCGAATTCGCCAGGCAGCTTGTCCCACGGTGCCAAACATACCAAGTCAACTCAGAACTGAGCGCTGAGGAAAACGCCAAAGAGATCCGGAAGCTATATGGCGAGGACGAGTATTCGGCGCCGGCATCAGTGATGGAATGTACCGGCGTGGAGAGTAGCGTCTGCACGGCCGCCTTCTCTGTTCGTAGAGGAGGAACACTCATGGTGATTGGAGTTGGAAAACCAGTCATGAACAACATTCCCTTTATGCATTTATCCCTTGCCGAGGTTAGTCTTGTTAACATGACTGCCATGTATTGTTTAGGGGGCTTAACAGCTAACGCCGTACAGATCGATCTGAAGTTTATCAACCGGTATCGGGACACTTGGCCAGCCGCTATACAATGCATGAGCGGCGGCATACTTGATCTCAATAAATTGGTCACACATAAGTTCCCGCTCGAGAAAGCACTTGACGCGTTTCAATTAAACGCCACTCCCGGTAACGGCAGTATCAAGATCCATATTGTCGATGATGTTGAAGCGTCATTATAGCGAACGAGCAAGCCAGCTTTCGCATATCTTGTATAAAAGTTCGATGTAGTTGATATAAAAGAGTCATGTAGTAGTAGTAATGCAAGTCAAGGAACTTTCGATAGCTATGTAGAAGCAGACGTTGATTGAGTAGCAGGTAGATAGCTAATTCCTAAGCTAGACATCTAATGGCCGAGCCGAGACGCGAGTTCATCGCTGGATAGGAATCTCAGGGACGTTGCATGATCGGATATATCTCCGCACCGAAGCGAAACTATATCTGGATCAGCCACGCTCGTATCCGCCGTGCGAGTGCTCGTGTAATGTTGGGTTACGTTGGACAGCTCCGGGAAATTTGGTCACACGCCGCTTCCCGGTCTCAGGTTTCGGGATATTCGTTGTCGTCAATATGTGACCTATCGCCCCACGTCGGACAAGTTCTTTAATTCTTCAAAACAAGGTAGTGCAATCATAACACTTCCTATACCTATTTCCCTTCTTTCCCGTAGGTCAAACTAGCTCTGAACGGTGGATCGGGGTCGCAAGATTGCGAGAGTGCAAAGCGGCGCTTAAGAGAGACCGCTCTCCGAAGGTTATCAGCTGCTTCCGCGAAGTTTGTCATGCCGGCAAGCTCCAGTCGACTATTTACTGATAAGACAACTAAATCCTAGCTCTGTAGACTGTAAACGGCAGGTCCTTTGGCGAAAGACATGTTGTTGAACCATAAGCCTGAGAGAACTCGATAGTCCTTCTCGATAACTCGCCATTGTCCCTGATTTATAACGTGATGATCTCCCCATCTTGTTGGAGGAGAGTTTGTGGATAACGCGCTATTGGCACAAGAAAGTTTGGTGAAGAAACAGGGATGATTAGTTTAGTACCACTTAGTTTCTTTAGCATGAAGTATGTCTGTTGGTTGTTGGGGTGGGATGCGGCTGATTTATTTCATAAGAGGAGGAGATACCTAGCAGAGACAAGGCCAATGGCTTTGGGCGTTGGCGGCGCTGATCGCCCTTTACGTTTTAATACATACTATTTATTATACCGTACCTGCATAAGGCATGAGGGACGAGGATGATGTTGCCGACGATAATCCTATTGGATTGCCTGCATCCAATATAGCCTATCTGGGTAATAAACGAACATCAGCTCAACTCAAGAGTTCAGCACGTACCACGTATTATACGGAAACCCTTGCATCCTAATAAGTACAGCCCCATTTTGAAAAAGGCAACTCCGTTTGGTAATTCCCACTTCAAGCCTTGAAGATTACGATTACCGTAGAGGAGGACCATACCGCAAACTTGAAACACAGATTCCTTTTCCATACCGCTACACCGCCGCTACACCTTCACGGAAATAGTAAACCATAACCGCCTACGCTGCCCCATCTAAGTCCCGCACGGAATTCGTGAGGTGATTTCCTAGTAGGAAAACCCATCGCAGCATTATGCCAATAACTCATGATAACTCATGTGAGGTCTACGCGTGATAACATATAAGGATTCAAAGTCAATAACAGCTTAAAAAGAAGCAACCAAGGTACTTTTTGATATGCACCATTTCCCCTGGCAGCTTTACATAGTATTGTACTGTAGAGTAGTAGTGGAGGCCACCACCTATTACCATCCCATCCCTGTGGAGGTGTATTCGACTACCCCATTAGACTTTGACCCTCCTCAACCACCCTTCAAGCCGCCTCTCCGTGTGATATCTTGCCTATCCCCCATTCATTCTATTCTCGTTGCCACACTAAACCGATCCCTAGTGGGGGTTCGTCTCTCGAAATGTGGAAATTTATAGATATGTTCTCTTCTAATTGCCGATACGGGCATGAGAAGCTCTTGATTCCTAGATCGGGTGCTTAGCATCATCTCTTCCGGCTGTTACCTATCTTGTAATTCTAATACCGATCGGACTAGCCGTTTGCTATCGCGATCTTTGGCGCCGACATCCCCGTCTTGCGCGAGTACGCATCCTGAAAAATTGAGACATGGACAAGAGCTACTTCCAGATATAGCGATTCGTGGACCAAGTTATCTGCGAGTTTGCAGCATGCACAGGTCATGAGCCCCTTGGTTAGAGTCGCCGTACTGTCCGGGTTGATTACTAGTCCCTGTTTTGACCTCCCCGGATCCTGACAAGACTCGTCGCGCGTAATGAATGGCGAGAATTCATCGCGATGAGTTCGAATTGACTCTCACTCGCTTGACTGTTATCTAAACCTACGTGTTACCCGTCGTGCGGATAGCCTCAATTTTAGGTCTTATTCGGCTCCCCTAATTGGCTAGCTCATAGATCTCCTCCCACATATCGAGCATACCGATGTGGTGACCCCCTGGCTTGAGTTACACACCGTCCAACTAAAGAGCCATGATCATGCATGGGTCGTTAGGATGTGCCATATTAATAAGGATGGGGATCACTCCTTCGCCGCTGATGTTTGCAAGATTAACTACGGGCCCACCCCTTACCGCTCAGGCTTACATACCCTGACATGCGAAGTCGTATAAAATATTCTCAGGTCTACCAGATGCCTCATTGTTAGGTTTGCTGGCCTGCTTTCCTTGCGAACTCAAGTTCGGCGCTTCAAGATGCGGCGGCCTCTGAGTCTGTTGCCTTCATTGTTACTGCAAGTAGGACTGCTACATACGGGCGCCGTCGCTACGACAGCATCTATCCATGACGAGTCATGGCAACCGGAATATGTCCTTCGCGCAACGTTCGAGAATATTACTATGAACTGCGAGGAGCGCGAGTCGGTGTTATTCAATGGCACAACGCCCGGGCCCGCGCTATACTTGAAGGAAGGGGAAACGACCTGGGTCAGAGTATACAATGACATGTCTGATCTCAACATCACGGTGGTAAGTCAGATGAAACTGGGAGAAAACCTGGTGCGCGCCCGGATTTGGCTAATAAATTTCTAGCATTGGCATGGACTTACCATGAGAACTGCACCGTTCTCGGACGGAACACCTATAGTGGCGCAATGGCCTATAGCTCCGGGCAGGTTCTTTGACTATGAAATACACCCCGAAGTAGGCGATGCCGGTACCTATTTCTACCATTCTCATATGGGGTTCCAAGCCGTCACAGCACACGGACTGTTGATTGTAGAGGATCAAGATGAGCCACCTTACGAGTACGACGATGATATTCCAGTTGTATTTGCAGACTGGTACATGAAATCGGACGAGGAGGTAGAAACAGGCCTCACGTCCAAACCATTCAAGTGGTCAGGGGAACCCGACGCGTTGGTCTTCAACGACCGCACAGGAAACAAGTCATTCGAGGATGCGCCTGATGACTCCTGCAAACCGTACATTATCGATGTGGAGCCGTCAACAACCTACCGGTTTCGATTCGTCGGGGGCACTGCAATTTCGTTTGTACATTTCGGTATTGAAGACCACTCGAATCTCACAGTTATCTCGGCCGATGGGCTTTATACAAGACCAGCCTGCACAGATCGTATCCAAATTGGAAGTGGCCAACGATTTGACGTTCTACTAACCACAAAGAGCGAAGAAGAACTTGATGATGACGGGAAAGATGGGCAATATTGGTTTCGATTTGAAAGCCGTGGCCGTCCGGAAGATATGGGGGGATATGCGCTATTACAATACAACACCGACAGCTCGAACTCGAAAAGGGATTCGGTAAATGGAAAGCGCTCTCCTAATGCACGAGACGGACAACATAAAAGTAACCTACCAAAGTTCCCTGATAAACCGCCTGTTAAGCTACCTCCGGATGGCAAATCAATCCCCAACTGGCTTGAATATACCCTATCGCCGTTGAATACTACCTATAAGTTCCCAACTCTCGACGAAGTAACCCGTACTTTGTACGTTACGGTGAACCAAGACATCATTAATGGGTCATACAACGGAGGCACAATAGATGGCTCTTTGGTGTGGGAGTAAGTAATCCACCTCCTGACCTATTTTCGAATTGGAGGGATAATTAATGATCAATTATTAACGGAGAACACAGGTCAAACAACTTATCCTGGACAGAAGTAGAGGCGCAAAAGTTACATTATACTCCATACCTAATTCAAGCGTATGTTGAGGGAAAGACGCCAGACTACCAAGCAGCATTAGACAATAAGGGATGGGACCCAAGTACCAGGGCATTCCCGGCCCTGGTCGGCGAGGTCTTAGATATCGTGTGGCAGAGTAACTCGGGTCCTACAGGCGGGTTCGAATATCACCCGATGCACGCACATGGCGAGCATTACTGGGACCTGGGATCCGGTAACGGTACATATGACGCCGTGGCTAACGAGGAGAAGTTCAAGAACTACACGCCCATGAAACGCGATACGACAATGTTACACCGATATGCGTCCGAGGCTGCCGACAATACCACGTCCGGTTGGCGAGCGTGGAGAATCCGGGTGACTGAAGATAACGTCGGCGCCTGGATGATGCATTGTCATATCTTGCAACACATGATCATGGGTAAGTAAGCTCGGTGCTCAGTTGAATGATGATGATGATGATGATGATGATAATGATATATAACCCCCTCCTGACACCACTGGACCCTCCTTTAACACACATACCCGACAGATCCGGTTGTAGACTATCGCTTTTTCGTTAAAATGCTAACATTTTCGTGATAGGTATGCAAACGGTCTGGGTGTTTGGTGATGCAGTGTCGATCCTTCGGGAGATCCCCCCGCCGTACATAAGCGGCTATTTAGATTATGGTGGCAACGCGTACGGTAGCGAAACTGACGACCCGCTAGTCCTCGAATATTATACGGAGTAAACAAAAAATAAAAAAATAAGCGGTGGTCATAACTGGCGGTCAAATGAAACAATTGGGATAGACAAGGTACCTAAGGTAGTTGAAGCATGTCAATATCATAATTAGCGATAAAAAAACAGAAGGATAGGGATTTATTAGAAGGTGGCATTTACGGGTCTTACACGGCCGCATTTTATTTTATTTTTTATTTTTTTATTCTTACCTACCTAGGTTAGGCAATAACTAGGATGTATTATGTACATATATTGATATCGGTCCTACATGGAACTTCATGTGATAGAGAGGTACGTTAATTGTACCTACCTCTTACTTAACCTGTAACCTGCCTAGGTAATAGGCATCCACTTCTCTTTGCCGGGCAGTACCATGGGCCTGGTGTTGGTGCTGGTGTGTAGTACTTAGGAGGTAACTGGTGGATTAATGTAAGGAACGGAAGTGACGTCCGTTCAAAGGTGTTATGGTAAGCAACTTCTTACTAATTCCGATACGCATGGGTCAATTCCTGGGTACCGTACGAAGTAGTGCCTTCCACTCCGCGGCAGTCTTGCTACGTATGGCAGCCTTTTTCGTGGCAAGGAGATAGGTATTGCAAGTGTAAACGTTAGATAAGCGCATAGATAGGTACCTAAGAGAACAATTACAGGTACGTACCTACCTTATGCATTGTACATTATAGTTCAGACCTGCAACAGCAACCACTTGGGAAGGAAGGTGCGAACTATATGATCAGGTTTATCTTCAAAATATTTAAAGCTGGAAGTCCCCTTCTCAATCCAACTCTTTTCAATTCTTCCTTCATACAACCTTTCCAATCCTTACACAAACTCCTATTTAGAACATACACCTCCTATATCTTCTCCAGCACAACACCTACCAACATGGTCTTCCTAATTACCACTATTCCGTCTCAACTATTATATTTGCTTACATACCAATACAAACGAGGCATAAAAGACAACTCTTCACTTAATAAAGTAGCCTAGCCATAGCGCAACAAACATTTAGCAACTACTGCAACCTGACAACAAGTCATGTCTAATTATCACAACCTCCAATTACATAAGTGCCTAACCTAACGAGGCTCTATATTTAAGCCATTCCAACAAGGCATCCACGGCATGCAAGACCATTTCTGGAACCGAGAAAAAAACCTGTCCTATGGCAAAAGACCTAATGGAATGGGTCATCAAGCGGGTAAGTGGCAAAAATCATACCTCTTCACCCTCACTTACCATTGCTAATTTTTGGAAAGGGAGATAATGTCGAAATACATCCCTCAACGCCTGCTCCTTAACAGAATGTCAGACTCAGACAGCACTTCGTCGTCACCGCTCTGGCAGATGGGGAAGGGGAGACTCCTGAGACCCAACGGGAGGGGAGGTGACCCCCGTGACCCCATGGTCTGTCCGCTGGGTGGCGTCTAATCGTCTCGTCGACTCAATTACACATACACATAACATCGACCAGCAATATCCATACTCCCCGGCGGAGAGATGGACTACTGCAGCGAATCTAGCGAAGGCGATATCCGTTACAGGTACCTAAGCATCACGCCTTCCCGTATATATTTTCCTTACCACACCATACGCCAGCTAGCGACCATTTTGGAGGTCACCTCTGCTACCCTCCTATTCACCTCCAGTGGTGGCCAGTCTTTAGGAAACGATATAGCCGTGAGAGCATTACTAAAACTACCTAGGCACCCCCAACGCCCTACATCATCTGTTGTCCGGTCCCTCCCATAAATCCGTCCGCTCACGAACGGAAATCCACGACGCCATCGCCGTTGCTGCCATCACGGCAAAAGGACACTATGACAACAGACACAAGCCGATCTTCTTCAACGTCAACGACAAGGTCCTGTTGCGCCTACATAAGGGATACAATATCCCATCTGCCGCTATTCTAGGCCGCAAACTAGGACAACAATACGCCGGACCCTTCCGCGTCATCGAACAAAGTTCATACTTTCGAGAGAGTAGCCGAGGAGTTCTCTCGCCTGCAATATAAATTTCAAACATCTTTACGGAAAAGAGAAAGAAAAACTCAGCCCCGCACTATTCTCAGGTAGTCCATCTTCTAGACGAAGAAGCATGGCCAAAACGAGGGAAGGCTGCTGAAAGTTCGGCTTCCGTAGCCGACGAAAATCAACCAGTAGCAGATTCCGCAGAATCTAATTCCGCAGGATCTAATTCCGCAGGAAGTTCACCTCAACAGGATGATATCACGTCACAGAGTATGCAATAGGTAAAACAACTTCGTTGCTCCGCAAGGAACTCTAATTACAGTTGCTTTGAAGCCAAAGCTATATACAGAATAACTCATTTGTCCCAAGGAGTCTCAAATGAAACTCCTGACAGGAAGTTCACCTCGACAGAGTGAATTCCAGTCCGAAGAGGAACCCGAAACAGGCCGAAACTTAGAGGCACATTCTACAAGTATGGCGTTTCCCCTTGTATCACTTTTGGAGGACAGGAGTCTTCATATGAATGATGGGTTGGAATCTCCTCAAAGCCCGGAGTTTCCACCCTTGCGGGACCCTGTCAGGGATATGTGTGATAGGTACCTGATACGACAGGGGATCTATCGCCTGTCCAAAGGGTAACCAGCTCCCTCATAGGAGGTTAGAAGGCCAGGCGTTACTGGATATCACTACTATACTACATACTAGCCTTCTCTGACACTCACTCTGTATACGACATCCATCACGGGCTATTCCCTGACAGACCCATTGCCCTCAGACGATGTCGAATTTTCTATGCCCTCGGATGATAACGATATTCAACACACTGGCCTCTCGCCAAACAAATTATCCCAACCGTCGACTTTAGCGTTACCAATGAAGGGGAGCATCCCTTTTAGCGAAAGTCCGACCCCCAAAAAGAAGCTAATCGGGATATCTAAGGCAATGCCCTGAGTTTACGAAGCCAACTTAGCCCCCAAGCCTCTAATACAGCACCTTGCATAAGTTATTAATAAAAAACAACCCAAGTGTCACATGACGCAAAGTATATATACTTATCCTACTAGATGGATCGTGTACAGTAACCTTAATAAACAATAACAATTACAACCAATATTCTGACACCAAGCCACTTACACTCCATACATCCAATCAAAAGCCGTAAAATCCCCATTCTCCTTCGTAAACTCAGGGCTATTGTGCACCACGAACGGGGTGCCTCATGTGTAGATAATCAAACCTTATTTTAGACTAGTTACAAGAAGATCTAACAGATCTTCGAGGTGACTAGCACCAGCATGTGGAGTGTTACATAATCATCGCCTATTACTTGAGACCTCAGGGGTAGTTTCTGCCAATGACAAGCTGGTTAGGTAGCCAGCCTTCCGACTTCCAACCGTCTCAGCTATTCTATTCTACATACCTACCTAACCTTAGGTACCTCACATCTTAATCAATTGACTATGGAGATATTCACCGCCCTGCGCATCCTCTTAAAACTAGCGGAGATTTGGATTCCGGGCGACGATAAATTCATGAATTCAATCAAGCAAAATAAGGGTACGGAGCCCGACTCCTATTGTGGATGCAGTTCATCCTTGCCGACCCTAGGTCCATGGCCGGGCCACACATATAAGATTCGAGATCCGGAGACGAAACGACAAATCACTCTCGTGAATGGGGAGCTTCGGGTGGAGAAGGACTTGGGCGACCAAGGAGGTTATCATTGGGTATGCATAGAGAGGGATGGATACCTAGGATTTCTCAGCCCTACCACCCACGTATACATGGGTCACAACAATTGGGGACAGTTCGTAGCCCGGGAGTATCACCACTGGGCTTGGGAGTTCTTTAACACAAGGGCGCATCCGGATGGAGGCCAGGTGTTGCTGACAGTTCATGGAAACAAGATGCGGAAAATGGCAATCCAGAAAGGAACGTGGAAGCTGGTGGAGACCGAAGGGGAGGGAACGGCATGGGAGTTCGTGGAGGTCCGCACCGAAAGTGATTAGGAATGCAGATCCGGCTTCTGCTATGGGTTGCTTGTCGAATTCGTCGCTAAAGATTAGAGACACTAGTATGATAACCCTTTATTACATATTTTGAGGGGCTTTCATAGTGACAAAGAGGCCACTGAAGCTTGAGTTCGCTATGAATAAATACCTCCTACACCTTAGCCTTGACTCTCTAGTAATTGATCGATCATAGGAGAAGCTATCTCAGGTTAAGTATGCAACAAGAGAATATAAACACCGACAACGTAATTACTAATGAATATTTACTCTTAGAGATACTAGAAGATATAGTCTTATATTCTAGACGAACATTGTTCTGGTTGGGACTTTCATTGCGTTCGCCCAGCCAAGTCTATAGCCGGGTGTAAGTAATAAGTTAGCTGCCACAGAAAATATATTGCTATTCCTATCCATCAATTGCGCGGTAGCCAGGAATTCACACCTCTTTGGGCAATTCGGTTATGCTTAGACTAAGGGCCAGGCCCCAGGTAGGTTCTTGAATCGCATTGTGCTGACTTATCATATAAAGTTGGGTATTCAAGCAGAAACAAGACTATTATTATGTCTGTGAATCTGCCAGACGCATCAATTTTTGATAAGTCATTGCAGCAAAATAAAGAATGTATCCTTGAACTGACTAAAAGACATCGTCCTGACGTGGGTCTTTCATGCAAACTTGCGAAATCTAAACAGTGTCTATCTGTAAGCAACGCCGAACGCCATGCTAGAGTGATTGGGACTCGTCGCAGAATACACGGTTCTCAGGTATGTATCGTGTCATGAACGACAATTTCGTCTTTGGATCTAAACTGGAAAACATTTTCTCCAGACTCAACATGGTCCTAGTATGTCCTAGGCCATGTCATCCTGTCTCCCGTGACATCTTGCCAATTGTTAGGCATTTTAGCTTGAAGGAGCTTCATCTTTTAAACCCTGAAATGGTATTAGGGAATGCGCTAGCAGCTCTACTGAGACCACGGAGGGCGTCAGGCATGTTGCCAGACTGAAGAGTATTGATGAATTCGTCGATGATGCTACGATCCTCTAAGTCCTGTGCTCTTGTGCGAACTAGCCAATACTCGAAGGGGCCCCCTTTTCACAGGATATTAGTACCTATATGAGATATAATGGACTTAAAAGGAAACAGGACACTCACTATTGAAGGCCAGCGCGGTGCCAAGCTCCTCGCAGCGCTCACTGGGTGAGTGCTCGGTGTGCATGTCGAGAAAGTGGTTGATCATCTTGGAGACGTCTTTGAGCGGCCACTTGCAAGGCGCGCTTGGTACACGGTTAGCACCCGCATCTAGGAATTTCTGCGACGTACAGAGGCGGCACTTCCAAAAGCCAAGGCGCTGAAAAGATGTAGTCCCCGAACCAGTCAAGTCCATGACCAGATCGGTATCGCCATTCTCATCGTCGTCACTATCTAATGTCTTGACCATGCGTGGTCTCTTGACTCCGGCGGTTGAGCCAGGAGTGGCTCCAGAGTTGCGATACTGCTGTGCCTTAAAGGAAGGGGTAGCTGAGGCAGCAGCTGCTGCGGCGTTACGTACTTGCGCGTCTAGTTGTTGAATCCTATGCTGGCAACTGCGAATGTTGTGGCCACAGTCAAGAACGCGTATCTGAAGCGTTCTTACTTCCTGAGGGGTGAGATCAGCCGAAGCGAGCTGATTCCGGCAGAAGTCCAAGTCATAGCGATAAGCGCTGATGTCTTCGTTCATCTGGCGACGCGTAATCTCATTAAGATTACTGCTTTCATAGCTGAGAGAGCGTGGATCCAAAGATCCATTAGCGACAGCCATGCTAGCGTTAGGGAACTATAGTTAATTGTCAATAGATGTAGGTGTATTGATTCATGGGATGATCATGGGATGAAAGAAGGTGAAATGGAATGTATCGGTTACGATAGGTTAAACTTTGTAACAAAGGTTATGTTATGATTAGAATATCAGGGGGTAGTATGTAGTAAAGGATCATGAAGGGGGATAGTCAGATTGATGTGTCTTACCTCAAAGATTCGGGTGATGTCAGGTACGAAACGCTGGACGAAAGATTGGCGTTGTCGCGACATGGTGAAGTAAAAGAAGAGAATAATAAATATCCTATATTCAGAGTGGCGTATGAAAAAAGAAGGAGGATAGTGAGGATAGTGGAGGCCCGGATGAGAATGGATTCTATATTAACCCAACTTGGCAATACTAAGGGCTAGAAGTACGACCGGGAAGGTACACAAGCAACTTGAGGAGTGTTAATGGAAGTCGCCAACTTCACTGAGCATCTGCAATAGCAGTTACGACATGGATGCAGTAAATATGATCTCCTTAAGTTACACGTGACCAGTTAAGGGGTTGCTGAACATATGTAATTCCTGATTGAAAATAGTAAAACAAACAAAATGGAATGGTGATGGGGTTGATGAGATAATGAATATAGGTTGGTATAAGCTGGGGTGATGATAATGAAAAAGAGGAAGAAGAGAAGAAAAAAAAAAAGAGGGATGAGAAAAAAAAAAAAAAAAGACTACGGAGGCAGAAAAAAAAAAGAAAATTTTTCAGAATAAATGCTAAAGGTACAACACCTTTTCCCCAACGAATACTTTTTATTGTACCTTACAACAAACATGTAATTAAAAATAACATCAAAGAAACTTTTGACATACTGTTCATACCTTATTTTCACATTTTGTAATTTCTTCTTTTGTTATTGTTGTCTTGCAAGAGGTCGAAATAACAACTGCTTGCGGCTCAGGTACATGGCATGAAGGACGCTAATCGACCAACAAGGTTAGCTTCTTCCTTGAAGCTTTCAGGTCCCTGCTTTTAAACCGCCCCACCGGCTTGCCTAATGCAGTAATTCCATTTCGTTGGATGACTTTTTTTTCTTTTTTCTTTTTTCTTTTTTCTTTTCTTTTCTTTCTTTCTTACTTGTGAAGTTAAGATGTGGTAGATGTTCACAACATATAAGCTCTACCTGATTGATATACAGTATAAAGACTGGCCCTATCTCAACAAGCTTTACCTTCTACCTATTTTACCTTACGCCTTATGGTGCCACATCAGCACCTGGCTTGGGCTACCTCGGTAGGTACCTAGGTACCTAAGTTACTACTATCTTGGACAGATTTGGTAGGGCCGGGCATTGTCTGTTGCAGGAATAAGGCACGAATAAAGCACGAATACGAGGTAGGCCGCAATTTCAGATATAGGGAAATAGGACTGTTTGCTTTAGGTACCTAGGTAAATGTAAATCAAATATCCCCGGTGTGGATCTCCAACCGGAGCTTTCGGTGGGAGGAGCGGGTCCGCCGTGCCGGTAGTAGGTACCTATCAGCCGGACGGAAGCCATAGACAGCAAGGTCGACGGGCTACACCAGCCTTTTCCATCCAGAAAAGAGAATACCTAGCCTACATTTGTCATTGGTATGTCTAACGTGATTATAGAAAGAGCCATGAAGCGTTTTATAAGCAGCTGGTGAGTACCTTAGGTACTTTCTAGGGCACGGCGGGCAGTGTTGTATTTTTTCATTTTCGGGATGCAGAGATTCCATGGTCCTTACGTACAGCTTGTAAGATCCCTTGAATATTTGGTATGCTACGTTAGGTAATAACAGGTATGATAAAATTCAGATAAGAAAATATTGTGATGTTATATTACTTAGAGCACCATATAAGTTAGGTACTTTTCCAGCAATGCGTTGATTGTATTGAATATTTGGCATATTAACCAGCACTCTTTAATATGTGTTTTCTATTGGCACAGACATTAGATGAAACCATATATTTACAGGTCAATTCTTGACGATGACATGCGAATCCATATTGAATTGCAATTTCGTAAGGGATCAAGGATTAATTTTACCTTTAATCTGTTAGTCCCTTCACAACTGCTGCAAGATGTGTCAGGGGGGAGGGGGGGAGGGGGGTCTAGTGGAACTGCTAGCATGACAACGCACTGGTTGCTCCCTTACAACGAGGTGCCCCACAAACCCATAGTAAGTTTTCAGGGCAAGCTCTCCCATTGCTCAATTGCCAAAAGCTTGTCGCCATCTTCTAAACAAAGCCTTAAAAACCGACCATATCGTAATAACATCACCGTTTTTAAAACAATTAGGCACGCTGCGCAGCCTCACATTCTATTCTTATTGCATCATTCTTCTCATCTCTTACTTCTGCTTTCTTTTTTTTGCTATAGGCTCCGAGATTCTTTAATTTGGAAAAGATAGTCATGTCTGTGAGAGTTGTCGCGCGGATACGGCCGCTTCTAGAGAAGGAACTGGACAAGGATGTGATTGTACACGCTGCCAGCAACGATGATGGGAAAACAAGCAACGTCGTCAAAATCCCTAATCCAAAGAATGAATCAGAGGAGTTCTCTTTCACATTTAACAGCGTATACGACCAATCGACAACTCAAGAGGAGCTATTTACAGCAGAAGGTAAGGTTTCGTCTTTCATCCTCATCCTTCATCCTCTTCTTTCACCGCTCTCTATACCTCCTCTGTAGAAGACGCCCAAAGTTTAACCTTACCTTTCGTAGTCTCGCCCCATCTTAAATCCCTCTTCCAAGGCCTCGATCTTACGATATTCGCTTATGGCGTCACCGGAACTGGAAAGACTCATACTATGCGTGGTGGATTAAAGCTAGCCGACCGTGGTGTTATCCCAAGACTGCTTAGTGGTGTTTTTCGTAGAGCGAAGAAGATTGCCAAAGATTCCGATGGCGCGACGACAGTGGGAGTTGCACTTTCATACTACGAGATCTACAATGACAAGGTCTTCGATCTGCTCGAACCCCTAGAAAAACGAACGCCATCAGGTTTGCCTCTCCGCGCAGAGGCTAATGGCAAAACAGTCGTTGCTGGGCTATCTGAACGCCCTTGCCAGGATCTGAAGGACTTCGAGAGGTTATATATCGAGGCCAATAATAACCGCATTACCGCATCTACAAAGCTTAATGCCCATAGCAGTAGAAGCCATGCTATTTTGCGTGTCAAGCTTACCCAGACGACAGGAGATATGGTAAAGGAGAGCACAGCGTCTGCCATTGACTTGGCTGGTTCGGAAGACAACCGACGGACAGATAATGACAAGGAGAGATTGGTTGAATCAGCTGCCATCAACAAAAGCTTGTTTGTGCTGAGCCAGTGCATTGATGCTATCTCAAGAGGAGATCGTCGGATACCCTTTCGGGAGTCGAAGATGACGCGAATCCTCTCGCTAGGCCAAAATAACGGCATTACCATCATGATTCTCAACCTTGCACCGATCCGAAGCTACCATCTCGATACTCTCAGCAGCTTAAATGTTAGCTCGAGAGCTAAACGAATCGAAGTCCGGGAGATCGAAAACGAGGTTGTGTTCAAGCAGCCCCCTCGCTCTAGTTCCAACTCGAGCTCGGGAATAACTCGACAGCCCTTACGGCCCCTTGCGAATGCGCATAACATCCATTCAGGGACAGCAGCAGCCAACAAGGCAGCAGACAAGCCGGATCGCCCTGTCAAAGCGTTTAGCGTCTTTTCTGATAAATCTAAGCCCCAACCTTCGCGCCCGACAGCGAATACCACAATAAAGCGATCATCACCTTCGCATAAACGCCCTTCAGATTGCGATAGTGGCAATAGGCCGTCCAAGATTACTCGTCCAGCGTTAATACCTCGGTCGGCCAAACCTTTACAGGCTGCTCAACCATCCATATCTGCTGACCAGATAGAGGCAATGGTAGAAAAGAAAGTTAGCGAAATCCTGGCATCTCGGACCCAGGCTGCTTCCGCACCACAGGAGATTAACGAAGCCGTCCAAAGACGTCTGGAGGCTCTCGAGAAACGTATCGAGAACGGGCGTCAAGACGACGCACGCTCCGATGGCTTACGATTCTTACTCATGGCGCGGCAACATAAAGAGCGAGGCGAAGATGCTAGCGCTCTCAAGATGTACGAGATGGCACTACCCTATTTCCCGGGCCAAGCCAAGCTGCTGGGGAAGATCGAGAAGCTAAAGGCACGATTACAAGCCAAGCGTGAGGTTCCCGGTGAAATGGGAGCCGAAGCTAACGAAGACCTCGTCGTGAAGAGACATAAGAAGCTCGCCCAACAGGTCATTCGCGACTCGGATTACAACGGCGCGGAGGCGGATGATGACGAGGAGAGCTATATAGGCAAAGGTCGTAAGCAGACCAAGAAGTCCAAGACTACAAAGGCCCCCGGAGGCGGGGTTTCCGCAGTAGAAGACGAGTCCGTGTCGCAGAATTTGCTGGAAATTGTGAATTCGCGAAATCTCGCTCTGATTATGAAGTTACAGGGCTTTGGGCCCAAGAAGGCACGGGATCTGGTAGATTACCTAGAGGAAGGGGATGGCGGTCGCATCAACTCGCTAGAACAGCTTAGAGCGGTCCCCGGGATGGGCCGCACGGTAGATCGCGCTTATGAAGGCTTGCTTACATCTTCCGGCATCACATGTTAAGGAGGCATTTTGTTCGGTCTGGTCACCTTTAAACTATATATTCATCGGCTGGTGGTTCTCTGTATTCTCTGCATTCAGGCTTGGGCTGAACCAAGTTTGCATAGGCGTGGCGTTTGCGTTATAAGGAAGGGTGAGCATTTGCCAGGGTTACAAATACTGATTTCGATTATTATTATTGTTGTTGTTTCCTGCCAAAAAAAAAATCTTTGCATGTTTTGGAGGAACATATGAATGCCGATGGGAGAGAGGTACCTAATCGGTAGGTCCAAGATTTTAGTGGAAAGGTCCGGAGAGATGTTGGTGAAGAGGAGGAAGGACTGCGAGTAGATAGGTGAAATATATAGGTACCTCAGGTTGATTTATCAGTTGGCTGTGTTGCAAGTTACAATTTCCATGACCTCAGCTGGACTACCTAGCTTGTACCCATGTACCTATCCTAGACTACCCATGCACAGCGATATATAGAAATAGTGCACAAGCCACATCCATCATTAACCCCAGTATGCATGCTTATGTAACTGTTATCCGGGGCTGGGCTGAATATTCGGAAGTATTGATGTACCTAAGGAAGTACATCAACTGAAGTACCTAGGTTACTTTGTGACGCTTTTATTTTATTTTATTTTATTTTATATCTTGCTCAATTCGTCATAAGTTCCCACGAACCACGACCACATTAAACCACCTCCCTTCGAGGCCGCCACCATGCGCGGTGTATCCCTCCTAGCCAGGAGAGTGCGTATAGATCAATTGGGACGTCATACGAGCTACATTTGTCGCCAATGTAGAGCTATCCAGCTCAGTTCATCCCCCACCACCGGGTCGCCTCGCCTTGGGGGAGACGCTTTCGGCACGTCTATCGATGTTTCCAAGGATGTTGCGGGTACCTCCACCAACCTTTTTCGCCTCGTCTTCCGAGCAATAATGCTTATACGGTGCTTTAGATGCCAGATTTGAAGTATTAGGGACACCGTATTCCCTTCTCTCAGTGTCCTTGTCGGCTTCGCAAAGGTTATACGCACGTCGCGGGACATTAGTTGCAGTGACGGGCAAAGCGCACAACGTAAGGCGACACATAACGGCCAAATATTTACAGAGAGCCAAACTAACCTATCTAGGCGCAATCAATCCTCACCTTACTCTCACCTTTCACGCGAGCCGTTACCGGTGTACCTTTCCTCTACCAACGCATATCCTCCACAACTCCGCTCACGGCATTAATATCTACCAAGTCACCTACGACTACATTTTCCGTATTACATCTCGATGGGACAACGGATTGGATGGTGACGCAACGATCAGCGCTCCTGGCGTGGACTGGACATTCGCTAAACGTAACTCCCCGAATTCAAACTCGACTCCCGATCGCCTTCTGGGGTTCTTCCGAGCTGACGGGTCGGGGTCTTGCTGCGTTATCAGCACCAGGACACATATACCAACTTAACTTGGTGGAGGGCGAGGAAATTGTGCTTCACCCCTCAAACGTAGTAGCTTACACGATAAACAAAAACCCGCCCACCCCCTTCCGATTTAAGAGCTCGGGCATTAGATTCCAGGTACCTTCGCTTACGACATGGCTGGGCGAGACCAAGTTCCTGAAGACGATGCGGGGGACACAAACTTACAAGTTCCTCTCAAAAGTCCTGTTCAACCTCCGCACGACAGCGAGGCGCACTATATGGGGCGACAGGCTGTTTCTACAATTCCGAGGCCCGACCACGATACTCGTGTCCAGCAGGGGAGCCCGGCTTAGTGACGTGCTCACAAATGCGGACGTTAATGAGCTAGCCGATGCTCCTCTGACCGATGTATCTGCTGCCGTAGAGAAGGTCACGAGGCCGAAACCTGATGTCACACCGAAGACGGAGGATGCGGCGGCTGTCAAGATAAACGTGGCTAGTGTTGGGAAGGACGGAAAGGTGTCGTTTGCCGACGCCGAAAATCTTAAAGGTTTTGAGAAATCATGATAGACGTGTAGTTGTACTATTACTATAGACTCAACGAGTTATTGTATCATACGGCTAGCTATAACACAATGACCCCCTAACGTATTGGGGGCTTGCCCACATACTTACCTAACCTTAGGTACCTTAGGTATATACTACCTAGTTTCCTATTAGAATATAGGAAGCACTATACGAAGATTAGGTACCTATTCTATCGAAGCCGAGCACAACCCAGAACTAGGAGAATAGGTAATCAGATCGGCATTTGCTAACCACACTTACGACTACACGTCACAAATACTCTTCAAACAGAGAGAAGCTCTTGTATTATCGGGTATTTCCACCGGCCCACATATTAAAGTAAAGGATTATCGGCCGATTCGTCTTTTTTCTTCTTCTTATATCCGTAGCGTCATACTATATGCTATGAGATCTTGGATGGCAGTGGGGAGCGATAGGAGATAGGCGGTACCTAAGCATGAAAGATCAGATAAACTGTCCAGCTGTGTACCGTGTTGGCTGGCATCCACCACTTACTCTGATATATATATATATATAAAAGAAAAAAGAAATAAACGGTATACAAGTTTTATATACGAGATGAAATGACTACCTCATGTTCCAAAAACTCACAGCGAGTACAGTTCACTTACTATCAAACTCGTCAACATGTGTTAGAGTGTACAGTAAATAGAAATCCTTTTGATTTAACTCCGAGCTGCTCTAGCTCCCATCTCCGAGAAGACGTATATAAGGTATCCAGCAAGATCTTTTAACCGTTAGTTAGTAAAACTAATCAAGAACCTTCAAACGGTTTTACATGGATTTCAGTGCTTCGGCTCTTTCCATTGGGTCTAACTATCTAACCCAGGTAGTTATTGCATTAATTCCAACAGATTAACTCGTGCAGGTCCGCGCTTGGCGTATCTGTGCATCCGCGGACTCATACCCCTGTATATAAAAGAGAAACACGCGGTTTCAGGCACGCTTTGTAATGATACTGAGGTTCGGCTTTTCGCGACTTCGATATACCCGAGTTGTCTATCATCGTGCAACACCAGCAGACCAGCCAACTTCGAGACTTCAATAGTAAAGGATACCAATAGGAGGTAACGATGAATATATTGTAAGTTAGTTATATCTATCATAAATCTCCTTGCAAATAGTTTAATTCAAAATAAGAACCATTTCCAGATGGATCAAGTTATCAACAAGACGACACATTATCCAACTAGTTGACGGTAAAGTAAATATGGATACACCGTAGGACACTTAACTTAAACCCAAAACCTGTCTAGATACTACCTTAGCAGGTAGATATGGCAGTAAAGCGGCGGCTGGAATCCCCACCATCGGCGGATCGCTTATATTTTAGATCAGCCCTACTCCTTCATCATGGCGAGAGCTAACTAGGTAAATATCAACATCTCCCAGTTTCCTCTCATGAGGTACCTAAGGTATTGTACCTCGAGCACCTAATCCAGCTCTCATGCGCTACCATGTCTAGAACGATACAGAATTCATGATTTCCACGTGCAGGTAGTTGGCTTCGGGACATAACAACCATACGTGGTTCTCTCCTTTCAGCTGGAATACAAGTCCTACTCAGCTAAACGCGAATGGATTTTCATTATACGTTACAGGGGAGAGGTGGGGGGGCGTGGTGGAGACGAAACCTATCCGGTCGACTCAACAACGATAGTATGCGAAAGAACCCTGACATCGCGTGCCCTCGCTCCAGTCACTGGGTGCGTGTTAACACCGAGATCCATCCTGACATCTGCCCCGAATTCTCGGGCTCAATAATGCCATATATGGGCGGGTTTTGCCATTTCGTATAAGAGTCGGGGTAGAAGGTTACTTGTACTACAACTGATAGACAATTGAAGATATTTCAAGAGTGGTCCTTATCTTACAGTGCATATCGTTCTCAGCACGGCAGGTAGCAGAACCTCGTAGAGCAACAGCCACCTTGTCGTTGAGGCCCTGCATTGACAACAAATTCGGTCCCATCTCTCTTCTCTTTCCCCTTCCACTTCCCTTCCCCCGCCCCCCCTTTTAGAACCATCTCGAGATGCCGAGCCACCATCACATCCAAGAGGCGCCGGTCTCATCGTATCACGACGTGGCGCCAGCTAAGACCCCGGGCTACGACTCGGAAGCATCCACGATGAAGGGCGCCATGTCCGATCCGAGACACTCCCTCGAACGCATCCCGTCCCAAGCTAAATCCACCAACGCCAACATCTTCCCCGACCCGGAAAATGTCATCGAAGCAGATAGTAAGTCTCTTCTCTTACTCTTTTCTCCCTCTTTATCTCTCTCTTATAACGCACCCTAGAAGTAAAAGAAAATATGTAAATAGTTGTTGAAGTCTTTTATGTGCTGACTTGGTGTTTTCTCCTCTCCAGTGGAGAAAGGCGGCGTCGCGCCACCCGCTCCCGCCGGCGCGCCACCCGGATTCAACCCGGCCGACTTCCCGGACGGCGGCCTCGAGGCCTGGCTCGTGGTTGTCGGCGGCTTCTGCGCCCTGTTCAGTACTTTCGGCCTGGTGAATTGCGTCGGGGTCTTCGTCAACTACTACGCTACCGGCCCGTTGTCGAATTACAACGTGTCTACCGTCACCTGGATTACATCGATCCAGACTTTCATGATGTCGGGTTTAAACGCGGTCGTAAGTTGCTTTGACTTCATTCCCCCCTCCCCCCGTTGGTATTAACCCGTAAAAGAACGAGAGCTGACATGTTTTAATGTGTACTTATAGATGGGCCGATTGTTCGATAGCTACGGCCCTCGGTGGCTGCTCATCATCGGAAGCCTGGTGTTCTGCTTCGGGCTGATGATGCTATCCCTTTCGACGGAGTACTACCAGATCATCCTGTCGCAGGGCATCGTCAGCGCCGTGGGCATGAGCGCCGTGTTCAACTCGGCGATGAACTCGGTCATGGGCTGGTTCTTCAAGCGGCGCGCCGCGGCGCTGGGCCTCATGGTGTCGGGCTCGTCGCTCGGCGGCGTCGTCCTGCCTATCATGATGAACCACCTCATCCCGCGGATCGGCTTCCCCTGGACCGTACGCGCCGTCGGCTTTATGCTCCTCGGCATGTGCGCCTTCGCCTGCTGCACCGTCAAGTCCCGCCTCCCGCCCCGCAAGCGACCGTTCAAGCTCGCAGAATACGGACGACCGTTCCGCGAGCCCGCGTTCGTGTGCTGCATTCTCGGCGGCTTCTTCTTCTTCTTCGGCATGTTCCTGCCCTTCAATTACATCCAGCTGCAGGCGCGACAGCAAGGTATCGACGAGGCTATCATACCCTACCTCCTGCCTATCATCAACGCCGTTAGCATCCTAGGCCGTATCCTACCGGGCTTCCTCGGCGACAGATTCGGGCGTTTCAACATCATGGTTTTCATCTCGGGGCTATCGGGCATCATCACGCTAGCCGTGTGGGTGCCGAGCAATTCGACAGCGATGACGATCGCGTACGGGGCCGTGTTCGGGTTCGCGTCCGGCGGCTTCGTCTCGCTGCTGCCGGCTGTCATCGCGCAGATCAGCGACATCCGCGAGATCGGCATACGCAGCGGCATCGCGTTCTTCGCGTCGGCGATCGGCGCACTGACGGGCTCGCCCATTGCCGGCGCCATCGTGAGCGCCAACAACGGCAGCTTCCTAGGCCTCCAGCTATTCTGCGGCATTGTCATGGCCATATCCATGTTATGGTTTTTCGCATCTAGAACTATACAAGTCGGTTTTACACTCGTCAAGATCTGAGGATGATTTATTGTTTGGTAGACAAAAAAAACAAAATTGAGAAATATACTTTTCTTTAAAGTTGTTTAGGATAGAGTTTCTCGCGAAGGCTATTAATGTTTATAAAAAAGGAGGTGTCCTAACAATTAGGGCCGGGCATTGATGAAAAGTTGGGATGCATTTAACGGCGTTATGTATGCATGGCTTAGACAACAATACTCAACTCGGTGTTGTCACGACATATAGAATCTCTATGTATTGGTAATATACCCAGCAGAATAGACAGGGGATATGATAGGGAACTTATTTATAAATCAATTCACTTTTAATATTGCTGGTACGTAACTACACCTACCTGTTAGATTCATTTACGCATAATACCTGAATTTACACAGGATATATCAAGTATATTCTAGCCCCTTAAACATACCTAATGAGAGATGACCGAGGATGATAATGAAGGGACACCATAGAGAGGTACCTAGGTAGGTAAATAGGCAGACACAAAGAACGGCCTGATAAAGGAACATACCTACCTGATAGTTATATCTAGACTGATTTCTATTGCATGCATTGCCTACTAAATTTAGAGTTGAATTTCGTCCTCCTCATCATTCTTTTCCGAGAAGTCATCTTACACTTGTACCTGAGGCAGAGCAATAAAGACGACAGAACAAATACATAGCCGTAGCTTTTGCACCCTTTAAACGCTCCACATCCTTGTTGTTCAATCATTTTCCCCTCTCCTCTCTCTCTCTCTCTCTTACACACACACACACACACACACACACACATATCAAAGCAATACTCACGAATTATGAAATCGAACATCAAACTTGTAGTATACGAGGTTACTTGGATTATGAGCGAGACCCTAGCGTAGCCCAACTAGTTATTTATACCTACATACCCTACCTACCCTACTGTTGACAGATACCAACCAACCTCGCATCCCGACTGATGTCAACGCGAGAATATAGACGCGGCGGGGGACGGCGGTCCTACCAGAGGCGTCGTCGACGCCAGCAGATGGAGCGGCGACTTCTGGAGACGATGGTTTGGTTGGAACTCTTGTCTCGCATTCACATTCAGGAGCCTACCTCCGGGACTGTTGGTGAGTGTTTTAGGTATACCATCACTGGTGTCTGAATATGGCTAATAGGGTTTGAAATGGTAGGTTTAACGGGCTTCCTGCCGATTAGAAGCCATTAGCTGGCTATATTAGCTGGCTTCCGGCTTCTTATAGCCATATCTACCAAGGAGGGCTAGCCAAGGTATGGCTTAGTGAGGATTATGAATGAATCAGGGAGGCTTCTAACAATAACAAATGGAAGTGGCGTTTCATGAGTATTTTACTCATCATTCATCGTGAATGTGATTCGAAAAGGTGTAGCCACGGCCTTGGTGTGATGTTGTATTGGTAACGTTGAAGAACGAGCTAGGGGTGACATAAGGTACTGAAGAAATGAGAGGAAGCTTAATAAAAGTTGAATTACCTATCAATTACCTAAACCCCTACCTTAGGCGCCTACCTAAGCTACCTGGTACCAGGTAACCTTACAGGAAACCTGTCACGTCATGACGTCATTTAGTTTTTTATTTGACCGGAGCATTTATTCCAGTTGGAACGTTAACAACCTTAGGTATTGTACCTCTATGTTAAGTACTTAGTACCTATTCGATATCACTTCCTCATCCACCATTTCGCCTATCTCCCCCCTCCCCCCCTTTCTAACCCCCGTATGAATCATGAGTCTATTTTCAACATGACTCGACGTCAGACTCTAATCGCTCGTTCGATAGTTTATACCATTCTTACCGCAAGGGAGGATGGTAAGCCTGCCCGGAAACCTACTCTCTTGAAGAGAGCTCTTCGTCTTTTTTATATGTATTGGTTAACCTTTCGGCTGGCACGGGAGGATATATTCAGAACTCTGCGCCGTGTATGGATGGTCGACGAGGATGACTACAAAGCAAGTTTCAACGTTAGGAAACAGAGCAACACGAAGAATAAAGAAGTATTAATACCTATGGGCGATAAGGGCTACAGCGGCTCGACCTTCTTCCGCACTAACGACGGCGCGTATCTGGTCAAATCTATCCCTCGATATTTCGAGCACGACTTCTTCAAGAACGATATGCTTATACCTTACGCCGACCACATGCGTGCCAACCGTTCCAGTTTACTCGTGCACATCACCAATTTCTTAGAAAGCGCGCACAAGAGCATTGGCACGCTACTCGGCCTCGCACCAAGCCACCACATCGTCATGGAAAATATCATGTACGGACAAGACCAAGACCAAGACCAAGACCAGGACCAAGAATCGCACAACGGTCCCAAACCGCCGAAATGGGAATCGTGGGATCTCAAACCTAGCTCCTATTTCTTCCCCGAGAGAGATATCGCCGGAGGTGCCTTGACTTCCCAGGCGACCAAGTCGAAGCTCGCCGACGAATTTAACGAAAAGATTTGGCTCACCGAAGCGCAAGCCACCGAGTTTCAACGCCAATTAGAAAACGATACTTTATTCCTCGCTCACTGCAACGCCGTCGATTATTCGCTCTTCCTCGTCCGCATATCCGCACCAGACGCTCCGACGACCGAACCAGAACCCCCCCTAATCCAATTGGAAGAGACTGGCACCGAGCCTAGCCCCCCATTTGCGCTGCCGAGTCCGCCGAGTTGGCGCACGGGGATCGTATCGAGCGACGGCAAGGAGGTGTACCGCGCTGCCGTGTTGGATTTCTTCTGGGCCACGCACACGGTCCATGCGAAGGCGATGACGACGTTGGTCCAGGGTTACAACCTCATCGACAACCAAGGGCCGATGAGCATCACGACAGATAGCAGGGAGTACCGGAGCAGGTTTTTAGATATGTGTAGGGAGCTCGTGGAAGTACAGAGTTGATAAATTCGGGCGGTTATTTCGAAGAGTTGATTTACTAGGTTAGATGCCTCTGACATATACACGGCGGCGTTTTTTATTTTGTATGCAGAGCGGGAATTGGTTATCGTGTCTTTTGTTTTGCTGGAGCTGGGTGAACATGAGTCTCGAGATACCCCTGAATATCTCTAATGCTATGGTCGCTAGTAATATCATGAAGCTCTCATTGATCAAAGTTTTCTGCTACCTATACGTTTCCCTTAATACTTCCGATACTTGCGCGGCTGTCTTTTCGCTTCGGTAGAAGAAGTCCGGCAGGAAATAAAGTACATGAAAGGTATCTAACATCACCCTTAGATAAACAATGCTTCATTCTCGCCTTATTAGATCCATTCAATGACGAGAAGTGAAGGAACCTAACAAAAACCTTAACAATTCCATTGTTCCTATGAATCCTTTCATCGCCGTCCAAATATCTTCCGTAGCATGTAAAAAGACGTCTTTCACGATACTTGAGCCTCAAATAGGCTTTTGTGTGGGAACAAGCAGATAGAGGTTATTGCTATTCTCATGATGACCCAAAGAACAGGCCGTATTCAAAACTGGTAGCATAGTATCTAAGGTGCCTGCCTCGCCTCATCTATATCCATAAAGACCGGACTGAACCACTCCTATGAGGTACGCAGCCCTGCCTGTTTTCTTCACCGAGCAGCGCGCAAAAGGAAAAAAAAAACCTCTTTACCGCGCTACTGCGGCTACTCTTGCTCTGTCCATATTTGACTCCGAGGTATCTATCTACCTCTCAGGCGTAAGCTCCCCCTTGTCCCCATCAACGAAAACATGCGAGGTAGGCAAAGTAACCAGCGTCCAAGATTCCAGTCCCAGCTCTACAGGCTCTTTGCCCCAGACCCCGTCGAGCTGATGATCGCGCACTGGGAACTGATATGGCGCTGGCCCATCCGCGGCGTCCTTATCGTCGTGGGCTGGGGTTTCCGAGGCTTCAACCCGGATGTGGGCGATCTTGTGCTGTGCACCGAGCTATAGCAATGTGAAGTGGAAGAGCCGAATCTGTATAAGGAGCGTCGGGAAAGGATCCGAAGGCATGCGAAATAAGTAGAGCTAGGTACAGGTAGGTACCTAACCTAACGTTATGATTTATAGATAAGGGGTTATTAGGTTGGTAGAACGTGAGTAGATAATTGGGAGGTATCTAGAGGTAGAGCATCTAACTTGAGGTATAGTGAACCAACGATGGCAAGGTGGTACACATATTCCCTTAGATTAGGTAGTCTTAATTAAGTCCTGATAATTTCGACACGTTCTTGACTCAAAACTGTCAACGTTTGTGCGTCAACACAGCATAAATTTCGCCACGCAGGTAGTAACCAGGTATTTGCAAAATGTAGCGATTATCTCAGGGGTCGAAAAAGTTGTAATATACGATCGTTGACTCATTTAATATGAATATTGACAACAAGAAGCAAGCCTTCTTCGAACTATGGAACAGATGCGATATTTACAGCATAGCAAAACAACGAGCTAAGCGTGCGCCGGTTTGCGGGTATCGAGTTATCCCTTTGGATCTTCTAATGTAATACAGAGCAAACCCCCTCACCCGCCACTTTATTTTACATTAATTTTCTGGTACCGAAGTCGAAGGAGAAAATTGAAATTATGTATATTGCGGATTTCGAATACCTTTCGGTCCAGTGGTTGCCGAATTCTATTCGACTTGGATGGCCAAAGCATCCTCCGGGACATCCTCATCGTCGGTTAGATCTTGCCCTTGAAAGGCGCGGTTTGCGCTATCGCGTTCGGCGTAGATTTCGGCACGCTTCGCCTTGGCATGCTGTAAGCAATCGACGTATGTCCTAAACTTGACAATCTCACGCAGTAAGTAACTACTCTTTCGCTCCCAGTTTGCCATCGCCTTGCCAGCGTTATGGCCACGCGGTGTAAAAGCTAAAAGCATAGGGGATCTGAGTTGGTTGTGCTTCTGGAGGTCCTCCTCGATCGATCTCACGTATGCCTCCAGGATTTCCAGCTGCTCCTCTTCGGAGGCGTTGCTTGGGCGTAAAGATTGTGTGGGGGCGGCCCATTCAGCAATGTGGATTCGATCGCCTGGTAATTTCGTACGAGAGCCGCCGCCAACATCAAACGATGAACGAATGCTGCTCTGAAGACTGCCCTGGCGACTATGCATGCTTGTGCGACTTGCAGCTGCGCTACCTGGGCGCGGAAGCGGGGGTGGCTCGCTGATGGCTGGTATAAGGGCGTTATTGATAACTGCGTCACTCCAGCCGTATTCCATATTGCTAACTCCGCCAACTAGAGGATGCGTGCTTAATCGGGCGCTCCAGTAGTTGACCGCGAGAACGAACTCCTTACTGATTTCGGGAGTGCCGACCTGGAAAAGGTGCACAGCACCGGTGGGCAAGCTGAGAGCCCAAACATGCGGTCGACTACGAGAATAGCCGGGCGGGGGAAGAGCAGACGCGAGCGTTTGGCGAAGCGAGAAAGAGCCGACACTGGTGGCATTCTCCTGCCAGTTTCCACCTCCAACAACGGCACCAGGAGGGGGCTTGCGGCCGACACGACCCTTTTGGCGCATTGACTTAGTTGAAAAAGAAAAGAGGCTCAACGTTCCCTTTTGTACGACAGCAAAAACCTCACTCCAATTTCGCTCTTTAGCTTTCTTATCCATACCATCTAGATGGTGCTTGTGGGTGACAATGCCCTCTTTCACCCAAGGCGGGCCTGCAAGCTCAAGCGATTCATCGTCAAGGAGCTGATTACTTTGCATTTCCTCACTCATGATAGATTGTCCACTAGTGCCCGGGGGTGCATCTTCACGTATTATAGCTTGGCTAAGAGCATTGGCAAATCCAATCGATTGCTGGTAGTCGCCATGCGGGTATGAACTAAACGAGTCCATAGACATAGAAGTTTGGGTCCTACCCAGGGAGTAACGGCTCCATGTGGCGGACGAGGTAGTAGGACTCCAGATTGAATTGCCATCGTCAAAACTGGTACGGCTTGAGGAGTGTCCATTACCAGGGAATCTTGGCCTGGATCGACTTTTTGAAGCCCATCTGCTTCCAGGATTGCGGGTCGGGTCAGCGATTCTACCGCGCACAGAGATGTGACCCTCGGAGGGTGTTTTTGACAAGACGCTTGGGCTGCGCTTGAGCACACCCATGACAGAAAGACTGCCTTGCGCTTGGCTCTGTGATTGGCCCGGCTCGGCTCCGAAGAGAGGGAGCTTTTCATCACGGATTGAACTATAGATGTCTTTTAATACAAGTTCCATCTGCTGAACCCACGCCTTCATAGGTCCTTCAAATGGCGTCTTCACAAGTGGTCCACATGTGTCGACCGGACCGTCTGAGTAGTTACCCATCGACGACTCCGATCGTGGTAATGGCATAAACGACGATCTCCAACTAGGTCGCTCTGGCTCAGGTTCAAAGGCAGCTGCCGTATCGGAATTGGAGGCGTTTAGCAGGTTATTCTTCCCGGGCAAGATACTAGGCCGATCAAAAGCCTCGGGAATGGAATCGGCTATGGCATGCTTGACGGTGGTCATCGTGTTTTTGACAAATTGACTCTTGGTCATCTTTTGATCGATGTCTGCCAGGTGAAGATCGGTGTTCAGAAGCATGATTGAATAACACAACGTATGAATTACATCTATAGCACGTTAGCCAGGAACCATAAAGAGATCCGGATAGTTTACCAACCAGTAGTTTTGAAGCCGTGGTTAGGGTTACAATCACACCACCGATTCGAAAATGCGACTAATATCCGGTCAACCTGCTGTGTTTCGGCTCTGAAAACAAGACGACTGCACACTTGTCGTAAACTGGTAAGAACACTTTCATTTGTGAAGTCGTAGAGATCCATATAAGCCTTCAGTGTCCTTTGCCTCACGAGGCCCTCCTCTCCCATCCAAGCCGCTGCTTTCTCCTTCTGAATGAAATCTTCATTTCCATCGAAGATCTTTTGTGCCTTCTGGCGGTCGTCCTCCGTCGGCTCTCCTACTGAGACCTCAGGCTCATCTAAAGGCGAACCCATCATCTTTGGGCTAATTTCGGCGGCGTCCACCTGGACACTAGGTAAACCATTGGCTGATTTGTTAAGTGAGCCGGGGAAAGTAGACATCCTCTTAGGACCTTGGCGATTTCCGGCGGTTTTGTGGCTTTCCTCTTCAGGTGTGGTATTCTGTTGAAGTAACAAATTAGGCGAAGGAGTCGGCCTAGAATTGTCATATATGCTATCTTGCTGTTCATGGTTTCCATCAAATCCTTTGGAATTATTTGATCTTGGAGATTTATTGCTTTGCCGTTGTTGTTGCTTATGGGTTCCACTGGGTTCTAACCTTTCGCCCTCGTCACTGCTATCGTGGAAGAACGTTGCGTCACGACCCTCAATTGACTTCATAGGAGGTAATTCAGGGACATCTCGCATTTCTATTTCCATTTGAGACCTTCTACGGGCGGCGTCCTGGCTTCGTAAGGCCGACGTAGATTTTACAGTCCGAATAGTAGCATTTGGACTCGGATCATAATCAGGAGAGAAACCTCGAGTTTTACGAGCATGCTCTTCGTCTTGTGATTCATAACCCCGTGCTCGCGCCGAACTCTCCAGACCAGGAGATAAAAGCGCGCCGGGAACAGACGGCGCGTTCTCTTGTAGAAACGGACTCATGACCTCGCGTAAGCTACTAACCGAGCCGTTTTCTTGCTGAGCAGTTTGTTCCTTGATTCTATTAATTTCCATCGGCGTAGGCACCGGAGGTGGTGGTATTGAAGGCTCGGCGATAGACTTCTTTCGCCTTCTAAAGAAGGATGACTTCTTATGAAGAACTTGAGGCGGATTAGACGGCCGTTGTGAGTCCCCTAAAGGCGGAGTTGGCTGGGTCTTCGTCTGCGATGCTATGTGCTGCAGCTTATTCGATTGGTCGGCGTTTTCCGCTGGTGTAGGTGTCGATTGCGCCGGTTTAGTCTCTGGGACGTTTGCGTTGTTCCGATAGCCAAATATCCTACTGAAAAATCCCTGCTTCGCCTGCGGTACCGGGTTGGAAGCGCCAGGCAAAGCTTCCTTATACTTCTCGTACCCGATATGTGGCGCAGGTGCAGCATCCAGATCAGCGGAAGGTAACGGAGGTGGTATCTCGCGCTGTCCGCCATGCTTGGATTGCGCCGTTCTCGCAGTACCACTTCTCGATCTTGCAGCAGATTTCTTACGATCGGGAGTCTTCGCCTCGGGCTCCGGCGGGGGCATAGGTATAGGCATAGGCGGGGGCCCAACGGGAGTGGAGGGCATATTCAGGCGACGGGGCCCAACCGGTATCGTTGGCGTCGGCGCTGCTTCGTAATCATCAACAAGGAACGTGTTAGAAAAATCAGATTTCCAAGCAGTAAGAGAATTTAAAGAAGGCCTTTGTCCATAGTCAAAACTTGACGATCTCCCACCGATACCATGGGCCCACCGCTGAGTGGTTAGGACTTCGGCAAAACCGCCTGCATCGATACTGTTGGTACTACTGCTGTTGCTGTTCTTACCTCCTCTCGAATGCAACCCCCGCCCACCAGATGTGTTGGGCTGACTATGTTCCCGCAAACTGTTAATCCGCCCCAATCCGGTCTGGAAGCCAGAACTGCTGTTGCTACGTCTCCCCCTCGAGTATTGGCCTGACATCCTGCTAGATCCGTCATCGGTACCCTCGAAGTCGGAGCTATACGAATATCCGTGGCCGGGGCCATGCCCAGCGCCAGAGCTCCACATACGTCCCGGTCGAGAACTAACCGTCATAGACCTTGAGTACTCAGCTCCCCTCGGCGGACTAAGAGGATCATCGTCATCAAACATGTTATTCACAGGTGTATGAATTTGCCCCAGAGAGAATTGGTCCAGAGACGTCAGCATATTAGTGACAAGCGAGTCACGCGTGAACTGGCGGGACGGTAGGGACAAGTCATGAGAATCTCTCACACTCCTACCTCTAGGTAGGTCTGGTTGATCGTGATCGTTCGCTCTGATGTCATCAGAGCCATTATCAAGGAAAGAATCCTCGGAATCGCGTGAAGGTGGTAAACTCGAAGGTACTCGATATGCTCGGCTGGATACGGGGGGCTTTGTTTTTGATCTTGCCGGCGGCGTTGAAGGTACGGAATCGCGACCCCTACTGACAGGACTCGAGGTGTTCACATTCAAATCCGGTCGGCGGCGCTGACCTCGTCGACTATTGTCGGACGAATGCATCGCAGTATATCGATTGGTCGATCTACGTTAAACAGAACAGGTTGGACGACAGCCGAGATGGGGGCTGCCATACGCAGCACAGAGACAGAAATATAGAGGATTCGTGTCTGAATAGGTCCTTTCGATTATTTAGGTTTAACCGACTGACACCGACTGCTACCCACCACTAATGACCTTCAGGATGTCTTCTATATCGCGCCCAAGGGGTGCCTCCGCCTGCGCTCGTCGCTGTCGGCCGAATTGGAAGTCGGACGGGCAGACAGGGTAACGATGGACTTGAGTAACGAAATTCCAAAGGTAAGGTGATTAATTATCAAAGTGGACTGGGGTTCGCAGTAGGTAATAGGTAAGGTACGACGAATCGGGGAGATGCGCATCCGTAATTAGAAACAGTAAGTATTAAAGTATTAAAGGGGTCAGAAAACGTCCAGTGAAGAGCACCGCTCTCGGAAAGATTACAGGTATGTAAACTTAGGTGATAAAGGTGATTAGGTACCTAGGTAGGTAGAGAACGAGGGATATGAAAATATGAAAAATTGAAGGAGAACGCAAATGCAAACAAATGCAAAAATAAAGAGGGTGTGCTGTGTTGTGTTGTTGATCCGATTAAGACTTCCAAAAACAAATCCCCCCCAATTGCTTGAAAAGTTGAAGTTGGTAAAGTTTTCTTATCAGAATCGAAGTAGCGCGACGCGGAATCGCATCTGTACAAGCCTAGAAAGGCCTAACTTAGGGGAAGAAACAATAAAGGAAAGAGACGATGAAGGATTTAGGGGACCATGACTTCCTCAATCCTGCGGGCGTCGGAAGCCAAGACGATGTTTTGGGGGAACTTCCAAGCGTTGAGTTTCAGAGATTAACTATTGGGTTAATTAAAGATGAGCTAACGGTTTTGCAGTGGGGATTCTCAGGTACCTGCAGCGCTTGAATGGTCACATCTAATTCGACTAAACGGTTTGGGGTACGACATAGTACATTGCATCAATACCTCCCCCGCACCATATTCCAGCATATTGCAGTGGCTCTTTGTATATGCCAAGTACCCGACTTTAGGTTGTATGAGGAATTACAAGGTACTATCTGTTTAGTCTAAGCAAGCAATGAAGCTGCAGTAGCGCGTAGGATTAGGTATTAATTGCCAAAGCTCGGCATTGGACATCTTTTTACTTATTTCTGCATTCGATGAGATCTGATAACAGGTAGACGAACAATCAATAGAAGATCTCCAAAGATCTTTAACAATGACAGGGTACCTACCGGTAGTTAGATAAATTAAGACATGTCGCATTTCTATCGTTGATTTTAATATGAAAGATCGGGTTGTCTTGAACATAAATACCTATCTTCTAGGTACCTACCTGGTATATTATCATATTAACAAGGAACTGTTTAGGACGGTACCTACCTACCTAGGTACCTAAGGTAACTTAATACCTTATATCTACCTCATACCAATTTATATAACATCAAAGTAAGTTGTGAAAAGTTGCTGAAACTAACTCAAGCGTTGGGGTAACCTTAGAGTTAACGAAAAGAGATGCTTTAGAAATATGAGGTAGTTCCCAAAGATACTATGTATTATATCATGTTCACACCCAACCTGACAGACGACCTTAACAAACGCCACCTACATACCGTTGAAACCGGGCGCCAAGCAGCTTGGGGATTCACTCTAAATCCTTGCAGTCGCGTGGAATTGGCCAATATTGTGTCCGTACCTGCATTCTCCCGACCCGTCACCTAAGCCCCAATTCCCGCCAACATGGAAGCCTCTAGCTCTCGATCCCTTATGGGTTGTTGCATTTGTGTTTTCCCAAGATCGAAATGCTACATACCTGTTACCGAAAGTTTCTAAGAATTACTACCTAATAGCCAATCATAGAAGATGGAAACGCTTCACCTGCCAAGCCGAGCGCTTTCACTTCACATACTGCGCCCAAAGGAGCCAAAGACTGCATCCAAATCGGGTCTCTGCACCATTCACGAGGTTGGGAGATGACGAAAAGTTGACCAGAGCTGCATATAGAGGTAGCATCGGCACCTGTCATTACGGTTTTCTGAGCAATCCCCTTGAGCCAATGACCAGGCGGAGGTGAGAAGATAATGGCTTTTTTTTCTTCGATGAGAACAAAATTGTTAAGTGTTTGAAAACAGCCGTATCAACAACATCTAGGTTAGAGTAGGTATCCCCCCCAAACTTCCCGACGACGGATGGATATGTCGGCTATAGGATGCACGACCTCCTGCAACTAACGCAAGCCGTCATATCACAACCGCAGTGATTTCGAAGCCAAAGGATCGTATTAACGATTCTGACATAAAGTAATCGCCTCTAAATGCAAGATATGATTAGGCTTATCGTTCAATAGACTGTAATCACACAAGTATCCGAGCATACCCTATCTTACACCAAAACCTACGCTTTTTCAAGAAGTATTACAATTTTACAAAAATAGATAGGAACATAAAGAAAGTATAGGATGATAGAGAATTACCTAGATATGGAACTATCCTATGTTGCTATTCTCATTTTTCTACAATGGCTATGAAGTACAAAAGGGTACAATATTCATGTTTTATGGAAACAGCATTCTACTACCTGGTATACTACTCCCCTACTCTTGTTAAATGTAAAAACTACTTGTATAAAATACATTCTTACGTAGGGTTTATTCAAAATGATATTATATATCCTGCAGAGAACTTTTACCTATTTAATTTAATTTAATTTAATATAACTAGATCTTTGAAATATGTGAGTTTTGTTGGGTGTATTGTGGGCGCACGGAGACTTTTATCCTATTATCTGTTAGGTAGAAGGTAAGTATATAGAAATCATACCCCCTATTCGTTTGTGCCAGATTCTACTGCATATTCAACCGCGTCTGGATTGGTGGGTAAATAAGATGTCGTGAAAGTGAAGGTGCGTTGCGAATGGGTAATCACGCCTCATATATGATAAAAGATCTACCAGTCTATCTGAATGCAACATCATATTATTATAGCAAGATCTATTTCTAGTAGCTGTTCCGGGACCATGGAACTCGCAAAGATCTTATGTTTGTCGCCGAAGATCAAATGGTCTGGGCAGCCGATCTACACGTCTTACTCTGAAGCCCGATTTAGGAGTGTTAACCGCCTGATGTCAAGATTCGAGCGTATCGCGCAGATCTGGTTGCATTCACTTACCCTTTCAGAACCTTCGCGTCTAAATCCGACTAGGTTTTAGCTGCATTAGGTACCTACCTAGTGACAATTACTTCTTCGGTCGCCACGAAGCAAAAAGTAGTCACCAATATCACCAGATTCCGACGAAACTAAGTGAACTTGAAGAAATACTCTGAGTTGGTCGAAGAGCGGCTGCCTAGTAGGACGATGCTTCGGCAGTAGTACCAATAAAATTCGGTCCGTTGTGTAGCAAGCAAAACAGGTAGTGTAAGTGAAAAGTACTGGAATATCGAGGCATTTTTCTATTTTATTCTTCAAGAGTGTCTTTGCCCATAATCCTACATAAGGCCATGGTTATTTCTAGTCGTCTATCCTTCTCATCATTTAAACCCTGCCCGAAAGATCTTTGATTTCTTTACTTAGCAGTTCGTGGGGAATTTCACACTCTCGCCACTAATAACATTTCATACTTGCTACTTCCTTTTATTGTCTCTAGGACTACCTCGGACTTCCTCGATCATGACACGTTCATATTTCTAGACTGAAAAAAGGTCGTATTCGGCCTCCGGCCAGCTACCTCGCATCTACCTACCTAAGAGTTTGAGGAACGTACTTCCGAGCAATCTGTCAAGCCTATGGCCTAATAAGCAGCCACCTAACACCGCTCATCCCTGCCAGAGCACATAGCTACAGGGCTAGCAGCGTGGTAGAGCCATCTTACGCAGCATTATTTTCGTTCCTGTTCCTACCTGCATTCGACTGATCCTGTCTGACAGCAAACTCCCAACCATGCCCAACGCACTGTCTTCGGTGGCGTCCAATTCGACGCCGGGGACTCCCAAATTTGTAATCCTATCGCTGCGGTACGCGTGGTAGGCCTCAAGAGTCAAGCCAACGGGTGATACATAGACACCACTTACATCCACCCTTCAAGCCGACCTGGCGTAGGTCGTTCCCGCGAGAAGCGGAGAAATCAAGGAACTCATCGGTAACTATACCGGCCACAGCATGGTTGCCCGGATCGATGCCTCCGCCCGTGCGACAGTCGCCGTCGCGGGAGAAGCCAGTCATAGGCTGCCGAGAGAACAGCTTGAGTGGCTGTTTGAACACGGCGATCGGACGATCCCTAAAGAGTGTGAGCAAAGTACTATGTATGTACCTAAGCACTACAGCGGGAGAGCTCGTAATTGTGGGGAGGGCTTGGGTTTAGATAGGTGAGTCGTCAAAAGCCATGCAGATGTCCATACCTTGAAGCGGGTCTAGCGGGTTAGATGCCATGGCACCTTCGGACTCCTTTAGCAACCAAGTGGGACGTGCGGCTCGTATTTATTGCGCTACTTTAGATAGTAGCAAGAGGCGGCGTTATACTAGGTATTCGCAGGTGCGAGAGTGCTGCTGGCTGGACTAATTCTCGGCCATACACACAAATCACACTAGAAATATCTAAAGAATATGGCGCTGTGAGAGTGAAAACTTGACGTCATTAAATCGAGTACAAAGCAAATGCAATACGGATGTAAGGAGTTGAACTAAGAGAGGTTTACTTTGGGCTAGGTATGTTGTTCTTTTGTTCCTATCATCTTGATTTTCCTCATCAGTTTGAACATCAAGATCTCGTACCTTTTTTATTTAACCTAAGTAGGCAGTATTCCAAGGTACCCCCTTCGGCATTGAAATTGCGTGTCTTGGCAGTTATATAGACCCCCTTGCCAATAATGCTATTCACGCTGAGCCACTTTCCCACATACACGGATTGCTTGTAGTCGGCTATTACTTTGTGCATATGCCAACTAGAATCCAAATAGGAAAAGAATAAAGCCTCAAGGTGTTTA